GATCGTATATGGGTCGCATATATGGATACTCCGTACGCGGTAAATACTATAAGAAGCCTACTCCGCACACCGATCTGATACGGAGTACTCACAAGATCTGTCTCACACTCCGGAGCCTACTCCGTACTGTAGGCTGAATGCCGTCTACTCCACGCAGATCAAGAAGTTCACCGAGTCTGTGATATACCAGTTGGCTCTTTGTCGTGTGACTACCGTAGCCATAAGATTCCTATTGTCCACGTTGTGCGGAATTTATCCGCGACAGCATTGCCCTCTGTCTGTGCAGCGCATACTGTCCATAATGGCACGATATGAAAAGTGCGGAACGGATCCAGTTGCACCAACAGCGGAAAGCAGTGGTTTCATGCGCCGCAGACCTTTCTGTACACGACCTGCAACCATGGCCAGCTACCTTACCAAATCTATCCCCATGGTGGCAGACGAGACACACAGATGGGGACTAGGGGAATCAATTGCGGACAGGTAGCAAACGAAGTACTCCGTACGGAGTAAAAGGATCAGATATGCATGGACTGTCTACGTAGGTTTTGTACCTGATCCCATTTCCCCCGTTGGAATGGAACAGGAAAAGGATTTGCAAAAGACGCAATACTCCGGACTCCGGACTTGCCACCTCCACGGGGTTGCCATCTGAACGGGGGCTCGGGAGATAGCACGATGCTTCAACTGCCTACCAGGTGTAGGGAGCCAGAAATCCAAAGGCGGAACTCGGTTAGCAAAGGGACTCGGCAGCATGTTCGGAAGATCGCCCAGATGAAACTGGGGGCAGGTGTGGTTTTTGCGCGGCTTCGCCTCCATGGTTGGAGGGACTCGGCCGCCTCTCCAGCCAGGCCAGGGCCGAAGTTTTCTTCCGAGCCAAACGCCATCTCGGTCAAGCGTCGGCCAATGGGGTTCCCCACCTCGAGGAGGGGGTTGATATATATCTAGATCGTTAGATACTATCTAGAGAGGAGAAATGACCCTACCCAGTTTTTAACCTCCGATTAAGTTACCCTATTCTTGCGTGACACACGCTGTTTTTCGGTGGATATTTATTAGTAGCAATCATTAATCGTTGCGTCTGGTACCTGGAGACCTTCCACCACCGCCCTACTGATTACTACGAACTTGCTCCAACAGACAGTACAGCGCGCAAGGAGTCATCAGGGACTTTGCCCATCTACCACCTACTCGGGTCCTTATCTGCAAGCCCCGGCGACCCCGACAAATCGGCGTGGCGAGCGCGGATCTCAGGACGCGACTTTGAGTCTCGGCGCCGCCAAACCCAGCTAAGAAGGTACGGTCACGGATTCTTGGGTCAGGCCCTCACCCGAGATCCGAAAAGGCCACCATCGCCTCAGGCTGCCCATTAGCCTCGCCGCGGCCATTGTCGTTGTTGATCCTTGTACTGCTGACTGCTGACTGCTGACTGCCTCCTGTTGTCCAGTCCGGTTCCCGGCCCCCAAATTATGCGGTCTGCTTAGCAGTGGGTTCGGTCTCTCTTTCTTCCTGGATCACACCACAGCTTACCTTCTTATCCTCTACTTTCTTACTTCTTTTTTCTTCTTCCTCCTCCCTTTTCCATTTTATCCTCCGTTCCTTTCTTTCATTCCCTTCTTATTCTTTGGCTTGGGGACGCCGCCACCTTATCTCGGTTCTTGCCTCGGCTCCGGTGATCGCACCTGGGACAGGTCAAGCGTAGGGGGTGCTGCATTCTTCGTTCACCTCTCCCTTTCCCGCCCCTTCCCGCCCTTCCCCTCCATTCAATCTCCGCTCTTTGTGAGGACTCGCGATACCCACGAATTGGGGCTTTTGCTCTCGCGCCGCTGAACAGCCTCACCATGGCGCAACTCGATACTCTCGATCTGGTGGTCCTGGTGGCGCTTTTGGTGGGTAGCGTTGCCTACTTCACCAAAGGCACTTACTGGGCCGTTGCCAAAGATCCTTATGCCTCCTCCGGCCCGGCGCTGAACGGCGCTGCCAAGGCCGGCAAGACTCGGAATATCATTGAGAAAATGGAAGAAACGGGCAAAAATTGTGTTATCTTCTACGGATCGCAAACGGGAACCGCAGAGGATTATGCCTCCAGACTGGCGAAGGAAGGATCTCAGAGATTCGGCCTGAAGACCATGGTGGCTGATCTCGAGGAGTACGACTACGAAAATCTGGACAACTTTCCCGAGGACAAGATTGCGTTCTTCGTGTTGGCCACCTACGGAGAGGGTGAGCCCACTGACAATGCTGTTGAATTCTACCAGTTCTTCACCGGTGAAGACATCGCTTTCGAGAGCGGCGCCTCCGCGGACGATAAGCCTCTGTCATCTTTGAAATATGTCACTTTCGGTCTGGGCAACAACACCTACGAGCACTATAACGCTATGGTTCGTCAAGTCGATGCTGCTTTCCAGAAGCTCGGTGCGCAGCGTATTGGGTCCGCCGGCGAGGGTGATGATGGTGCTGGTACAATGGAAGAAGATTTCTTGGCCTGGAAGGAGCCTATGTGGGCAGCACTGTCTGATGCGATGGGTCTGCAGGAGCGCGAGGCTGTCTACGAGCCTGTTTTCTCCGTTACCGAGAACGAGTCTCTGAGCGCTGAGGACGAGACGGTCTATCTTGGAGAGCCAACCCAGAGCCACCTTCAGGGTAGCTCCAAAGGCCCTTACTCTGCGCACAACCCCTTCATTGCACCTATTGTCGAGTCTCGGGAGCTTTTTAACGTCAAGGATCGCAATTGTCTCCACATGGAAATCAGTATTGCCGGAAGTAACTTGTCCTACCAGACGGGTGACCACATCGCAGTTTGGCCCACTAACGCTGGTGCGGAGGTGGACCGATTCCTCCAAGTCTTCGGTCTCGAGGATAAACGTCATTCGGTCATCAACATCAAGGGTCTCGATGTTACGGCCAAGGTCCCAATCCCCACCCCTACCACGTACGATGCCGCTGTTCGGTATTATATGGAAGTCTGCGCCCCCGTGTCCCGTCAGTTTGTTGCCACTCTGGCCGCTTTTGCTCCGGACGAGGAGAGCAAGGCAGAAATCGTGCGTCTCGGTAGCGATAAGGATTATTTCCACGAGAAGGTTACCAATCAGTGCTACAACATTGCTCAGGCACTCCAGAGCATCACGCCCAAGGCTTTCTCCGCTGTCCCGTTCTCTCTGCTCATCGAAGGCATCACCAAGTTGCAGCCGCGCTACTACTCGATTTCTTCCTCTTCCCTTGTTCAGAAGGACAAGATTAGCATCACGGCCGTTGTGGAATCTGTTCGCCTGCCTGGTGCCTCTCACGTTGTGAAGGGTGTCACCACGAACTACCTTCTCGCGCTCAAGCAGAAGCAGAATGGCGACCCTTCCCCTGACCCCCACGGATTGACTTACGCTATCACTGGTCCCCGGAACAAGTATGATGGAATCCACGTTCCCGTGCATGTTCGGCACTCGAACTTCAAACTGCCCTCTGACCCCTCGAGACCCGTTATCATGGTTGGACCCGGTACTGGTGTCGCGCCTTTCCGTGGCTTCATCCAGGAACGTGCTGCTTTGGCCGCAAAGGGCGAGAAAGTGGGGCCCACCGTTCTCTTTTTCGGTTGCCGTAAGAGCGATGAGGATTTCATGTACCAGGACGAATGGAAGGTGAGTGAACCGTTCTTATGAAAATGATCATTGAATTCGGAAAAACTAACATTGTGTGTTCAACCTGCAGGCTTATCAGGAACAACTTGGAGACTCGCTGAAGATCATCACGGCCTTTTCGCGTGAGACGTCCCAGAAGGTTTACGTTCAGCACAGACTGCGTGAACACTCGGAGCTCGTCAGCGACCTTCTCAAGCAGAAAGCAACTTTCTACGTGTGTGGTGATGCTGCGAACATGGCTCGTGAGGTCAACCTCGTGCTTGGCCAGATCATTGCAGCGCAGCGTGGTCTTCCCGCGGAGAAGGGAGAAGAAATGGTCAAGCACATGCGTAGCAGTGGCAGCTACCAGGAAGACGTGTGGTCATGATCTCTCATTGCGCCCATTTTTCCTACTTCTCTTTGCCACGACTTTTCGTTCCACTCATTTCACGGTTAGATGATCTCTGCATATATACTCCGCCGATTTTGTCTATTCATCTGTTTTGCTTGGCGTGGTTCATGTATGCCTAGTGTTGTTTTGGTGCCCCGCATGGTCAGCCATTGAGGTGGTATTTTGGACCAAATGTGGCAGTTAGTGTTGAAAGAACAGGATAGACGATCATGATTATAGCGAAAAATGTCGTATAGGCATAATGATATCTGGTTGCATGACCCAGACAATAACAGAATATTTTACAATTACATTCTATCACAGAACAGCTAGACACAATTGACATTAAAATTCTTATTCTTCTTATGCTCCGTATAGTAGTTTCCTGGCTTTGTTCTTTGCATCACCCAGAGCATACTAGTACCGGCAGAAGTCAGCGATCACCAAATAAATATCGAGCTCATCCATCATCCAACATGCGCAACAGACATAGCATCAATCCCTATCACACAACACAATTACAATCGGGCCACGAAAGTCTGAAAGAACATGATCAACAACAACACAAAGTCCTAACCCCAAATGTGCAAAGAGACCTCCCAGAGAATGAAATACTGCCAGTACTAGTCCAGCTCTCGGCAATAACCGGAGTTAAGCCATCCACCAAACTGGAACCGGCGACCAGCGTCATCCCGGTATCAGTAGGTAAACTCAAGGTAAAGGTAATCTTAATCTTACGCTGCGCCAGCCAAGCTCCGCATCCATCCATTCATCCATCTCATTCCATTCCTTCCCCTCCCTCGACACCACACCACATCGACCGAGTCACCGCAACGAAGAAAGGGAGGAGAGATGCAGCGATCTCTTATATATTCTTGACGTGAGAGATTACAAGAAACAACGAGCTGGTACCGATACGCGACGGTACGGATTATCGTTCCATCACCACCACGCTCCGGTTGTTGGTTCATTCCCCGCAGTGGGAAAAGGTTCGCACGCTACGCCGGCTACAACCCACGCATGGTATTTGGGGCGTTGTCGATGAGGTGTTAAAAAGGGAATAATTTGAACGGATCGGTTGAATGAGTTTATCTGTCGTTGAGTATTGAAAATGGCTTACGTGGTGCCGATTCATCGGGCGAGTAGCATCCGGGATGCGCTGAAGTTGCGGTTCATGGATGCGGAGGAGGAGACGTTGGTTGTTGCGTTGGTGGTCCTTCTTCTTCCCCATATTTTTCTTCTTTTGTTGGTGTTGGTGTGTGAGTTGGTTGATTGAAGCTAATTGATCGTCCGGGATGATGATAGGAAAGCAAACCGTCTCGAGATATACTCGCTTACGCCTGAAGGACTTAGCCTGGCTGCGTCGTGCTCCCTGTTTGCGAAGGTGACGATGTTGGCTCGACTACCTGCGCCTGCGAACTCGCCTACGGATCATTTGTTTGTCGGGACCGATCGTTATACATATTGTACGTTGTCGTGGGATAGTGCGAACAACCAGGTCCGGACGGAGAGGAATTATGTCGATATTTCGGACCCTTCGTCGCGGGAGGCGCAGACGGGGAATCGCTGTTTGATTGATCCGAGTGGGAGGTTCATGACATTGGAGGTGTACGAAGGGGTGATTGCCGTGGTGCCGATTGTGCAGTTGCCCAGTAAGAAGAGAGGGAGACAGGTGGCTCCGCCTTCGGGTCCTGATGCGCCCCGGGTAGGTGAGCTGGGGGAACCGACAACGGCGAGGATTGATGAGCTGTTCGTGCGCTCGTCTGCGTTTTTGCACGTGCAGTCGGGGCTGCCCCGGTTGGCGTTGCTTTACGAGGACAATCAGAAGAAAGTCAGGCTCAAGGTTCGGGCTTTACACTACAGTGCGGCTACGTCAAGTACCGGGGCAGATGCCGCATTCGAGGAATCGCTGGATGGATTTTCGCAGGAGCTGGACCTGGGAGCGTCGCATCTCATACCAGTTCCTGCTCCATTAGGTTTGTTATTTGACCCCGATCTTTGCGTTTGGCCGAGAGCTGACTGAGTAGGTGGTCTTCTTGTTCTCGGCGAGACATCCATCAAGTATGTCGACACGGATAGTAACGAGATTGTATCGCGCTCTCTGGATGAAGCAACAATTTTCGTGGCTTGGGAGCAGGTAGATAGTCAGAGATGGCTTCTAGCTGATGATTATGGAAGACTATTTTTCCTGATGCTGGTCCTGGATTCAAATGGCCAAGTCCAATCCTGGAAACTAGATCACTTAGGGAATACGTCTAGAGCTTCGGTGCTGATATACCTCGGTGGCGGAGTCATCTTCGTAGGATCTCACCAGGGAGATTCGCAGGTTCTCCGAATCGGCAATGGCTCCTTGGAAGTGATTCAGACTCTGTCGAATATTGCGCCCATCCTTGATTTCACCATTATGGATCTCGGGAACCGTATCAGTGAGAGCCAGACCCACGAGTTTTCATCGGGCCAGGCCCGCATTGTCACCGGTTCAGGTGCCTTTGATGACGGGACCCTCAGGAGTGTGCGCAGCGGCGTCGGCATGGAAGAACTGGGTGTCCTCGGCGAAATGGAGCTCATCACTGACCTGTTCGGTCTGCAGGTTGCAACAAAGGGTGGATACTTAGACACACTTCTCGTCACCTTTGTTAACGAGACCAGAGTTTTCAATTTCAATTTCGACGGCGAGGTTGAAGAATTGGACAACTTTCTCGGACTCAACCTCTCCGAGAACACACTTCTCGCCACGAACCTACCCGGGGGAAAGATACTGCAAGTCACGGAACAGAGAGTACTCATCGCGGATATTGAAGGTGGCATGGTTGTCAATGAATGGACTCCACCGAACCAGTTGGTTATCACGGCCGCTTCTGCCAACAATGACTCGATTGCTCTTGTCATCGGTGGCCAGCTTATGACGGTTCTCGATATCAACAATGATGTCCAGGTCGTGACCCAAAAGGACTTTGGCGCAGATAGTCAGATCTCTGGCGTAACAGTACCCTTGTCTTCCGCCGGGGTCTGCATCGTTGGCTTTCCGCAATTAGCGAAGGTCTCTGTATTGGACCTCCGAAGCCTGTCAGAGCTCCATACAACATCGGTCGGACCGGCCGGAGAAGCTTTTCCGCGATCTGTACTCGTTGCGGATGTCCTTGCGAATAGTCCATCCACTCTCTTTATCTCGATGGCAGATGGCAGTGTCATCACCTACTCGTTTGATCCGACCGACTTCTCCTTGACGGGAATGAACAGGCTAATCCTTGGATCTGAGCAGCCTACTTTCAAGAAGTTGCCCAGAGGCGATGGCCTATATAATGTCTTTGCGACATGTGAGAACCCCAGCTTAATATATGGCTCTGAAGGTCGCATCATTTACTCTGCGGTCAATTCGGAGGGCGCCTCTCGGATATGCCATTTCCACTCGGAAGCCTATCCTGGATCGATCGCTGTAGCGACCAGCCACGATTTGAAGATTGCCCTCGTGGACAAGGAGAGAACCACCCAGATCCAGACACTTCCGATAGGTGCAACCGCCCGGAGGGTTGCGTATTCGCCCTCCGAAAAGGCGTTCGGTATCGGCACCATCGAGCGCAAGTTAGAGGCCGGAGCAGAACTGGTCCAGAGCCGGTTCGTGCTGGCTGACGAGATCCTTTTTCGTCGCCTTGACGCCTTCGATCTTCGACCGGAGGAGCTGGTCGAAAGTGTCATTCGCGCCGAGTTCTCCGCCGGCAAGGACGAAAACGGTCGAGAGATTTTCAAAGATCGTTTCGTTGTGGGAACAGCATACCTGGATGAGGAGAGTGAAGAGTCAATCCGAGGTCGGATCTTGGTCTTCGAAATTGACAATGGACGGAAACTGACCAAGGTCGCTGAACTGCCCGTCAAAGGGGCCTGTCGCGCCTTGGCTATTCTCGGAGAGAAGATTGTGGCCGCTCTGGTTAAGACAGTAAGTAGCTGGCGATCATCCCGTGCACCATCTTCCGGAATGCTCATATGGCCCAGGTTGTAATCTACGGGGTGGTGAACAATGACTTTGGCACGATGAGACTGGAGAAACGGGCCACCTATCGGACTTCGACCGCCCCCGTCGACGTGACCGTGACAGGTAATGTAATCGCCGTCGCCGACCTCATGAAGAGTGTCTGCCTGGTGGAGTACAAGGAAGGCGAGAATGGCCTCTCCGATACCTTGACGGAAGTGGCCCGCCACTTCCAGACCGTTTGGGCCACGGGCGTCGCCTGTATCGCCAAGGACACATTCCTGGAAAGCGACGCCGAGGGTAACCTGATCGTTCTCCGACGCAATCTGGCCGGGGTGGAGGAAGACGACAAGCGCCGGCTGGAGGTAACGGGGGAGATTTCGCTGGGAGAAATGGTCAACCGCATCCGACCGGTCAATATCCAACAATTGGCGAGCGTGACGGTCACTCCAAGGGCTTTTCTGGGCACGGTATGCACTCCACTCCTAACCCTTCCGCACTTGGGTTTCATTGCTAACTCGAAGTCTGTCAACCCAACAGGTCGAAGGTTCCATTTACCTCTTTGCCATCATCAACCCGGAGCACCAGGATTTCTTAATGCGTCTACAGGCAACCATGGCGGGCAAGGTCGAGTCGCTGGGGAATATTCCGTTCAATGAATTCCGTGGGTTCCGCAGTATGGTACGGGAGGCCAAAGAGCCATATCGCTTCGTGGATGGAGAGCTGATCGAGCGGTTTTTGATGTGCGAGCCGAGTGTGCAGGAGGAAATTGTGAACTCAGTGGGCACAATGAACGTAGGCGACGTCAAGGTCATGATAGAAGCCTTACGAAGACTGCACTGAGTGTAGCAACCAGGATATTGGATAGCAATAATGATCAGTTATGATAAGACAAGGCCGGGACCTGCACCAGTGTAGATGCACCACTTGCTTTCTACACTGTCTACGAACAACTACTGGACCCCAGGATAACACACGAGCATCGGGGCACGGGCCGGCTGCAAGGCTCACCATCAAACACGACCACTACACAGGCATCGCTGTCTCGCTTCTGCCATGCTCACTACTATATGGGAAACTGGGAGAGGAAGCTTCAACACCCACCCATACCCTGACAATGCCTTGATGAGCCAGAGAAGTGCTTCAGCGGGTCCTTCCAGATCTCTAGCCATCCTGAATATCCCCTTCAACGCTGATAGACCCGCATGTCTCCGCTGTAAAGTGAACGCAAATGAAAATTTTCGCCTTGCGGAGCCTTTCCTCACCCAGTGGCACAGTAAGCGACATCATTAGAGTTAAAGTGTCTAGTACATATAGTTCTTGAGCAGCCCCTCACATGTAGACATCAAACTACTACCACTACTCCTACTACTCCTACTACTCAGAGAGAACCTCTCCGCTCCTAGCATTTCGGCAACTGACCAATGGCATCCCACCTTACACGAAGTACAACTTCCCAATGCCGGCCATCAGCAGCAGAACGAACGACGGCCACGACCCCGACGGTGCCTTGAACGCGGTGTCCACCGGACGCTGGAGCAAGGTAAGTGCCACGGGGGGTCTCGAGGCACCTGCCCAGAGTGGCTCCCCACCGGACTCGGCCAGAAAGGCAGTTGCTACGTACAACAACCTTCTATTTAGGCGGGCCTCTCCTTCTGCTCCGCCCTCTCCAGCACCACTATCTCCAGTTCTCACATCTTCATCGTCTTCGAGTCATTCGTTGTGTGCTGGCCAACTACTACTACCGTCTTCCCTAGTCTCTTTATTAACGTGTATGCTGCATGCCTGAATATCTTGGCTGGACTGGCTACTGATCCCCGCTATAGATCCCAATTCTCCCGATCCACTCGACCGTCCTACTAGTCCAAGTGAGTGAGTGTTGTTTCGTGAATTTTTTTTGAATCCTCTCCTCAATCTCAATTGTCATCTTGCTGCGTGTCTCTCGCAGCGTGCTTACATTCAGACCGGTGATACTAACGGCTGCTGCAGAGCTTGCTTTATTTAGAACCGCTGCCATGCATACTGCTGTCTCTGACTCGGGCCAAGCTCCTGACACTCGTGGCCTGTCTGGCCTATTCGGGAGCTTGAACATCCAGGGTCAGCGTCCAGGAGCAAAGTATAATGGCATCAAGAACAACATGCCGGTAGCTGTGCCTCCTTACAACCAGCTGGTTCTTCTGCCCAATGGGACTATTTATGGCGGTCTACCCTACGACCAGAACCCGTATCTACCCACGACTGGTATCTATCCAGGCCTGGCTCCTCCATGTCCGGTGGTTCCCAACCCTGCCGGTGACTTCTACCATGCTCCCGCCCCGAACATGGAGGCTCCTGCACTGCCCAACTATGGTTTCAATAGCTTTTCCCAGCCGGCACCGCCTTGTTTACCCTTTCAAATGATGAAGACTCCCACCGGATACATTTTGCAAGACCTTGAAAGCTTAACCCAACAAGATCCACCGATCCCACGGGCCGTGCCTGCTATGTGGACTAACCCTTCTGAACTGACGCTTGCCAAATGTCTCGAGAACCGAGAAGGCATCACCAATGTCTACATTAGAGGCTTTCTTCCCGAGACTACCGATGAGATGCTGCACGCCTATGCCTCCCGCTTCGGAAAAATTGATCGATGCAAAGCAATCGTGGACCTGGACACGGGCCTTTGCAAAGGGTATGTGCGGATCTCCGCTCAGATTCTTTCATCACTGACGGCTTCGACTGACTGCACTATTAGGTTTGGCTTTGTCCAGTACTACAATTTTGAATCCTGCGAAAACTGTATTCGAGGGTTCTTCTATCTTGGCTACCAAGCTAGCTTCGCTCAGGTATAACACGTCAATTTCGCCTATCTGTGGACCATCAAGGCTTACCAGACCCAGAAATCTCGCAACTCCCGTCTTAAGGATCTCGAAGACAAGACATCCACCAATATCTATTGCACCAACATTCCAATCGAATGGACAGAGGCTGTAAGCATACATACACCATAATGAGGCGCAAATCTAACCAATCTTGCTCGTGCAGGATCTCCGTCATCACTTTGAGCCATACCGTGTGATTTCCGAGAAGATCAGTCGTGACGAAAAGACCGGAGTGAGCAAGGAGGTTGGGTTTGCCCGGTAAGCATCTCCTGTTCGAAGCATATGTACATTCTATATGCTGATCCTCGTGCAGATTCGAAACTCGCGAAATCGCGGAGCATGTGCTGTCTGAGTATCACAATGTGGTTGCCAAAGATGGTGTGAAGTTGCTCCTACGTTTCGCAGACACCAAAGCCCAAAAGCTTCTCAAGCAGCAGAGTAACGAGCGTCGCGCCTATCGTGCAGGCGAATACAACTATTCGGTCGAGGTAGTCCAGGGTTCCACTCCATCACCCTCTGTTAACCGTCTTCAGCAGACTGCATCTCATCTCAGTCCCAACTCGCAAGCGAGCTATGTGTCTCCTCCTGGAGTGGGCGCAGCTTGGACTCCGGCGACATCTATTTCCCCATCGTATGTACAGAGTAACCCATACGCATTCGGGCTGGCCTGACAAGACAAGCAGGTTTCCCTTGGCGAAGAACCAGGTCAGCAACATGAGGTTCAACTCGTGGTCTTCCAGGAATGGAGCGGGAGGACTGGAGAATACCCCTCTCTACCGTGGACGACGGGGGGTTTGGACTGAAAATAACTCCGGCTCTTCTTCCAAGGCTGCCTTCCCTACCACACCCTGCATTGAATCTCGCTCCGAGCAATCTAGCCCCCGAAAGGAGATAAAGGCCGGTTCCCTGTCACCGATTTCCTCCCGCAAAGAGGTCATTGTGACTTCGCCCCGGTCGGTCATCTGAGTAACGCATGGAGTGCAGCACCGCCTTCCTCGGATGCACTAAGTCTTCTTGCTTTTCCTTGTATCTTTTCTTGTTCACGCTTCTTCCAACAGACACCAAGAGTTGCTGCTCCTAGGAGCGATCCTTGGGATTTGTATGGGTCGCCTTTTTTGCTCTTTTTAGTTCATGCGGCATCTTCCCACCACAGCAAGGCTGCCCGGCCATGCCAGAGCCTGCATGTCTTACACGGGTGTATGGATTGCTCACATATGGTTTGTCTGTTTTCTTTTATCGACATACGCAAAGTTTTGTGCTGGGCTTCTTGAGCTTTTGATTGTTGTATGGGGTTATCTGTTCTTGATTTCTTGACGACACCAGTGATTCTATGTTACACAGAATGATGCCGATTTAAGAGTCTGTATCTGTTACCGCTGGATCCTGGAGCATAGGAGTTATGGTGATGGCTTTACAGGTTCGGGAGGCACTGGTGGTATTTCTGCATTTGTCTAACCGCGCATATGTAGCTCTTCCCAACAAGTCACCAGTGCAGTCTACAGTTTGTTAATGATAGTTGTGTAACTGCGATCGAAGGTATCACCGCACCCAAAGTAACCCTGCCCGGGGTTGAAGCCATGCAGTTGGTGTAATTGTCTATCGTATGAAAATCGGAGTAAGAATAAGACAAGAGGTGGGCCGCTCATGAGTGGAAGTATATGAAGAGGAGAATACATGTGATGGGCCCCAACAGTTCTATATACGATGCAGTGACCCAGGAATGGGTAACTATGAGTGGAACAATGGGGTGGTCTATATTGACTGCGAGGATCAATTGCGGCCCAACCGCTCCTCCAGATCCTCGGTCAGTTCGTAAGCGGGCTTATACTGCTGCAGAGGCGCCTCCTGGCCAGTGCTTTCCACCCGCAGCTTAGGGTTGGGGTGCGTATCGGCGGTCCCGCCCAAGCTGGTATATCCTCGATCATAGAGGGAGCAATACCTCAGACCCAGATGACGAATGAAAGCCCAGATTTCCGCGTAATGCCAATCAATGACGGGATGCGCGCGCACGAAATCGGGCCAACCACTATCAGTGCGATCGAAGTGCGTCAACTTGGCACCATGAGGATCGGTGCGGCGCGTCCCGACAAAGATGGCCTTGACGCCGGGATTCACAAACAGATAATCCTCAAAGGTGGATTTGATTGTTGTCCGAGGCGGGTCCGTCGTATACTTCAGTACGTTGAGATGGTATGCGCGGGAGGACCATTGGACGAATTCCTCGACGTCGAGGAAGGGGTCTGGGGGGAGGGCGTAGATGGCGGGGATGGAGGTGAGGCCGCCGTCTTCGGGGGCCGGGTGGGGATGCAGACTGGCGAGGAAGAGGACGAGGAGCACGAGACAGTCTTTTCCGCCGTTGTAGGAGAGGGCGAGTTCGGAGAGGGAGTAGCGGTGCAGGGCGGTGGAGACGACGTCGAGGGAGATGCGGGTTTGGGCTTGCACGGCGGAGAGGAGGGAGTCCGGGGGGTGGGATTCCGAGAGGAAGCTGTGGACTTTGTGGTGGCAGTCGGCGATGATTGTGGAGAGAGAGGCTGTGGTGGAAGGGGGGAATTGGTCTGATGCGGTTGGAGGGGCTGGCGAGGATGTTATGGTGGGGTGCTGGTGGTGGTGATGGTTGGTGGTGGGTGGTGTCGTGAGGGTTGCGGCGACGGTGGCTCCATTGGGAAGTATTGAGTCGGTCATTGCTGTCTTTGTCTGGGATGTGTGGTGGGAGTGGTGTAGGTGGTTGAGGAACGGAGGGGTGGTGGAGATGTGTGGTGGTGGTGCAGTACTAGACAGGTGGAGGATGACTGGATGTAATCCGGCGGTTTATCGCGGCGATATCCGAATGCGATCTATCTGGGTGCGTCACTCGGGTGTATATATAGTTGTCTTGAAGGGAAAAAAATTGAATCAAAAGACCGCAATGATCTATATGATGAAGGGTACGGAGTATAAATTAACGACCTGGTCAGTTCATGGCAAGCACAGACAACGGATGTTTGCGGAGAGACCACCAGTCAGGAGCTGGAGGGGAGATAAAAGGATACCGGCTGGTGGGCTCCGGCCGAACTGGAATGTTCTTTCTGCCCCGCATCACGCCTGACCGCTTTCTTATCGCGTCTGATATGATTCCCTTCCAGGCCAGGGAGAGACAAGGTCTGGCACTTGGGATTCAGGCAAACAAGTTACGTACGAGGACCGGGGTCAATTTTGCGTGTTCGGAGCTCATTGGAAGCAGTCAGGATGAGTGCTGTGTAACCATTGTACGAGACGAGGCCGCTAATGACTACTGACAAATACTTGAACCCCAGTAGCGATGATGATGACAATATAATGACCACAGTATAACAGCAAGTATATCCGCACAACGCCGGTTGATCAGGCTAACCTTCAGAGCAATTCGTGCAGGTGATGCAAGCAGCCTGATTCCCCCAATCAGCCCAGAACCTTCATCTTCTTTTTCTTCTTCTTGTCGCCCTCCTTCTTGACACCCTTCTGCCAGTCACGCCAGCTGCCTATACGCTCTTCACGACTATCTTCCCAAGCTTTGTCCTGATCCCGCTTCCGCTTCCGCGCCTCGAGTTCTTCCTCTTCCTTGCGCCTCTCTCGTCCTTCTTCCTGAAGCTTGGCCTTGGCCTGTCTCCGTCGCCGCGCCTCTTCCTCGAGGAGCACTTGGACCGTCTTTTGGCGCCATTCCTTCTTGAACTCGTCTGTAGTCAGCTCCGGCGAGTCTAGCGTGTACTTGTGCTCGCGAATCAACAGTCGTCGAGCATCAGCGATACATTCATCTAGATATGTGCGTGACTTCTCGTCCATGAGCGCCGTGTGGGCTTTCTTGAGTCGATCGAAGGCATCAGGGGCCGCAGGGTTCTTCGTTTTGTCCGGATGGATGAGAAGGGACTTTTTGCGGTACTGGACTTTGATGTCTGATTCGGGCACACCTGGTTGAAGATCGAGAACCGCGTACCTGTTAGGAAAGATTCACTGTTAGCTTCTAGATTGCATTTATAGCAGACGTAAACCAAATGTGGCAGGGGTGTCTATAACTCACGCGTCTAAGGTGAACGCTTTACGAATGCGGTCAATTTCTGCATCCTGCCATAGGTGAGTTTGGGATGGAATTGTTGCCCCAAGTATCCAAGGTGGCGTACCTTGACAAAATCCGAAGCTTCTCTCTCGAGCGCGTCCAACGCATCTTGCTCCTCGGAGGCCATGGTGGCTGGGGGTGCTGTGAATGAAGGCAGCCGCAGGGTCTGGACTGTCGCATGCGTGCCGATGGACGGGCGGACGATAAGCGCCCGCTTATCGCCCAGCTGAGTAAGCAGGCACCGCCAAATTAAACTCTCCGCAGAGAAAAAAGTTGCTTCACCGCCCGGCCCTCATCCAGATTCGCTCTTTGCCCAGCAACAAGACCATCCCGATCATCTGCACATCCTCATTCGGGGTCGATTTCGAGGAATTTCAATCCTCTTGAGCCCATTATGGCTCCCGTTAATGGATCTCGCAATGGTAAACCCTCGAAGCCTCCCCAGCGGGCCGGTAACCTGAAGCGCAAGCGTGCCCAAGATGACTTGTCCACTCTCGTGCAAAAGGTGGAAGAACTCGATGTCAAAGAATCCGTCAAACAATTTACCGATCTACCTTTGTCCGAACCTACCGCTTCGGGTCTTTCGTCATCCCACTACAAGACGTTGACGGACATTCAGTCCCGTGCGATCAGCCATGCGCTCAAGGGTCGCGATATTCTCGGTGCCGCAAAGACAGGAAGCGGCAAGACGCTGGCCTTCCTGATTCCCATCCTGGAGAATCTATACCGCAAGCAGTGGTCGGAGCACGATGGATTGGGTGCCCTGGTTCTGTCTCCTACCCGCGAACTCGCCATTCAGATTTTCGAAGTCCTTCGCAAAGTTGGTCGCTATCATACATTCTCCGCGGGTCTGGTGATTGGTGGAAAGAGTCTGCGCGAGGAGCAGGATAGATTGGGACGGATGAACATCCTGGTGTGTACGCCGGGTCGTATGCTGCAACACTTGGATCAGACCTCCTTCTTCGAAACAAACAACCTGCAGATGCTCGTGTTGGACGAGGCGGATCGCATCTTGGATATGGGTTTCCAGAAGACCGTGGACGCTATCATCGGACATCTGCCACAGGAGCGCCAGACGTTGCTTTTCAGTGCTACTCAGACAAAGAAGGTGTCGGATCTGGCGCGCCTGAGCTTGCAGGATCCTGAATACGTGGCTGTCCACGAGACGGCCTCTTCTGCGACGCCGTCTAAGCTTCAGCAACATTACGTCGTTACACCCCTTGCGCAGAAGCTTGACGTCTTGTGGAGTTTTATCCGGAGCAACTTGAAGTCCAAGACCATTGTGTTCCTCTCGTCAGGCAAACAAGTGCGCTTTGTCTACGAATCTTTCCGACACATGCAGCCCGGTATTCCGTTGATGCACCTCCACGGTAGACAGAAGCAGGGTGGACGACTTGACATTACTACCAAATTCTCACAAGCTCAGCACGCTGTTCTTTTCGCCACTGATGTTGCTGCGCGTGGTCTGGATTTCCCGGCCGTCGATTGGGTTATTCAACTGGACTGTCCTGAAGACGCCGACACTTATATCCACCGTGTGGGCCGCACAGCCAGATACGAGCGTGATGGTCGCGCCGTGCTATTCCTGGACCCCAGCGAGGAGAAGGGTATGCTGAAGCGCCTTGAGCAGAAGAAGGTTCAAGTCGAGCGTATCAATGTCAAGGCCAACAAGCAGCAGAGTGTCAAAGACCAGCTGCAGAACATGTGCTTCAAGGATCCCGAGTTGAAGTATCTCGGTCAGAAGGCCTTTATTTCTTATGCCAAGTCGGTCTACGTCCAGAAGGATAAGGAGATTTTCAACATCAAGGAGCTGAAGCTGGACGACTTCGCGGCCAGCCTGGGTCTTCCGGGTGCGCCCCGCATCAAGTTCATCAAGGGTGATGATACCAAGGAGCGGAAGAACGCGTCGCGGGCTACGGCGCACGCGTCCAGCGATGATGAGTCTGATGAAGAGGGCGGAGAGAAGAAGGCGAAGAAGGAGGAGCCACAGGTGCGGACGAAGTATGACCGCATGTTCGAGCGACGAAACCAGGACGTGTTGGCCGACCACTACTCTAAGCTCATCAATGACGACGGCACGATGGTTGAGACGGCCCAGGCCACTGAGGATGCTGATGAAGACGACGACTTCCTCTCCGTCAAGCGTCGCTACGAGGCAGGAGACAAGGACCTGGATGTTGCGGGATCAAGCTCGGAGGATGAAGATGAGAAGGCTGGATCGAAGACTGGAACTAAGGTGGTGCAACTTGATGGCAAGGAAACACTGGTTATCGATTCCAAACGCCGGGAGAAGCTGCTCAAGTCGAAGAAGAAGCTCCTTAAATTCAAGGGCAAGGGTACGAAGCTGGTCTACGATGATGAGGGCAACGCTCACGAGATCTACGAGATGGAGGACGAAGAGCAATTCAAGGCCAAGGGTGACGCTAAGGAGCAGCGTGCTCGGTTCCTGGCGGAGGAAACGGAGCGCACACGGCAGGCGGATGTGGAGGACAAGGAGGTTGCCAAGCAGAAGAAGCGCGAGAAGAAGGAGAAGCGCAAGGCTCGCGAGCGCGAGCTTCTTGCCATGGAAGAAGAAGGAGGGGATCTGGTCCAGCTTCCTTCGTACAACGACGACCGCGATATGGATGGTGGGTTCTCCCCGTCCGAAGCGGAAGAGGAGGCACCCCGTCCGAGCAAGAAAGCCAGGGTTTCCTTCGCGGACGAGCAGGGCGAGAAAGAAGAACCCTGGTACAAGAAGTCCAAGAAGCCCCAAGCCCCCGAACAGATCCAGACCTTGGAAGATCTGGAGTCGCTGGCTGCCGGTTTGTTGGGGTGATGAGGGTGATGGGTGGACTGGTAGAGAAGTGTTTACGCTGTGTTTTCAATGGATATATATACCTTTCGGCCTGAGTTTGTTTCTTTGTTCATCAGCGGAGAGTGTCAAAAAGTTTATGAGAATCCGGCAGCATTGCCATGTATATAGAGCAATTGATCCTGTCCTTGATCCAATCACCTGACCTTGTAGAACCGGGGCTGGAGACAGCCGAGCGGTGGGGAACCCCAGGCTGCCATCGGCAATTTCCATCGAACGACCGCCGGCGTTCCTTCGCCTTCCCATGCCTCGCCCATTCACAGTACGTAATGCCTACTGAGCACGTCATCCGCTAAAGGGCAAATTTTCAGTGTCAAGGATGTGATGGTGCAATGGATGGTATTTGGTGGGATGTGCTCTCCCTTCGATAATCTCTTCATTCATGCATGCAGCTTGTATAGCGCACAGGAACCGTCACAGTTTAGTGTCTCTCCATCAACAAATTTAGGCTCCGCTGTGGATCACGTGTTGTCGCACTGTCTCTGCCAAGTGCCACGGGCTGGTCTTATAGATAGGGCTGACACTTGATCGCCGGTGAGTGTCGGGCTGGGTCCGGTTCCTCTGTCCAAGTCTCAGCTAACCTGGCCGCAGTCTAGATCCCGGGTCAGGTACACCAGCATGGCTGCTCAAGACATCGAGAAGCAGCGTCCTGCGGCTCCTCATGAGCCTGTCGGCCCCAATGCCAAAGATCCCACCACATCAGCGGACTATCTGGACTCTGATGCGCAGTATGTCAATGCGGACAAGCTTGCCCGTCGGCTCTCGCCCCGCCAGGTGCAGATGATTGCCATTGGAGGCACCATTGGCACGGGGTTGTTCCTGGGAACAGGCAAGGCTCTAGCTACGGGTGGACCCGCATCGATGCTTATCTCGTATGCTATCTGTGGTGCTATCGTGTTCGTGACCATGTTGTCTCTGGGTGAGATGGCTGCATTCATTCCCGTTGCGGGATCGTTCTGTACTTTCGCTGGGTGAGTATTCTGCATTGGGATTGATGATGACTGGATGCTGACGGGATTAGTCGATTTGTTGATGATGCATTGGGCTTTGCTCTTACCTGGAACTACTGGTTTAATGATGCCGTGTCGACGGCCTCAGATATCATTGCGCTGCAACTTCTTCTCGAGTACTGGACGGACAATTTCCCCGGATGGGCGATAAGCTTGATCTTCCTGGTTGTTGTTATTGCGTTGAACATGTTGTCCGTCAAGGTTTATGGAGAGGCAAGTCAGATCAACTTTAATATAGATCGATTACTGACTGTTACTAGGTTGAGTATTGGCTCAGTCTCCTCAAGGTGGTGACCATCATCGTATGTCTCTGCGCTCTCCTGTCACTCTTCATGCTGACTCTTCCAGATCTTCATTATCCTCGGCATTGTCGTGAACTGCGGTGGAAACAAACAACACAAGTACATCGGCGACAAGTACTTCTACACGGGAGATGCCCCCTTTGTCGGAGGCATTGGCGGGTTTGCCTCTGTCTTCGTCACCGCATCCTTTGCCTAGTATGTCCTTGACCTCAATCATCTTCGACAATGACACCACTGACCACACTACCACGCAGCGGCGGTACTGAATCCATCGCCATCACCGCCGGTGAGACCAAAGACCCCTCCAAGAACCTTCCACGCGTCGTCCGCAACGTCTTCTGGCGCATCATCCTCTTCTACATCGTCTCCATCATTCTTATTGGCCTCGATGTCCCATACAACTACCCGGATTTGTCGTCCGAAACCACCGCCACTAGCCCCTTCACCATCGTCTTCGTCGAAGCGGGCAGCGCCGTGGCTGGTAGTTTCATCAATGCCGTCATTATGACCAGCGTCATCTCTGCCGCCAACCACGCCCTATTCGCCGGATCTCGCCTCCTGTACACCCTCGCCGTCGATGGCTATGCGCCCCGCTTCTTCGGCCACCTCAACCGCTTCCAAGTCCCTTGGGTCGCCGTGCTCGCTACCTCCGTAATCAGCGGTCTCTGCTTCGGAGCCAGCTACATCGGTGCCGGCCAGCTCTGGTCCTGGCTGCAAAAGTAACCCCCCTCCCCTTCCCTAACCAACATCATCCCCTCCCATCCTAAACAGATGCTAACACCATTCAGCATTGTCGGTGTCTCCAACCAACTCTCCTGGACTTTTATCGGCCTCGCCTCGCTGCGCTTCCGCGCCGCCATCCGCCACCAAAACCTCGAACATCTTCTCCCGTACAAAAACTGGACATATCCATTCGGCCCCATCATCGCCATCTGTCTCAACATCGTCCTTATCCTCGTGCAGGGTTGGTCCTGCTTCAGTCCCACATTCCAAGCCGTCGACTTTGTATCATATTATATCGAGCTGCCGATCATGTTGGTTATGTTTGTGGGGTGGAAGATGTGCAAGCGCTCCAAGTTTGTGAGGCTTGAAGTGATGGATCTGCTTACCGATCGGTATAATTTGGTGCATATGCGGGGGTCAGCGGTTGATGAGAATCCTGATGACGGGGTATATGGTCGGGAGGGTGTCGATGGCAATAATGGGGTTGTGTCCTCGTGGAAGAACGATAAGGGGGTGTTTGGTAAAGTGAAGCGGGTTGGGATGTGGTTGTTCCTTTGATTGGCAAGGGGGGTGAGATGGGATATATTGATAGACAATATCTCTACTTTAATACTAATGATCATGATGCGCATCATGACGGGCCCAAAACAACGTCGCTGGCGATAATCTTGATGGTAACATGATATAGCAAGGAACTCACTCAGGTGACCAAACTCAACATATCAACTTGCTTGAACCTATAAATAGCCAGAAACACAGGGCCCAAAAGACCCGGACACAGGACATGTACGTGAATTCCACATAGAGCAAGCTCGGCTCTCTGTATTGCGCACCTCAGTGTGCACGAGGCATCAGGAAAACCAACCACGCGTATACAGCAGATCCTGTAATCAAGCTAGAAGCTTCCAAGCGTGAAACATTCATCTCCTTTGCTGGAACCAATGGCCAATCATCCTCGGGCGAAAAGAGCTGTACAGAATATTTGGAACCGGCCAAAGTTCCAAGTTAAAGTCCTCCCTACTTCCGCGGCGACAAAGACTCCTCCAACAGTCTGCCTATTAGGATTGGGATCGACTTTTCTTAAGACAGCCAGCCTTGCTCTAAAAAGGGATTAGATTCAAGAAGAACAATGAACTTACCCAACGGAGTTTTAACAAGGAGTTCGCAAGACTGCATGCATATATGTGAGAGCCCACCGGTCATGGAAAAGGGGTAGTAGTAGTAGTAGTAGTAGTAGTAGTAGTAGTAGTAGTATATCTACCCAGCCAAATCGCTTAGTATCTGACAGACAGACTTATACTCCATGTTCAGGTGGTTAGACCTTCCCATAGCCTGGCTTAATACCCATTACTCACGCACCCGATTTCACAGCCTTCACTAATATCCAATGTCCTCTTTCCCGCACGACGCCTTTTCGCAATCTGACATCCTAACGAAAAAGAAAGCTAGACAATTCGACCTAGCTACAACAACTAGACATCTCCTTTTCACTCAGGATAGCCGGTAATATAACCAAGCAGGTAGTGTCCTCAATCACAATACAGGAAAAAGAAAAGAAATTTCCCAATCAAGTCATACTCAAAATATACTACCGAAGGGAATAAACGCCATCGCCTCAACCCTCACTTTTCCAAGGACACATAACAATCAAACATCAAGATAGCCGTGGGGATCACTCACTCAACGAGTTTCTTCTGGCTTAGAAGACGTCGCGTTCCTGGTATTGAAGTTTCGATTTTTTAAGATCTTCACCGGACTTATCTTCCCCGATATCTAATCAATATATCATAATGGCAGGCTGCATAGGTTCTGCTCGCCCGAGTCTATTTGGGCCTATTGGGAGATACAGTGTCGAAAAGGGTGCTTCGAAAAGCCTGCCTGTTTCTCCAGAAGAACTGATGCAGATGATAATATTTATACAGATGTGGTGGCTAAGGTCGAAAGCCAAGGGGATGGCTTCAAGGCGCTGACGATGCGTGCTCCGGCGAATATGGTCTACAAGAAGGGCCCCTTTCCACTCTTGAGTTGCAGGAATCTCTTACAATCAACTGGTATGGTGGAGAGCCCAAGGACTATATCCCCGATATTGAGTCGGTGACAGCAGTTCATCATAAATTGGTGCTCATAGACAAGAAGAAAGACATGACATCGTCGAGTTTTCATACCGTACAGTCAAGGACTATCTAGAGAAATTCAGCTTTGGAGGCAATTCACGCATCCAAAGCTGACTTCGTCAAAACCTCTTCCTGAGCCACATTTCTTCTCCTCACCCGTCCGGCGGCATCGTGTTCTCGATCCCACTCTTCCACTTCCGAAACTGGTACTCTGACCAGCTTATGTGCTGTCGCATCCCCACCGACATTGATGATTGTTTGGCGAAGCTCGTACTTGCCCAGCCGCGGTAGGATCTTGATCCAGAGGTAATAGTATGCTCCGCAGGCGGCGATACTACACAGTCATTTTCATTAGCATAAATACCGTCCTAGGAGTAAACATGAAGGATATCGAAAGAGAATGAAGAGCAAAAAGCAAGGGAGCCACTCACATCGCAAGGCCAACAACGCAATATGTGGCGTACCAAAAGCTCACATCTCCACCATCTGCACCGGTGCTGGGTGGATACCATGGTGCAACGAGCATATATAAGCTTGATAGAATGGCGAAATACACTGATACTGTCCAGGCTTTGTATCCGGAAGAAGGGAAATTGAGCCGTTGGCGCCGGTACCGGGTGATGAGAATACCAATTGCGAGGAGGAAGTTGAAGAGGTTGGCGGGGTAGACGCTCAAGTCGACAACTTAATCCAATGAGTTAGTACCCTGTTTGGAGGTTTGAGAAGGGGCAGATATTTACTGAAGTTGAAGGCATCACCGGCCGGAGGCGCGAGGATCATGATAACGGTAAGAGCCCACTTTAGGAAGTAGGGGCCCAAAGGTGTTCCGAAAGGACGAGTAGAAGTCCAAAACTCGGTGAAGGGGAGCACGCCTTGTCTATATGATGCCCCGAAAGACATTAGTAATTGTATGAGTAGCAGAAGTTTGATGAAGCATACCGTCCGCATTCTCGCAACATGCGGGACTGGCCGATTAATACGGCCAGAAGATTTCCGAATGCACTAAGGCAGATCAAGACATTCAGTGCCCTGGATGCACCTGATGTGCCAAAGACCTTCTCAAAGAAGAGACTCGCTGCTGTGACTTCCGAGTTGAGGATCTCTTCTTTGCTGGCAGCAGAGAAGTAAGCGATATTGACCAGGATGTAGAGCACGGCTGTGAGGAACAGAGCAGCAGGGGCACTCCAACGGAGGGTTTTGACAGGATTCTAGAATTGGTTAGTTTTGGAGCTATAGCCGTACAGAATCAGGGGAGAACAGGCGTACCTTGACTTCATTCACGACGTTGCAGGCGTTTTCGTATCCAGCATAAGAAAACATCACTTTCACCAAGGCATTGGTTGCTCCGTACACGGATGCTCCAGATGTCCCCGAGAAGGCATCACGGAAATTGACCAGAGGGTCTGTGACCGGGGTGTGACCGCCGAGAACGACGAGGCCGGTGATGCCGATGCTATTTCGTCAGCATCATAGCGATCGAGAGCGAAGATAGGTTCACGTACAATACCAAAGTAACCAATTTGACAACACCGATAGCATTGGCGAGCCAGAGCGACCATTTAGTATTGAAGGTCAGCACTGGAAGAGAGTCAGCCCGTTTCACACAATTTTGTCTCACGGTAGAAACATACAAAGCACAGCAACGGTATATGCTGCTACCGCGACACCCTTTTCCTTCCATGCCGTGGTATCTGCATCCGCCAGCTTAAATAGATACTCTGCCAGCACTGTTCGTAGATAACTGCATAAGCCCTGCCCCTTGGTGTGAGTGGAGGCTACATACCAACAGCATTACTGCTACTGAAGGAAAACAAGACAGTCTGCATCGCAAACACCGTCGGGAAGAAATACTTCGGTCTGGGATATGCTTGTTCCAGGTACACCACCTCGGAGCCCGACCGACTAGGGAAGTAGGACACGAATTCCAAGTACACGGAGAGCATGCTCCATGCCATGAAGAACCCGATCACCCAGTAGAAGAGACTTAGGCCGACGGATCCGGCGCCGTCCAGGACGGTGGATGCTACACACAGTCAAATTTGAACTCTCCTCCTTGATTGAAGTGGAAATTCATAAAGAAGTGAGGCAGGGTACTTACGAGTAGAAAAAACACCCGTCCCTATCATCTTACTCAGGTTCAAGAATATGACCGTCACCGCACCTACCGAGTACCCCAGCGGAGAATTGGCCTCGATCGGAGCACCACTCGCCTCCTGGTACGTGAGCTTGGAGGAATTCGCACCCCCACCAGCGGTATATTGTAAGTTGCCATCGTCGATAACGCTGAGTCTTTCGCTGGATTGCTCTGAGGTCGCCTCCGTTTCCTTTGTCTCGGTACTAAAGGGTAGGAAGCCCATTGTGTTTGGCACGAGGTGTCGGTCAGACACACACAAGGAATTGGGGAGCTGAGTGACTTCTTTCTGCCATTTTTGGTGGTTCTCCGGAGTTATAATATAGGTCCGGCGATGGTCAAGCTATGCGAGGACGAGGGAGGTGGTACAAGCACGCAGCGATGCTCATTGCGGGCTCCAATGGCGTGATTCCCGGTCCGCGATTCTCGTGAATTTAGGGTGTAAACATGACATGATAAGGAAGATGAGGTGCTTGCTTAGCTTAAGCGATGCGGGGAAGTCAATCTTATGTTGCGTCTTGATCTGGTGGAGTCGTGGAGTTGGCTGTTTGCGATGGGTGCCTGCTGCTTGAAGTTAGAGAGATGAACCACGCACGGGTGAGAGCTCGTGATCGTAATTAGTTAATTCCAGAAAGAAGCCTTGGAGCAATTCAACTTGCAGAAAGAAGCGTCGAGCCTTGCTAGGGTGGTAGCTGGAACGCAAATGCCGAGTGAGGAGGAGAAAGCAAGCGATTGCACGATGGCCGGGGGCGATGACAGCATCCAACCCCGAGACCCATCCAGCCGCTAAATCCACCTGGCCGTCGCCATCTCGACTTCTTGGCCGGTTGGCATCTGTCATGTTGCATTAGTCTGCTCCGGTCGGCTTTTTTCGATAACGGAGATGCCTGTTCTTTGTCCGGTTTTCTCGTAATGTCGTATGCCAGGGGCAACTCCTTGCGCATGGGGGCGGACCTGTTTCATCATCTGTTTTTCTCCTGTAGAGTCGAGTGCTGCACGATGTTGTGCATTCCATGCAAGATGCTTTCATTAAGAACCGGAATATTCAATGTGTGACTATATAACGAACAATCAAGCTTTGTCTAGGACTAGTATATCTGGCAGGGTATATAATCCAGCCCTCGCAGACAATCTATGTAGTATCATCTCCCGCAGTATAAAATTGCACCCATATTATATCTTGCTCATTCGTTCATCAGAGCGATATCGTTTCAGCGAGGTATCGCTCTTCGCCACCTCCTGCTCCACATTCCCGATGCATTCGACCGCTACCATGTACAAAGACCCACGACGAATGGCGTCGTAGGCCATACCAATCACATCGCCCATCGTAGGGAGGGGTGGTGCCACAGCTTCACCACACTGCTTCCCGCTTGGATCTGTCGGGCGCCAGAGTGTCTCCTCAGTAATAAATGGGATTTTCAGGCTTTGTCGGACATAGGCGTACATCTTTCGCGACGCTTCCCCAAGGTATGGGCTCGCGTCCGGACTCCTACAGTATGCCTCAAGCGTTCTGCGGTACAAGTCTACCGCCTGCGAGCCCAGGCGATTGATCCAGGATTGAATAACACTCGAGGAGACATTGGGAGGAGAAAGCTCCGTGAGCAAAACGGGCAGAATGGCTCGGGCAGCCTCATGGAATCGATTGCAGGAATCGACGGACTGGAGCTGTCCAATTTGTTTACTAAAGGCGTACCAGACCTTTCTGGAGAGGGTCAAATGGTCTTTGCTGGGTACCGTCTGGACTTTCAAGCTCTCGTCAAATATCTTCACAAAATCGTGCTGCAGAGCCCTCATGAACTGGAGGTGTAAGACACGGAGGTCAAGGGCCTGGCAGACAGAGACGAGATGGGCAGCTGCCATCTGCGACAGAACAGTAACGGCCTCTAGAGTGTACCGACCGGATATCAATGCGAGTGAGTTCAATGCTTGGTTCCCCATCTCAGCTGTCTGGACATGGCTCCCAACAGGATTGGCGAGATATCCTAGCTCCGACTGCAGTGCAGCAATCAGGATATCAACCCCCTTGAATGTAAAGGAAATGCTAGGCTCATCGGCAGACAGATTAGGAGGTAGGCCATTGTTCTTGGATGGATCAATCAACTCCGTACACTGTGCAAAGAGCATACGGCCCATGGACTGAACGGCCTGTCGAGCCTTTTCCATAGCGCTGGTAACTGACTTGGCCTGGAAGTTGCCACCGTGCAGGATGCGGGCCCTGTCACCAGTAGTGTCGATGAGCGGATTGTCCGTTACGGAGTTAAGCTCAGCCGAAATCTGCTGATATGCCAACTCTAAATCTTCAAGGATTGGTCCCGTCCATTGAGCGGATGTGCGAATGGAATATCGATCTTGTCGCAAACTCCCAGGCATAAGCGCATCTCCATTATTGAGAAGTTTTGACTTGGAAAGGAACCCGTTCAGATTGTTTGCCGCTGTCATTTGTCCGAGGTGAGGTCGGACTCTCGCGAAAAAAGGATCAAAGCTCTCGCTCATACCGTGTAAAGCCTCAACACTCATCGCGGCAAGAACCTGACTCACAGCAGCCAGACCGAGAGCCTCGTGCAGAGCCAGAGCACCCACAGCCGCTGAGGTCGCCGTTCCATTTACGATTGCCAGGCCCTCTTTCGCATCTAGTCGCACTGGTGGTATTGAGCTCTCGGCAAGAGCGAGATCGGCCCCTTGCACTTGGCAATCCAAATCTCGGTCGCGCTTCCAGACACGGATGGATGGATGTCCCTGCATTGCTCCGCCGATGTACGATAATGGGTTGAGGTCACCAGAAGCGGATATACTGCCTCTCAAAGGAACCATAGGGGTGATATGATGCTCTATCATTTGGAGCAACACATCCAAGACCGACTGTCGGATGCCCGATGCTCCCAAAGCTAGGCAGTTCAATCGGATTATCATGGTCGCCCTGGTCCACGATTCTGGCATGATTGTGGCAGAGGTTGGGTCGTCCAACGGGAGGATGTTCTCATTTTGCTTGTTTGCAGCAAGTGGGATCGAGCCGTCTACTTTGATTCCAGCCTGAAGCATTTGTAGCAGGTTCTCTTGCAATTTATTGACTGCACGGGTCGTTGTGTCTGCACTGCCACCGAAGCCAGTGTTGACTCCTACATGAGTTGGTAAGTGTCCGTGTTATATTCCACGACTGCAATAGCATGACCAACCGTAGACTAGCTCCCCATCCGCCAGGTGCTTCTTCAAGGCCGCCTCGGATCGGCATACTTGCTCCCGAGTGGTCTGTGAGAGCGATACGCCTTTCCCATACCTGACAAAGGGTCAGCATCGCAATCCCAGTCTCGACTTGCCTGTCGCTTTGAGTGCTTGCGGTCGAGGGATATGCATACCTCGCTCCTGCCACCACAGTGGCTAGGTCCAATGTTTTGCCATCAAGGTCGCAAGTAATATCACGAGTCTCGAGAGCTTTATTAAATGCAGACCAATGTCGTATGAGCACGGTGTTCATTTCGACTAGACTGATGTTGAGGGTACGCTCCCAACTGGATCCACATGAAATTCGGGCTGATCCAGTCACTTAGGAGTTGGACTTGACCTCAGATATATAGTAGTGCAGATTAAGTGTTTGACGTAGCACATATTGATGTAAGAGCAAACGACCTTAGGAGCTGTCAAACAGCAGCGCCCACCGACACATTCCGGTGTGTGCGTGTGTATCCGGCTCACACTGGTCAGCTCAAGAGAAAGCTATACCGCCTCAGAATTACTATTTTTAGATAATCAGGGAAGAAAAGACCCGTCAAGTCTGCAAGTCCCATATGGGCATATCCCCGTATTATCAAAATGTGAGTGAATGCGTGGCAACGTGAGTAGAGGTGGGTTCCCTTCCTGTGAGTCTCCAACGATTAGCCTGCAGGTATCCCAGTGAGACAAATGACGGACTTGATCTACCTGGCCGTCAGGGCAGTACGCTTGATTTTACTGTGGTTTCACAAACCCCCAGAGTCACTGCGTATCTCGACTTGGGCTAGCTGAACAGATCTTGATCCAAGTTGAACCTTGCATGTACTTCAGCGAGGGAATGATCTTGGCTAGCACGGCATGAAGAAAGATGGTTGCAAGATCAAGCGCAGGGTCCATATCCCGATTTAAAGATGAGTGGAGTACGGAGTAGACCAAGAGCGAAGTTTAATCCAGGTCTCAGGATACATTTGAGAGGAATTTTGGTCGATATGATCTCGCTGGAAGCTCAGACACCAGGTGGCCTCGCGGACAGGAATGCCAACCTCTCGGGACAATGCTGGGTGGATCATGAAAGAAGCATCTCTGAGAGAAGGTATGGAATTCATACCAAGAACACATTGTGAGGCAGCCGATGAGGCATACTCGTTGAAGACTTGTGAAGAAATCGGAAGGCGCTGGAACGGCTGTCCCGGTCCCGTGACGGCAGGCCTTCAGCCACTAGCCAGAGATCTGGGACCGAGCCCTTGCATTGCCCCCCCACCCAGGCTCCAATGGAAGGCTGCAATCCTGTCGGACTTTGCAGCATGATCGGAGCGTAAATGCTCAAGTGAGACATGTGGCGGCAGCGTATCCAGCCGTGGCTGCCGTGGAGCCCACTGTTAGCCCAGCTTATCAACGGCATGGTCGAGATCGCAGATCATGGAAAAAGACAGAGATCCCATGTCACCCGATAAATCACGCCTCCTTGCTTCGGAAGCGTTGCGAATGATTGGTTACAGGGCCTTCCATGCCCCATACTAACCCTCAGTCATGTCACACTTGCCTCTTAACTCACTACTTGATGAGCACACCCGGTCCTATAGTATCTGCGCTGCAGCATGCTGGTGCCAACTGCTAACAAGTCTGGCATGGATATTAGTGTTAAAGTACATTGGATGATGCTTCCCTCTCTCCGAATACGTAGTCATGCAACAATAAATTGAGAATGTGATATTTGGACTCCACCCAACGCCGTCTATGACGATGACCAAAGCATTAAAAAGACCCAAGGTATATGGTTAAAGAAAGACAGCAGCACGCTATGCAGCAAGTACACAACAGACCAAGAATATAGGGAAAAGGCGATACCAGTATCCATGCGATGTGACAATATTTGACAAAGGAAATTCAACGTAGCTCGACGGGTCATGTACTTTTGTGCCAGGGAGTCGGAGGTTTGTATTGTGTGTGAGACAAAGGAAAATAGACGGGGTGAGTAAGTGTGGAGAGACGGGTCAACGATCGTAGGCGAGCACACATAGGACACACAAAGGAAAGTGCACATTAAGATCATTATCTTTGTAGATCCCGCTACAAGCCTTGAATGCTTCAAGAGAATGATATAGCCCCTTGAGTGGTCAGAAAAGAATGGTGTGTGCTGACCTTGACCGAGAACTCGGTGGGAGCGGATGTGATACGGACAATATTCAGTCGTTCACCATGTCGTCCAAGGCCATCTTGCGCCGCTTAGCTGGCCTACTGCCCTCTGCATCGGCCTCGGCCGTCGAGGGCTCGTCTTGGGTATGCACAAGCGACATGTGCAGTGTATGCCTCTCTGCGGTCGAGCCAGTTGGCCCTGATTGCCGAGGCATTGGTTCCCCATACCCAAAGTCAGACACAGCGTGTCGCATTTGACTGTTGGGCGATAGTGGATCAATTAAGCCGTGAGGGGACATTTGCTGCCGGTGCTCTTGTTGAAGAAACTCTTCTCGCGTCCGCGGCGACCAAACTGCTGGATACGGATCGCTCAGGCGATGCCCCTGCGGTGCCGATGCCGGTGTTCCCATCGTGGGCGGATAGATAGGCGGGAGCCTCACAGGAGATTCCAGATAGCCCTCGCGAGGGTCTCGCGACATTGGAGATTCCCCCATCGACATCCGATTGGGCATCCGAGCACTTTCTGGATATGGTGAGATGGGGACGTATGGTTGCTGATACTGGGGTGGCGTGGTAGCCGGGTTCATTCCCTGATGCGTGTAAGACGACAGCGGTCTTCCCACCCCCATAGGCATACGACCCGCCCCCAAAGCCGGATTATATCCAACAGGCATCGGAACAAAGCCGGGTGGAGAAGCGGCTGCAAGAGACTGCGCGGAGCCAGAGGAAGAAAACCGCCGATGTCCAAGGCCTCTCTGCATCGTGATAGTAGGATCTATGGCCTGAGGGTAGACAGACGTGGCCCATCTTTGGGGATGTCCAGCCGAAGCTCTCATGGCCATGGCGCCAGCCTGGCCCCCAGGCATCTGCAGATCCGTCATTGGGCGGATTTCTCGTGAGGATGTGGCTCTATGTAGGCTGCGTCTCGATTGAGGACCGTGCTGCTCCCCTGCTGCTGCTCTATTGTCTATGTGTGCTGCATATGTTCTCAGCGATGCTTCTTCTGCCTTCAAGGGTGGTCGCCCTCGTTTCTTATGCGTAACATCGACACATGTTGCCTACACAAGTCAGTAATTGCGATCCTAACGTGGCCGTAGAGAATCTGAAGGGGTCGCCCCCGGAGAGTCTACAGGGAGTAGAGACTCTTCAGTTTTCAGGATAGGGCGGTCGGTCCAACAGGAGTCACTCACTTCTTTCCCCGAGAGAACGCATCTCCGGCAAGGGCGCGCTGGATCGCAGCCCAGGTGCTTCTTCTTACAGTTGACACACGCGGATGCCACGTGAGCTTTGGTGCGTCGAGTGGGTTTTTGCGGCAATGCGCGAGCCGTTGTCCCAGGAGGTGAGGACCTAAATGAGGGCTGTGCATAAGCTGTTGGCGCAGCTTGTGGTATGCCTGGGCCCACCAGCGATGGCGGCAGTCGCGATGACGGAAAGGTGTCCCCCACACCGAAGGGTTGCCGCAGTGTGTCGTCCCCTGACACCGAGATCATGCGTTGCGCCACGGCCTCATGAGTAGATCCTGGAGGCAGGACCGGTCCCGACAGGCCGGCGGAGATGGAGGTGGTCGCCGTCACGGTGGTGACGGGTTGCGGAAGCTCTGGGTGTCCGGGGCGTCTGGTGTTTCCAGAAGTCTCCAGCGGGTCGTCTGCTGGGACCGAACCGGACATAGAGCGAGGGAGTGGTAGATCCCGAGGGGGGTATCGTCGAGCATTTGTCGACCGAGGCAAGTTCAACGGCAGCCGCTCCGGGCCCGGATTAAACCTGGGGTGTCCAAACTCTGTAGCGATGAAGGAAGAAGGAGGGAGGACTAAAGATTGCATCTGGTAAACCTTGGTCCCTTTGACAGTGGAAGCACGGTGTTCACAAGAATGGGATGCGATCTGGTTCCGATCTTAAAGTAGGCAACATATCTAGCACCCACAGCCTTTGGTCGTCATATAGTCAGTCAAAGTCGGTTGCGGTGTGTTGTTCAGTTGCCAGTCATCATTGAAACCTCACGCTTGCAGTCAGAGGACCACAGGAGCTTATAATCAGTCAGTCCAGAATCACTATTGGAGGAGTCAGAAACTAGGATGCGTCGATCAGCAAAGGGAAGCCAGATCGTGACAGCAGTTTTCCATAGCTTCGATGGTCCCCATCCTGGGATGATTTATTGCAGCATGGTGGGCGATCACTGGGGCCCAGGGAAAATGCACAGAATGGCCATGGCAAAAGCAATAATCGTGGGAGCATAAAAAAAAAGTAGATGCAAATAAAATACACCAGTTGTACCTTACCTTTCAGTAACAATAAGCGTAGGGCTATCCTTTTCGTGATTTTTATTATTCTTTTTTTTTTATGTTCTCCCCTCTTTTTTTTAAATTTCCTATTTTTCGCCCCCGCTCTCTGTCTTCCCTTCGTATAAGATTTAACAACTTGAGGGTGAACTGGCCCAATCCCCCGGACAGCAAAATGCGGGAACGGTGAACTATACCGGAAAGTGAGGCGTAAAAATCCGGTGGGATCACACTGTCTTTTCCCAACGAGTGAGATGTCAGGGAGTAATATATGGGGAAAGAATTTAAGAAAAAGGATTGAATAAAAAAAAATAAAACCTGGACAAGAGGGGAAGGGAAGCAATCACTAATAGGAGGTTTTAATTTTTATTTCTGGGTTTGAAGACCCCCAAGAAGTACCAGGCGTCAACGGCCAAGGCGAGGACACCAGAAAGAGGAGGGAGGAATTCGGCTGGGCGGTCTGGTTCCCCCGAGGCGTGGCCTCGTCGAAGAAAGGCATTAAAGAAAATAATTATAAGAAAGGAAATGTGATCAGAAATGAGCTCCCCCGTCATTGCCCGCAGCCTGTGACAAGGCTTATACCGATCCCAACATGAAGGGAGCTTGTTTGCTTGGTTGACCGGCCGTAGATGGAAACCGGAAGTGGGTAACTGGTGGCCAGTGCAACCCCGACTAGCAGCCGATAGACTTGATCTCCATCATGGTAGATCTTAATGGGGAATCTTTGGCTCCGTCGAGTCTGGGAAATATGTAAGTATGGAGATTAGTGAGGTTCGGAGGAACGAGTGATATCAATGCTCCGGAGGGAAGAGGGGGGGTCCGGTTCGACAAGCTCGGGCTTCAGCTTTACAAGAGTGACGATGACCCTTTCCATCACACTTATTTATGCGTCTTTTTAATTTGGTTGTGACTTCTCTTCATTGGCCTACCGTTTCTGTTTTCCCTGCCTCGATTTTATTTTATTTGTCTATCTCCTCGGCATCATTAGGGGGTTACCATCGATGATGGGTTCATCGGTCCTGTCCGGCTCGCTGGGTCAGAAGCCGTGGCTTGCATACGATGGATGGGCGATGGGCGACTGGATGCCGCTGTCAGTGACACCGGCCGAAAAGGGTTTAACAAAACCCAGAGGGGAAAAGGAAGAGGGGAACTGGAACTGGGACGAGCAACTCGCTTCTTTTCTTTTTTTGCCCTTTTTCGCTCTTTTCCCTCAGTCGTCAAGGTCTGGGGCCAGTGCCAATCAGCTGGCCCGGAAGCAAGGCGAAGGGGGAGCCACGGATCGACATCGGCGCCCGCCCGCGGCGCCCATTGCCAATAGTCCGCTCGGTAGAATTGGGGGGGTGCATTCCGTCCCCAGTTTGACACGCGCTACCGAATGAGGCCTGATGATGGGCCTTCGCCGCCAGGATTTTAAGCTCGTCCATCAATTGCATTGGGCGGATAAACCAAAAGGGTGACGGCGTGTTCGTTCTGTGTACCCTCTTCCCCTCCATGATTCAGGATAAGACTAGAATGACATCCTGCCACACCACTGGGAACGCCCCAAGTAGGCACAGGCGTCTTCACCCTCTTTCCGGTTTCATCGCCATTCTCTGTTTATTTCCAACCCCCCTGCCTTTTGTCCGCCCCTTTCTTACCGTCTGGACCGAAGTTCCAGAAGATTATTCAGATCACAACCAAGGAAGAATGGACGGACGGAGGCCAGGGAAAGCAAGAACGTGGTCATCTCGGAATCGTTCCAATGATCTCACTGCGTCTCTTTCCTTCCTTCTGCCCCCCCTGGAACTCTGTATTCTTCCCCTCAGATTTTCGGGGTTCTCGTCTCATAATTGGGGGCTGTGGCTCACCAATAATATTTCGCTCGCTCTTTATTTACCTTCCTACGTCGTTCTATTTCCCTCTTCGAATCTAGGTTTGTATATACTCCGTACGGATGTGTATCGGAAATAGCGCTTCAAGGCAACCCCAATCCCTCAGGGCCAGCAGGACTAAATATCCGTCCGCACTGCCGTGGGAGGGGTCTAGTCTTGGTCATAGGGCCAGGTTTCTTTTGCCGTGGCATGAGCACACATGCGTGTTGACTTTTGGATATCAAATCGACATGTTGTCACTCACATGGCTGACCGTTCGGGGGTCGTGCAAGGGATGGACAGCACTAGGAAGGCATGATCAATGTATCTATCGTGAGTCCTCACGGAGAGCCTCCTTGAGCGGTTGCAAGCCCCTCGATCGGGTTGGACAGCAGCATTGCACCGGGTGTCGAGTGCTTCAATGAATAACGCCAGCTCAATAGCCCGGACCACTGGACTGAGAGGCCGCAATTCTCCGCGTGGATTCTGCAATAGGTTATGCTGGGTCCCACCCACGCCGTGTAAATGGATTAACGGGTGTGCCAATTGAGGAATGTATGTACCACATTCTGCGAGTGCCGCAGTGGAAGAAATCGGCCGGTCGGCTCTTGGGGGCCATGCAGGCCAACCCTGGCACCTACACTCGATCCCAGTTTCATTATGCAAACTGAATGGACGTCCTGGGTATTGGCTTTGGCGGCTAAAGGGTGGTCCACATTAAAACGCAGGAATGTCCCAGTCGCGATGGCCATCAAGCAAATCGAGCGCAGGGAATCGGACAGGCCTGCAAGCTGGCCACGAACCAATGTAGGCGGATCTCGAAGGGCGACTCCGCACCAATGTGTAGATAGTTATTCTCCAACGGACGCTTATTGTCCGGTCCATGGGAACAATCCATGGCGGTGGTTACTGGTTACTTCCAAACAAGATGTGGCTGCAGCAGCAGCAACGCCCTGGCCAGTGGGACGAGCCTGTATCTAGGTGGTTGAATCACCTGAGCTCCGGAAATTTAGCAGGAACCCCAGTGTCTGTGATGGGCGAAAGTAAATTGGCCCCTCTGATCCTCTGATCCTCTGATGAACGGAAAGATCCACCGGGTTCGCCGAGCACAGAACACGGAACCACGACGCGTGGTGAAGCAAGAGGGGCCACTCAGATCAGACGAATGGGTTCCGGACAACGGTTTTCCCACGGCATCTGCCTGGGAAGCGTTAGCAACCGGTTCATCATCAACTTCATTTATTTCCCCCTTTTCTTTTTGGAGCTTTAATTTTTCTATTACTCCTTTGAGTGGGCCTTCGATAACCCAACTGGAATGTCATCTTAGTCCTACCGGTTAGCACCAGTCACGACTCACAATCACCTGGGGAGCGCCCAAGAAGGCACTGCGGGGAATTTCTGGTATTAACCTTTTGGGCTACCATATGACAGCCCCGGCTTAGCCTCTCACCAAGCTCCATCATGGGTCAATCCGAGCTCGGAGACAAAAATTGAGACCGGAAATCAATTCAGACGAGAAGATCCCCCTCCTCCATGCTCCGTGATGGGTGGTTGGCACATACTCCGTCCGGTACGCGGGATGCCCGCAAGGGATCACTGATTCAGCCTGATCCATTCCGGTTCGGCGCTAGCACCGCAGCACCACCGCAAAGGCAAAGCGTTTCTTGAGCAGCCACCAGCACGATCTGCCTCTTGAGGGGCTCCGAAGCCTGCCAATAGTTCGGCTGTTCAGGCGACCGACCCCCGTCTTTAGGCCTAATGGGGGAAGGGCCCGGGTCATGAAGGATGATGTACCATGCAGGCTGCAGGATGGACGCGTACGGAAAGATAGCTTAGCCTAGTATGTACTATAATCGCGGTCCCCGCGTTCCATCTGGAGGAGGGCCAGGCATGGGCATGCCCACTGCTCTGAATATGAGGAACGAGTCTATGTCAGTGAGAATGAAGCAGGCCTGAGGGAAAGAAAAGGACGCGGGATCTGCCATTTCCCTCTTGGGGCTTAGCCTGGGCGGGAGCCACAGCTTGCCGTTTTGGGAAACACGCAGCACCCGAGGCGGCAACGATTGACGCGCACTATTTGTCATCCGCTCGAGGCTCAAACAGACTATCGCTCGGACTACTGACGCCGCACTGATACTAACATGCCTCTAAGGATAGCTCCTTATCACCTCTGCTATCGATCTATATCGAACGCCGGAGCCAAACGCTAGATCCAACTGCTCCCCTCCGTTGCTGACTGGAATTGGTCTCATCCCGTGGATGTGATTGAATGCGTCCATCTTGATCCATAACGGCTCAGCTCCGAGACAATAACGGGCAGAACGCGCACTACCAGAGCAAAAGCGGGAAGAGAAAGGGCAAGAAAGTCAGTTCCGCGAAGCCAATGGCAGAAATCACCGGTGGTGGCCATCGCTTCCTATGGCGACCCAGCTGGTTGCACATCCGACCCTCCCACAGCAAGTGCTAGTGCGTGTCCGGGCTACACAAGAAAACAATGAAATTTTCCGAGAAGGGTCTTCCCGAGAGGACCCTAGCCATGCTGGGTTTGCACAGAACGACACGAGGGGCAATGGTCACCGCAGGCGCCTAGAGTCGTCCTGCAGTGTATCGGGTATAACTGCTTCTTTGCCATCATCCCCTCCCGAATCATGGGACATCGTGATACCTATCTTGCCTCCTACCCTCTCCCTTTGACTCTAGTTGCTTATGTGCATGCTTAATTTTACTCTGTTGTGTCCAGGCGCGAAATTGAGGGCAATGGCACAACAATGCTGTTGCCTGACCAGCGCTTGCCCGAGGTTGCGCATGATTTAAGTATCAATGCGTTCCGCGTCATGCAGCTTGCAGGTAGTATGGTAAAAACCAAGGAAGGGAAATCGGAAAGAAAAGGTGACGGGAGCAAGTGGTAGGGAAATACCGCTCTTCGAACGCCAGATTTAACGTGCTTTAGACAAATGCCACGAGATTGCTCAGCAAGAGTACCCGATCCGCCCCTTGGAAGACGCTTTCCGCTTCACTTACCGATGTATTGGCCGTCGGAGGCTTCGTGCGCGTTGACGGCGCTTTGAGCGGACCGAAAGAAAGAGGCACCGTAACGCGGAGATCGCAGCGACATGACCTCGGAAGGGCTATGTCCATCTCTTGATCCCGGCCCACGAAGGCTTCGGAAGAAGAGACCAATCAATCGGGCCTTGTCGCTGGCATCACGGATTGCCTGGTCCTAGCCGTACTATCATGGTAGGTCATCCAAAGGTCCTATTCAATGGGGCAGACGTATCGCTGTATGGGTGCATCCTCATCGCGGCTGTACATGGTGGATCATGCGCTCCCTGTGTCGCCGTGAAACCTGCTGTCCCTACCTCCTCGTGATGACCACTCCCACGGGACGCACTTAGCTTAGTTTGCGGAGCATGTCGGCGACGAGGTGGCAACATACCATGGACAACCGGTGACTTGGATGGATGTGATTGTCTGCGCGAGTCGGAGTGATGGCGTGGACAAAACCTTGAATCTCGCCGAACGCGATACACGGTGACCGCGTCAACCTCAGCCTTGGCGGTGGCTCTCCATCCAGGCTGCCGGGAGGGCCAGACTTCGCAGGCGACCTGGCTGCATGACGGACGTTGAACCGGCAGCCTGTATGCTGCAGTACAGAATGACGAGTCATCTGCATGGGGGCGTTGAAGTTGAGTACGTCCGAAAATGGCAACCCAGCTAGCAGAGTGTCGGTGAGGATATGACAAGTACTTCTGTGAACGACGAATCGAGTGACTTCAAGGTTCTCCCTTTTTAGCCAACTTTGATCAATCCCGCTGGGAAACCCTATTTCAGCTTTTTCTCCTTTGGGCCAGCTGAAATCGATCCCTTTCGGGACGGTCCGTGAAGAGGGCCATTGCTCGCTCCACCGCGATGGAAGGGGCAGACAATTATTGAAAACGAAGGGGAATAGTAACATACTTGCATATCTACAGACGGCAATTGAAAAGCTCCATAGATATTTTCCATGGCCCGTGCCCTGTCTATGGGGCCGTCCGTTGCTGAATTCCTCCGCTGGGTTTGGCAGAGCAAGCCAGCGATCATGGCTTGGTCGTTCCAGCAAATATTGTTTCAGAGGGTTATAGCTAACCAGTGCTAGTACCCCATCATATTGGATCTGAAGTCATTCCATCTTGCTTCACTTGGAAGGTCAGCCTAGCTGAACGTCATACCCGTCCAACCAAATATAGCCTCGACAAACATGACACCAGCTCACCTCAAGAATTGGGACTACACCTCGCTCGCCTTGCCAATCCAGCTCTAACTATGCAGCTACTCCCAGCAGATGACATCTCTTAGTGATTGCTCAAGTCTCTCCTATCTTCTAACTAACTTGCAAAACCCAATGCCAGCTATCTACCACCCTTTGCTCACCATAGCATACTGAAGACCATTTCAGAGGCATCCGTCCAATATTTTCATGCCACAATATCCTGAACAACAAGTCTACCCCTGCATTCGTTACTCAGCGTCTATGATCTAGGCTATGGCGTGGTGAGAATGGTCTAACATATTATTTTGTATGTCAGACATTCTTCCCTCCACCTAGCCCGTAGGAGCTCTAGCTAAGATAGATAGCAAAATACACCATTGATTCACTGGTATACGAACATTAGCGGTATATCTGCATCCATGCCTTTCTAGTGCCACGTACTCTGTAGATTTGGCATGAAATCGTTCATTCGTTGCGTTGCAATTCAAACTCTTGATACCGTAGGACTCCTTTACTACCAGAAGACATACTTACATCGAGTAATATAACTGAGCGACTTGGCGTGTTCTCGGCAAGAAGGCTGTTTGGTTAATTGCATTCTTCATAGTGGTGTGTATCCGGAATGGAGATATGGGGATTGATCTTGTTGATTGGATTTTGATGTTGTTAGTATAACGATGAGGGATTGGTTGATGCTTGTTTGTTTCATGAAGGTAGGTATGAGTGGGCGAGTACTATGTGTATGTATTGATGGAGGGTACGGTCACATGTCATTATGGGCATAGACTCAAGTTATCAGGACAGATCATCATAGTTATAGTGAAGTGCGGAATATATACAATCTCATTGATACCAACGCCAACCCAACACCAACACAATCAATCCCAACTACAGACCCCCCCCCCTGAGTCTCTACATCATCCACCCACCGCAAAACTCATCGGTTCCTCCCCCCTCCTCATTCTCCACCGATTACTATACTCAATCAACTCCTCACACCCCTCCACCGCCCACGACCACTTCCGCAAAAACCCCGGCGTAGCCTCCCAGCTCTCCGCCCTATGCGGCTCCCCCCAGATAATCAGCCCCTTCCGGGAAGCCGTAATCTCATCATCCTCCGCCCCCAGCAGCACCATACTCCCCGTCGCGGCCGCGGGATCCAAATCCGACGACGGCGGCGGAAACACCATGCCATCAATAAAGCACCCAATCAAGTCCGCGACAAACTCGCCATGATTGAAACTGGTTTCCCAGGTGATCAGGTTTTCCCGCATTCTGGGGAACGGGATCAGGTCGATCCATGAGCAGTGGACGAGCCGTTCTTGGGATTGGGTGGGGATGAGGCAGGCTGGGATGTCGGTTGCCGTGGGGATGATGATGGAGTACATGGGGTATAGGTCGCCTTGGTGGACGACTTCGATGGGTTTAGGGCCCGGGAGAAGCGCGATGGTTAGCTGGCTGAGGAGGACTTTGTTTTGGAAGAAGCCCCAGAAGACGTTGTAGTAGATTAGGTGGAGGAGGTTGTCGGCTGGGAGGGGGGTTTGCCATTGAGTGAGTTTGGATGGGGTTATTGTTGCTGATATGGCAGTTGATATCTGATGCTCTTCTGGTGTCTCATCCTTGTGGGTATTTCCAGGAGTGTGAAGGGAGCTGTATAGCTTCCAGGAAGTACTGCGGGGCGCTTCGTATTCCTCGAGTCTCCAACGATGCACACTGAAGGGACGCCGGTCCGGCTCCTCGTGCTGTTCTTTCTTGAGACGAAGACCTAGTGAGTATTGTGAGTAAGCGGGTCTGAAGAGACCAGACAATGGACTTACGACGCGCTCGCTGGTTTATCCGATTCTGGAGCTTCTTCCGCTGACGCTTCTCGTCCACTCCACCGGGGTTACTGGATAACACCATGGTTGATGCTGGTCACACCGTGAGGGATTTTGTCGTCGGTGCCGTGGAGCACTCATATCCTCCATCGCTATGATACAATAAGAGGCAAACTAGAACAAAGAAGGTGAAAAGTGTCAGCTCGGAGGCAGAGGGTCGTTGCAGGTGACGCCGTCTCGACCCGTCAGGAGCACTAGCCCCAAACAGGCAATAATGTCAGCCAGATGGTTTGGCTGAGTTCTTCGACACTCTTCTTCGACACTCTTCTACTACATCTATCAGTGAAAGAAAATTGGTATAAATATGGCCTCATCTCTATTCAGGATGCATCCCTATTCAACAGCCTCAACTCATCTCATCTGCTCAGAAACAAGCTCTTGACCGCATCAACAGAACCATGTCTCGCTATACTGCCGCCCACGCAAACCCCCACGGTCCTGGTGACTCGCGACCCACGGCTCTGCAAATAGTCCAAGATAGCAACATGGAAGGCAAGCTGGTGGGCAAAGTCGCCGTCGTGACAGGCGTGTCCTCCGGAATCGGAGTCGAGACCGTTCGTGCTCTCGCAGCCACGGGAGCAACCCTCTACCTGACGGCCAGGAACCTGGACAAAGCACGCGCAGCTCTGAGCGACATCTTCCAGCCAGGAACCATGGAACTGGTGCAAATGGACCAGTCCTCCCTGGCTAGCGTGCGACAGGCCGCAGCAGCCATCCTCGCCAAGACCAAGCAAGTGAATCTCCTCATCGGCAACGCTGGAGTCATGGCCCTGCCAGACCTCCAGCTCACTGAGGATGGGTACGAGGTGCAATTCACGACAAACCATCTCGCCCACTTCCTGCTCTTCCAGCTGCTCAAGCCTGCCCTGCTCGCTGGGAGCAGTCCCGCGTTTCAGTCCCGGGTGGTCATGGTGGCGTCGTCGGGACATAGGGTTCACGGCATCAACGAGTCAGACAACTATCATTTCCAGAAGGGCGGGTATAATGCCCATGTTGCGTACGGTCAGTCCAAGACAGCCAATATCTATATGGCCAATGAGATTGAGCGTCGGTATGGGTCTCGCGGCTTGCATGCGACGAGTCTCCACCCCGGCGTGATTGCTACGTCGCTGGGGAGACACATGACTGAAGAACAGATCCAAGGGTTGTTGCATGATGAGACGGTGAAAAAGGTCTTGAAGAGCCCGGCGCAGGGAGCGGCGACTACCATGTGGGCTGCGGTGGGCCGTGAGTGGGAGGGCAAGGGTGGAAAATATCTTGCTGACTGTGCCGAGGCAGTGCATGCTGAGCATGATGGACATGTTGGAAGAACGTGTGTGAGCTATACGTACAGCCCTGTGGAGGAGGGCCGACTTTGGAGGGATTCGCTAGAAATGGTGGGCTTACGTGAGGACTAGTGTTTACCAGGACCACGAGGTAAGCAGTCTTGAATCCAGTATCTAAACTTAATTTAACTCCATTCATCGCTGACAGGATAGCTACTAAGCTACTAGCCAGCCTTGTGCGGCTGCGCAGAATCTTGAGATACACAATCATCTTTTCTACTATTTACTTTTACCCATAGATACTCAATGGTAGCAAACTACAAGTGTAATAGATACCCGAGTAAGCTCAACCACAATACCCCAAATGTCATTGTCCTCGTGTACAAAGTACTCCCTGACCCTCCAAACGGCCCCAACAACCCCGGGCACGCTTAAATTTAGGGAACGACGGCGTCACACCACGCCACGCCACTAGTAGCCCCGGGGCATCAGGCTGTCAGATCCCTCGCCAAGGCCAAGCTTCTGCCTGCAGCCTTAGTACTTCGACTGCGCTCGATATATAAAGTCCAGCTCCCCGCAGTTGCTGCATCATCTTCCACATCCGCCCAAACAACAACCACAGTCCAAAAACCGAAACAATGACAATTGAGCCCATCATCGTCTGGCTAACCCGTATGCTACCCCCATCCCATTATACATCACACCACTAACAAGCAATGATATGGTATAGCTTCGGGTCCTAACCCATGGAAAGTCAGTCCACCGAGCTGAGCTGAGCTCACCCCACACCACAACATCTACCCCAAACATACCACACACACCACTAACCACCACAATCCCCAACAGGTAGTCGTCATCCTCGAGGAACTGAAGATTCCATACACCATCAAATCATTCAAATTCGATGACGTCAAGAAAGCCCCGTTTATCGATGTTAATCCTAATGGTCGTGTACCAGGTACTGTCCCACCTCTACTACAATATACTACATCCTAAGACCAACTACAAAAATACTAACAAGATTGAAAAAAAAGCAATTCAAGACCCCAACACAAACCTCACCCTCTGGGAATCTGGCGCTATAATCCAATACCTCATTGACGTCTACGACACAACACATCAATTGAGCTTTGAGACGCTAGCCGAGAAACATCTCCTGAATCAATACCTTCAGTTTCAGATGAGTGGGCAGGGCCCGTATTATGGACAATGTGGATGGTACGTCTCCCCTCCCCCCCCCCCCAAAACATCAAAAACAACATGTTTATAAGAAGAATAGGTTCAACATCCTCTCCCCCGAACGAATCCCCACCGCCACAACGCGCTACCAAAACGAAGTCCACCGCGTCCTCAGTGTCCTCAACACCATCCTCACCAACAAAACCTGGCTGGTCGGGGAGAAATGCACATATGCGGACCTCGCCTTCCTGCCGTGGAACTGTCAATTGGATATGTTAATCCCCCGGGACGACGGGGGGGAGATTCTGGAGGCGTATCCGTGGGTAAAGGCGTGGCAGACCCGGATGGAGGATCGGGAGTCGTGGAGGAGAGCTATGGTGGTGAGGGAGAGGTTGATGGATGAGCAGGGGTTGCAGGTGAATGGTATGCCGAAGGGGGTGAGGAATATTAGGGAGTATGAGGAGTTGATTGCGAGGTTACAGAAGGAGAATGAGGAGGGGCAGGAGGGGGAGGAGAGGGTGGATGAAGATCAGGGTGTGTTGGGGTGTGTTGGGGTTGGGGGTTTGGGGAATAAGGCGAAGGAAGAGGTGGTGGTGGGTGAGAAACAAGCGGAGGATGGGAGGTGGGATGAGGAGGAGGGTGTGCCGGGGTGTGCTTCTATTGGCAACGTTCATTGATCTATGTACTATGGTTCATTTTTCATGCGTGTAGGAATATATAGTATGAAGGAATTCAGCTTTTAACCCTAGCACAATGGTATATACAATAAACAACCCAACAGGAAGGTATCACCTCACTTCTTCCGCGACGGACGAGCGTTCTTCTCCCGACGGTTCTGCTTCAACTTGCGCGCCCGCCGAATATCATCCGTGCTCTTCAGCTCACTCCTACCACCCGAGGCAGCACCGCCAACCTTGGCCAGCTGGCGCTCCTTGGCTGCCGCGTTCTTCATCTTCATCTTGTCATAGTCTCCGCGAAGAGGATCAGCCCGCTTAGGCGCCTGGTCCTTGTTGTGTCGGAACCGTCTGCCACCGCGGTAGTTAAGATCAGCACCCAGACCCGGAGTCTCGGCCTCACCCACGCGAGGCATGCGCTCAAGTCGCTTGCCCTTCTTCCAGGCGTCGAATCGGCCACTCCGGAAGCTGGCGGCGATCTTGGCACCACTCTCACCGCGCACGAGGCGCGTGCCCTTGGAGCCGTCCTCGTCGTTGTGACGCGACACGTACTTCTTGTGTCGCTTGTCCCAGCGCATCATCGTGCGAGGCTCGCCGAACCCGCGGCTGCCTTCGTCGCCGAGCAGATCCATGGCCGCATCGCGAGACGCCTGGGCGAAGTTGGCGTTCGTGCCGGAGTGCACACCGTATGCGCGGTCCTCGGCCAGGGAGGTGTTGTTGGGGGTGTAGGACATGAAGTATTCGGGGTTCTGGAATGACGTGGCGCTGGCTTCTTTCTTGGCTTTGTTGTCGTTCGATTGGTTGTAGGAGGAGAAAGTGACTTCAAGGTCGGATTCGTCGGCAAGCGACATGTTGTCGGCCGCTCCCTCACCGACATCATCGTCTTCTTCGTCAAAGGCGCCGTCCTCGGCATCGTCGGCATCAGCGTCTTCGGCGGGTGCGCTGCCGAGGAGCTCGGCCTGTGCTTCAGCCTGTGCGCGCTTCTTCTTCGTGTCGAGTGTGGTCCGGACACGCTTGATGGTGCTGAGGGCCTCCTCATTCTCCGGCTTGCCGCTGCGGCGGTTGTTGACCTCGAAGATTGTCTCCTGCGGCCGGTAGCCGCCAATCCGGGCGAGCATCTTCTCGCGCTCGGCTTCCATCTGACTGGTCTCGTCGTTGAACAGTGGGTGCAGGGCCGTCCAGTTGTCGGAACCGACCACCTGCTTCGACCGCTTGGCACTCTCTAGAGACGCCGCATTGCGCGTGCGCATGTAGAGCTTCTCTCCCTTGGTGGCGACCGAACGCTGCAGGGCAATATCCGCCACATCATCCTGGACCTTGGCCACCCACTCGCAGCCCTGGGACAGACCATCCCGAGGCAAGCTTCCAACGACTACGTCCTCAGCAAAGTTGACATTGTCGCCATGCTCGCGGCCGAGGACCAATCGCCGACCGAGGAACAGCTGCAGATCGAGAAGGTATGGGGCATCGGCATCACGAACCAGACTGTAACTCCAACCGGTGCGGCCAGCACGGGCGGTACGACCGACACGATGGACGAAAATCTTGGCTTGCGAGGGGAAGTCGAAGTTGATAACATTGGCAAGAATGGGAATATCGATACCTCTGGCCGCCACGTCCGTGACGACAAGGATGTTGGAGATACCCGCGCGGAAGTTCTGGACTTGGATCTTACGAGCCGTCTGGTCAAGGGAACCGTAAACGTAGGAGGTGGCGAAACCGGCTTCGCACAGTAGGGAGTACAAGTAGTCAACGTGGTGCTTGGTTGCCGCGAAGACAATGGTCGAATGCTTCGTGGGCGACTCCTTCCAGTTGGTCTTTTCATCTCTCTTCCGCTTCTTGGAGAACCTTCCTTTGCCCTTTGCCTCCTCTTCCTTGATGCGCTGCGAAGCCTCCGTCGGGCCCGTGGGCATCTTGATGACCTCGTGGAGGATATACATCAGCGCACCCTCCTTGTCCGCCGACTTGACGGAGAAGAACGCATTCTGCAGATCGGGAGAGATCTTGCTCTCCGTATCCAAACGAATCAGGGTGGGCTCCTGCAAGCCAGCGCGGGCGAATTCCACCAGGGACTTGGGCAGGGTAGCGGAGAAAAGCAGGGTCTGGCGAGTGGAGGGCAAGCCGTGCAGAATCTCGGTCAACTGGGCGGCGAAACCCATTTCGAACAGTCGATCGGCTTCATCGAACACCACGTAGCGAATACTCGAGAGATCCAGGTTCATCTCGACCTTCAAGTGCAGGAAACGACCGGGCGTCGCGATCACGATATCAGGGTTACCGGCCATCATCGAGAACTGTTCCTCCAGACTGTCACCACCAACCAGCAGCACCGACTTCAGATCTGTACCCTTGCCCAGCTCCTTCACAACCTTCAGCGTCTGCAACGCCAACTCTCTGGACGGCGACAAGACCAGCGCGCGAGATCCGACCGTGCTGCTGTGGCTCTTCAACTTTTCAATCATGGGAATCACAAACGCCGCCGTCTTTCCGGAACCTGTGCGCGCCATACCCACGACATCCTGGTCCTCCATAATCACAGGGATCGTCTTGCGCTGAATGGGCGTCGGCACCGAGAAACCCTTCCGTGTGATGGCCTTCAAAAGATTCGCATTCAATCCCATGGCCTGGAAACCACCACCCTTTTTCACCGTACGACCCTTCAGATTCGAGCCCTTTCGATTCGCCGACGCCTGCGTCTCGGCGATAAACGCCTCGTCATCTTCATCATCGTCATCGCCGTCCACGCCGAGGAAATCGAGCTGCTGGGGCGCCGCCGCCTTCGGTTGCCGCTTGGATTGCTTCGTAGCGGGCTCGGGGTCGGAGTCGCTGTCATTCTGGAACAGCGCATTGGTAATGTCGAACTCATTCTCCGACATGGCCGGAGAAGCGGCACGACCAGGCATTTTGACGGATTTCTGGTCTGTACCGATTGTGGTTGACAGTGTCGCACTTATCGGCCTGAGACTTTTTTTCTGACCGCGAGAATTCGCCGGGCGGTGAGGATCCGCATCAATGTTGCTCCGGAGTGCAAACGAGGCAAACCAATCTCCCCGCGACGCGTCGACACGTCCCGATGCGGTAAAATGAATCTTCAGTGAATTGTTGGACTCACTTTCACCTCAACTCATTGCTGTACTCATATCCGCACACTGACACGCTGTACATCATGGGTAGGTATCCTTACTACTTATGACGCCCTTCATCCCCCCTGCCATGCCGTTCTCTACATCCCCGCACGTTCCAACAGTCATAACACTAACACAACACCAGACAACGGCTACAACAACTACAGCAGCACCTACTCCGGCGGCGGTGGTAGCGGCGGTGGCTTCATGCCCGGCGAGATGAACAGCCCATCAGGGGGAAAGGTATCCCCCTCCCATGCCTCCCCATCCCTCCTCCCAACCCCATCACTAACAACCCCTCCAAACCAGTCCGACTACACAAACGCCACCCTCCGCCCCATAACCATCAAACAAGCCCTCGACGCCATCCAACCCTACCCGGAAGCACCCTACCAAATCGACTCCGCGGAAGTCGCCTCCGTGACCTTCATCGGCCAAGTCCGCAACATCTCCTCCCAAAGCACCAACATCACATACAAACTCGACGACGGCACCGGCGAAATCGAAGCCAAACAATGGATTGATTCCATGACGGCCGATTCCATGGACACGGATGACCCCAACACCAATTCCACCTCCAATAACAAAAACAAGAACCAAATCGAACTCAACGGCTACGCACGAGTCTTCGGAAAACTCAAATCATTCGGCAATAAACGTTTCGTGGGCGCGCATTGCGTCCGCCCCGTTCGGGATATTAATGAGTTGCATTGTCATTTGCTCGAGGCGTCGGCCGTGCATTTGTTCTTTACTCGGGGGCCGAGTACGGCATCTTCTGGTGGTGCTGGTGCTGAGGGGGCAGGGGGTATGAAGGGTGGAGATTCAGCGATGGGTGGTGTCAGTGCAGGGGATGATTACGGTGCCGGAAAGGGTCTACCGGCGATGAGCCCCGTCGCGAAGAGAGTGTATCATCTCCTGAAGACGGAACCGCAGAGTAATGAGGGGTTGCATGCGCAGTTGATTGCGGCGAAGTTGAGTTTGCCCATGCCGGATGTCGCGAGGGCGGGGGATGAGTTGCTGACGGCGGGGGTGATCTTTTCCACGGTGGATGAGCATACGTGGGCGATTTTGGAGTTTTAAGTTATTTATGGTGTGGTGGGGGGATTAATGGGGGAAAATTCATAAATTCATGGTAGGTAACTAGTTCGTATGATATCATTTCATTGATCGGTCATATCTGTATGCAGACGCAAAGAAAGCATAAAGTACAATCATCTATATCAAAACATGCTGTTGACAGTATACATCATCATCACACATAAGATTAATCCATACAAGACATGACACGATGCTTAAACCGACGCATTCCGACGCAGAGCATCCTCGACCGAGCGATTCCAATTCGTCCGTGTCAGGAAGAACGCCTCAATAATCGACACCAACAACAGGGCCAATGCAACCCCCGACCACAGACCGAACAGTCCCCACTGGAGTCCGAACGTCGTCCCGAAACTAATCGGCATGGCGATCGCGTAGTAGCAGAAGAGCTGCACGTAGCCGCCGATTTCTTGCCGGCCGATACCGCGCAGGATCCCGTTGCAGTTGGCAGCGAGGGCGTCGAAGAGCTGGAAGGCGGCGCAGAGGGGGAGGACCTGTGCGACTAGCTCGATGACTTCTTCGTCGGAGGTGAAGAGGTAGGGGATGTAGTAGCGGAGCGAGGAGAGGAGGAGCATGTTGAGGAGACCCACGATGACGGCGCCGACCATGGATACCTTGGCGGAGGTCTTGGCGGCGTCGACCAGTGTGGCGCCGATGAGGTTGGCCACGCGCGTGCTACCGGAGATGGAGACGGGGAAGGGGATCTGGAAGGTGATGCTGGAGATCGTGGACAGGATTGACTGGGCGGCTAAGGGCGTGGTGCCGAGATACGAGGACGCCAGGGTCAACACTTCGAAGGCGAGACACTCGGCCTCGACCATGAGGAGACCCGGGAGGGCGAGCTTGATCATGGGTCCCCAGTTGCGTAGGGCGCGGGTCGTCACGCCGTTCCAGCACTCGGACCCGTCCACGAAGTACACGTACAGGAAGAGGAAGAGAGGCATCAGGTTGTCCGTGATGGCCACGGCGATGGGCGCTCCGACGAAGCCCCAGCCGAACTGCCACACGAACAGGTAGTTCATGAATGCATTTAAAGGAGCGCAGATCAGAAGCACATAGAGGGAGGCCGAGAAGAGCCCCTGCGCCTGCACGAATCGCTTGCCACTCTCGAAGCAAGCGTATCCCGGCGCACCCAGCGCAACCACCTTCAGGTATAATCCCGCCAGCATGGCGACCTCCTCTTCCGGCACGATGTGAATGAGAATCCGGTCGGCGAAGAACCACAGCACGATAATGGGAATGGAGATGGCCCAGAGGAAGAAGACCATCTTCTGCATCTGCAGACCCACCAGCTTCTTCCGTCCGGAGCCATAAGCCTGCGCACACAATGTATCCAAGCTAGTCGCGAGACCCTGATAGACTACTCCAGTCAGTACAACACGATAAGTAACCAATTCAAGTAGCACCCATACCTGCATAACCGGTGATACTCGCGCTCATACTCGCCAAACTCACCGCACCCAGTTCCTTCTTCCCCAGATGTCCCAGGGTAAAGATACTCGCCACAGTCAAAGAATACTGCAGCAGGAAGGTCACCACCAACGGAGCCGCATTCTTCCCAATGACCTGGGCTTCACGCTTCCATGTCGTCTGGATCAGTCCTGCCATGACGGCCTCCTCCCACTTTTTATCAATTTCCTCCGAATCCACGCTCTCGTACTGCGACCCGCGCCGTTCACCCCCCAGCAACGACGCCGTCTCCGCCGCCGATGCAGAGCCCAATCTCATGCGCCGTCCCTTGTGAGGACTCGACTCCAGAAAGTGATTATCCGTGAGGAGGTTCCGTTCATCCTCAATGGCCCGTTCGCGCTCCCTCCGCGTTAACCCATCATGATCCGGACGGTGCGGAACCACCGTGGCATGGGAGACGGTGGTGAAGAAACTCGGGCGCTGATACGATCCAGCCAAGGAATGCGGCCTCGTGCCTGGCTGGCTACCGATGGCGCGGATCGTGGAGGTCTCGGAGGCATCGTCATCGGTCGTGAGCATGGAACCCTCATCATCGGCATAATCTTCTATATCGCGGGCAATGGCGGTACTAGCGAGGGGCGAGCTGGATCTATAGCGGTGCTCATCGGCGATCCCGCGTATACTATTGCGGCGGGCCATAGTAGCGATCGGAAATGGATTCCACGGGGGAAGAATGGATTGGTTGGTCAGTCGGGGATTGAATGCTAGCTGTTGTATCACTGGGATTGGGGCGCTGGAGCAGTCATCCGCATGATTATACCACGACGACAGGGGGGGAATTGGGAATTGACCTCTCGGACCTGCAGGAGGGAAGCAGCAGGAATAACAAGCAGGACGAAGAGACGGGCCGGTTTTGTATGTGAGTCGCAGGCTATCCGGTATTCGCGTTACAGCAGATTTTGCCGCTCAGGCCATCGGATCCACTGCTAGTACGCCTGTCGAGGCTTGCTAGTGACTCCATGTCGATTGCAGACTTTTTGTCGGATTAAACTCAAAGTCGAATGCACTGGTCTCTATGCGTGGACACTTAGGTAACAGCATTAACAATATCCAGATACCGTGGTGCTGGAGGCAAGAATGCAGTGACACCCCGCAAAAGCCATGGACCCCCGCGATGGAAAGATGCGATGAATGCCGGACGTCACTGAATTACGGCGTCGTAAGATACCCGGCGGCAGCCAATCAGCGGTGCTGCGACTCACCCCAAACAAGATGGTCCAGCCGAAGGCTTGAGTGGAGGCGATCACCATCTCATCGACGGCCATGGTTATCAAGGAGCTGAGAATCTGATATCGGATGAGTAATTAACGTTACTACACGTAGAGAGAGTATCAAACCAACAGTATCAAACCATAGCACCACAATGATCGATACCGCGCAGCATAGAAACAGTATCAACAATGACATCATCCGATACCACATCACGTGGATCCCGGCATCGGACCCTTCGATTGGTCTGATCGCATACTTCGCCGTATGCAGTCCAACTAGTCGACTTCGTATAGTTACAAACTCACTCTCACTCATCAGCCTCTAATCTCTACTACACTCACCACAACACAGCGCACCACAGCGCACACAGCACCATGGCAACCACCACAACCCAACAAGAACAAGAACAAGAACAACAACACCAACACCGACACACCCTCCCCGCACCCCCATACAACCCGATCATCAACGCCGCCAACAGTCCCCCAATCCTCGCAGACGAGTATACCCCCTCCCTCTCCCCTGTCCCCCTCTTCCTAAAGCAACCCCTCTAACATAACCCCCAACATTGATAGTCCGCTCTGCCAAAAAACCCACATCTTCCTCACCCGACCCTACCTCAGCGCCCTCCTCTTCGAAAACACCACCTCCGACGCCCGCGACCACTGCGCCAACGAACGCACCTTCCTCTCCTGGCTGCGCCTCTCCATGTACCTCGCCATCGTGGCCATCGCCATCATCATCTCCTTCCATTTCCAGACCCCGCCGACGGGATTAGAGCGCCGTATGGCCCTCCCGCTGGGAATCGTGTTCTGGGTGCTTAGTTTGGCGTGTTTGGGGAATGGGTTTGCGAATTATGTGCGTACCGTGAAGAAGTATAGTCGGAAGGCGGCGTTGGTGCAGAGTGGGTGGAAGACGCAGGTCACGTTTACGGTGGTCGGGACGGTCATTTTGGGGAGTTGTGTGTTGTTTTTGGCGACGGATGCGAGGACGGGGACGAAGTGATTTTTCTTTTCTTTTTTTTTAATACGTTTGGTTGGAGAGGAGGGAAGATTTAAGTTGCGGAATATGAAATATGGAGATGGATAATGAATATGTTCATGAATAGCTAGAGGTATTAGGAGTCTACATTGATCGATCCGCTGCAGGATTGGTATCTGGCTCGGATTATACCGGCAAACGCTGTCCAAACAGAAGCCAAGGGGAATCAAGAAAGACCGCGCCGGGTCAGATTCATGCGCAATGCAGCACAGTACGAATGCGAATGCCATGACATCGTCGGTTGTTTCGCCACGCCTTACATCCGACGGATCGCCTGCTCGTTCTTGTACGGCTCCAGCGACGGCGAGCCCAGGTGAGCCCACCACTCAAACAGCATCGAGTTGCAGATGAGCTTGAACCAGGGCGTGAACGTCAATCCCGGCTGCTCGAACATCTGCTTCAACTCCTCCGCGGAAACGTATTTTGTGTCGCGCACTTCATTCGGATTGGGCTTCAGATCGACATTGGCTTGAATGAACAGGATGTAGTCAACTAGACAGGGTTAGCGGCCAACTGGCCATCGAGGTCGGGATGCAACATACTCTCATGCTCTCCCCACTTCCCATCACTGGGCGCCTTGTAGTGGATTCGGGTGAAGAACTCAAATTTGTCGAGCGGGACCTGCTCCGGCTTGATGCCCAGCTCTTGCTCCAGCTTGCGCTGTGCCGCGCGCTTCACGCCCAGCACGGCCGCATCCAGCTGCGACCCCGTCTCTCCCGGAATGCCCAGAGGGTGGGAGCAGCAGGTGTTTGTCCACATGTCGGGGAAGGTGATCTTTTCGGAAGCCCGCTGCTGGAGCAGCAGACGCTTGTTGGAGTCGAAGAGAAAGACCGAAAAGGCACGGTGGAGGAGGCCGCGATCGATGTTGGTCATTAAATGGCCTGCCCATTGGGTCGCAGGATCAGTACTCCGTTAAATGACCAAAAGGGGTCAGGAACTTACAAGCCTTCTTGCTGGCGCTGCCAATGGGCTTGTCATCCTCGTCCAGGACGATACACACCTCCTCCATCAGGCGAACCTGTTCCTCATCGTAGCCGGCCAGCTCGTCGCCCGCCTGGCTGGCGGAGGGGTTGCTGGTCGCAGTGGGGAGCACCTCCCGCGCGAGCGAAGTGTCGACCTCGGGGAAGAGGGTCGCGACATTTTCTGCCGTGATCCTCGGAGGTTCGGTGACGGTTACAGTGGCACTCATTCTGGAGGACTGGCTGACAGACGGAGGGATTTGACGAGACCCCAGTTTGCATGGGATGGGGCGAAAGAAGTGAGCGAGGATTTGGGGAGGGACAATAGGAGGGCCACCGCCATAGGCGGGGAAGTGGCCAATCGGCGCCCGGGCGGTGGCAGAAAACCCATATTGTTCGTGTGATGCCTGTCTCGTGTCTTCTACATCTATTCCGTACCAAGTACAGAGTACCTTCCTGGTTGTTGCTGCTGCTGCTGGCTGCTTCGGAGTCAGCAATACCTCAACCCTCTCACTTTCTCCAATGTGTATTCCAGAACATCATCTCGTGGCTGGATACGCTGGACATGAGCTAATTTTCCTGCCATCAGGATTTCTGCTCGGAATCGCCCCAATGGCACCTGAGATAGATGCTAACACCCCGATCACCAACTTCGTGGGACGAGATGGGAGGTCCTTGGAAGGGATGCTGTCCAGCTTGGCATTCACTGTCTGCAAATTCTGTGGCATACCCTTCATCACGCTTGTAGTTGCTAAACTCGGTTGGATGACCCTAGCTGACAGACTCGGCGAAGTGACCCCTCGTGCTCGGTCCGTCGGGGCCAAATCTCCTGCTCATCACTGGGACTTTGCAGACTGTCACCACTTATCATAGTATAAAGTCCACGACAAGGTCTTCATCGACCTCGTGCCAACCTGAATATTCAGTGCTAGATAGGCTGCAGCCTGCCGCTGCCTAATGTAGGCTGCTAGACGGCAACCACTGCTCGTGTCGCTTGACCTGCCGGTCTTGCTGGACCCGTCGGATGTGAACGTTCAGCCAGCATTTGGTCACTGCATAAATCAGCAGCAGGGACCCGGCCGCGCACAGTGCACAAGGCAACTGCCTTGGTCAAGGCGTCTATCCCATTCGTAGTCTACCTAGTTCCTTAGTTAGGGCGTGATAATGAGAATGGCCTCATTTATTAGTGCCTTGGCTCCCCTGGATTAGTATGCCCCCTGCCGTCTCACATTATTCAGTCAGCGATAGACGGAGTTAATTTCCACTCGCGCGCTTAGCTTCTGACGATGAGAATGGCGCCATTTTTTGTTTTCCCCCCCTCTTGGACAAGGGTTGCTCCGATCACTCGCCGGACCTATCTCGGCGACCACGTCGTGCTAGACCCCTCAGTAAGCAGAATGCATAGGCCAAGGCAATTGAAGGGGTTTCCAAGCGAAGCCCGCCCTGGGACACGAAACGCGCTGCTGAATAACCTCACTGTCAGCACCAGCCGTCCATTCCGTGCGCTTGGCGGGTCCCATCCGGGTCGCGCTTGTTTGGACCTAAAAGGTTCGCTAGGGGTCTGGATTCTTCCTTCCGTAGCATCAAACCATAGCCGGTCGCAGACCAGCTCGGGGAGCATGTGAGATCCACTGGTCTTAGAGTTGGAGCCGATGGTGCCCAGATACTAAAAACATTTGCTCCGGCGGGATCAGGGCCAAATAGGAAGGACTTACAGACGATGTTCCGTGCCTTCAGCTAGACTCGATGGGTCCACTAGGAACCTTTCCGACTTCCCCATAGTCCTCCAAGCCATAACGGTAATGGTTATCTCTACGGCGCTCGGCGATGGGTAGCCCTTTTTGACAACTCCCGCGGCCAAATGGAACCCTGGGGCTGACCAGCCTGCCCAGTCATCGCCATCGGTGTCCGATTCGGTTCGGCGCGGACTGGCTTTCAGCGTGTATTGAGTTTGCTAGGCCAGTCGCTGCAGCACTTGGCTTGTTCCTGGTGTGCTTAGCCGATATAAGCTTCCGTACGGCCCATTGCTAACGAGTCGTGCAGGACCGGAAGACGCCCATGCTCCTCCGCTTCGTACTTTTTTCCACGGTCAGCCCCGAGTATGGGGTTGGACGTCGTCTGAACGGACGCGCCATTGGGTCAGTTTCATAGATAGCGAGCGTAATTAGACGCCAGAAAGACCAGCCAGTCCCGTCATCGCCCGGAATCCATTCCTTCCGACGTTGGCCCTCTAACGGATCCGGGTCAAAGAAAAATACGGAAGTGACCCCGTGGATGCCTGGAAGTGAGGCTGGATCCCTGCAAGTGTCATCACTCAGGATCCATTGGCATGACTGTCTAGCCATGAATCGTAAGAGCCCGTTGTTGTCCGGTGGACCTAACAGGCCACGGAGTCCGCTGCATGGCTCACTGGGGGGCATGTCGCAAACAAGGAAAAATTGGAGTAAGTCCCCCAAAGTGCAAAGACGTAATCATGGCGGCTAAAAGCTCGGTAAAAAAAGGAGCATGGTCCTGCCATGCCCTGCTTGATTTCTATAAGCCGCTCTTGGGCCATGCTGGAGCTCTAGCGTTATTCCAAACGTTTGCAGGTTGAACCAAAAGTCGACGCAGTCTCCCTCACGAGAAACCAAAAGCCAAAAGCAAAATCAGGATGCCCTCCCTGCGCTTATACAAAGAAAAAAGTACAAAGTAGTTATGCTCCAAATATACAGCGGTAACGTCAGTGCAGCCTCCCAAGAATATGCAGTCGTGTATGGTTCGTAGCCACCTTGCGATCAACGCAGACATGGCCTACCAGGAAATAAAGCGAGTGTCCATTCGATCCATTAGAGAGGGCCGCTGCCGCCAAGTCTGGCGTCGGGGTCTGCCCGGGGGGCTCGAGATTTCCGGGGTCTTCCATCGCAGCCATCCAACAGGTGTCTGTAGTGCTATAAGAATTTGGTGCTTGCAAGTAAATTGTTAGGTATGGTTTACCTTGAAAGAGTATCCTGCCGGCTGTAGCGTCGACCACACTTCTCGCAGCCATATTTTCGAATGCCCCGATGGATCTGGGTAGAGTATTAGCAATGGACTTGAAACAACCAGGTTTTAACGCTTACACTATCTATGTGTCTCTTCAGATCGGTTTTTCGCCTGAACTCCCTCCCACAGGTCTCACATGGGTGCTGCCGTACGTAGCTAGGGTCGTGGCTTTTCATGTGCTCCCGACAGTTAGAGCGTCGCGTAAAGCGGAGACCACACGTTGTGCATTCAAGACCGCTGGCCGATGGTATCTTGAGTTGCTCGCCATGAGGTGATCCACTGACATCTTCGATCCACTTCGAAATAGCCTCGGCAGGAGCCTCCGGACTCGCATCGAGCTCCGTCTGAGTATTATCTGGTCGCTGGGGGTGGATAAAGGCGGTGTTGATTTGCAACCGAGGCAGCTGTGGCACAGTAGACATCGCTGTGTTGTTGGCGCCATCTAATAGGGATGCATCCCACATGTCTTCCGGCCGCTCCTCAACTTTGGTCCATCCTTCGGAGACGCCCATGGTCTCGGAAGGAGGAGTGTTGGGCCAGAAGGGAGAGATCTCATCATGCATTGCACGAAAGTCCATGACGGAGCTGTAGCTGGGCGATACAGAAACATCTGCACGGCTACCGAATAGCTCGTATTGTGACCTGGCTGCGAAGTGACTAACATCCGGTGGGGTTTCGAGGAAATTTGGCGAAGGCGTTATCGGGCCGGACCAGTTGCTCGTTGACAGCGCGTATTGCTCTGGGCACGGGTACATTCTAATCTGATCGATGGGGGATCCAGTTTCGCAATTGGAAATCCCCAGGCCGGAGAATGACTGGAAATCGTATCTGTCGAGAGGAACCGTATGGAAAGGAGACGAGTAGGTTGAATTCGCTTCGAGTACCCTTTTATCCTCCCGCACAGAGCGGGCAACGGGAGAGGATGGGAACGATGTCGGTGTACAATCCATGATGAAATCAACGATCAAGCATCAAAATGTGAAACAGAAAAATCTTGAAACGGGAACTAGGGGAAAGGGTAGGACGTGGATGTCTCTAGGTAGACCAGATGGCTTCGATGTTCTTGGATCTCTCGGGATGAGTCTGGTTCTGAGTCTGAGAAGGGGCCGGTGTGAAGGAGTTATTTATGAAGTTGAAATCCAAGGAGAGTAACAAAGTGTATGCAGTGTATAAAAGAAGAAATGACTCAATAGCGATGCTGCTGCAGGGTGAGCAGATGTGGCGAACCATGAACAACAGCTGAAAATTATCTCGCGGAATGCCATATGATGATTGGAGCACAGCAGCCGCTGCATGGGGCACAGGTAAAGAACAAGAGATGCGCAAGAGGTTTGACGCCTCATCAGGCAAGGCAGACTTGACGGAACGTTGCTGCATGGATGGGGAAGAATTCAGAGCGAACCTAGCTGGAAAGGCCGGTCCAAGTGGACTGCAGCCTGGGTCTGCAACATTATTCAGATAGGCGCGTCAATTTGAGACTCTGCGCAATAAATTAGCGCGGAAGGGTGTGATCAGGCCAAGGTGTCAGTCGGCGCTGTACCCTGTCAGTGTCGACGGGGGGGTGGGAGGAGGGTGGGTGTGAGGGTGCATGGTTTGATTCCCACCGGACGACGCCGTCATTTGCCGCCTAGCGGGCTTGACCGAACCAGGGGATCCATCACTAAGGAGATGATGATAGATGAGGACTGGCACGGAGAGAACGGAGCAGGGGGAAAGAGATAGTAGTGGGGGGGGGTGGGAGGGATGCGGTGCCTCTGGAAACCATGGTGCTGGAGACAGACGGGCAACAATAGCGGCTGAATTATTGGCAGTGTCGACGGGGACTGGCAGACTTGCTGACCAGCAACAGTCGGCTCAAACAGCGCGGTTTTTTCTGCCTCTGGTCTTCATGAAAAGGGAATAGTAGGTCCCGACAGTCTGGTAACCTAGCTTGGCGAGGTAGGACTGCAGTGCGTGTCGCCAGGGAGGCCCGGTTGGCAACACTGCCCCATTGCTGGGGAAGATTCGGAGCCCGAAATGATTTGTGGGTAGCTCTTGCGCGAGAAAAGAGCCTCTGCGGCAAGATGGCTGAAGGGAAGAGAGTGTGAAGATGGATGGATGTTGTGGTAGAGTATACGGAGGAGGAGTAGCGAGGCGGCCCAGGCCAAGGGAGGAGGGAAGACTGGAGAGCAGGCGTTCTCACTTGTTTCCCGCGACCCGGCCAGGGCAGAAGAGAGGGGCAGCCGGCCCTAATCCCGGCCGCCCCAACCCTGGACCATCAACAAAGAAAGCCAACCCCCGTGAGGGCGACGGAGAATACCATGGGGTGCCCCCCCTCTCATTGTTACCCTTCTGGCTTGGTCTCCTTCATTTCCCTGAGATTGAGTTCTTGTCTCTCCTTTTATTTTTACTTTTTTCTTTTTTTTTTCTCTTCTTTTTTCTAATTTGTCAAATCCTGGACGGGTGATACTTTTTTTTTTTTACTCCAAATACTCCATACCTGCCCCTGGAGATCCGTCCGTCTTTGGAGCTACCAGCTTTTCCAGATTGTCGTGTTCTCTCTATAACTGTCTAGTGAAGATAAATCCACGCAGAAAATAAACAAAAATGACTCGGACGAAATGTAGAGACGGCACCAACCCCCAACAATCATCATCATCATCCAAGGTACAAAGAGGTTGTTCGTCGCTAGCGGGTCTACACCTACTAGTAGGGACTCCGATTCCGTACCTCCGTTTCCGAACTGGTCACTGGCCGGTGCTCACGCTAAACCTTAGGCTCTGGCACCGGCGATGCACCAGGTGCGTGTGTTTATCGTCCTTCCGCAGTGGCCCGTCCGCGCCGCCCTGCACAGTATTCCAGTTTCTTGCAGCCTTCCTGCCTGCATCATAACTGGCCTCGCTGGTGAAAGGCCATCCGAGCAGCCACTCGCTCCACTTGAGTGCGCAACCGTTCCACCTCGTCGATCATATCCGCGGTCTCACCACGGCCGCGCCGCCCCGAGCTTGGTCCGCGCGCCTCGGGTTGCTGACCCGGGTTAGACCGTTCCCTGGGCCGGCTGGATCCCAACGAACGCCCTTCGAGTGCGGAGGCATGGAGCGGGGCCTGGTGCGTGGAGAGAGAGAACCCCATCGGGATGGCAGACGTCGGTCGACTGTTCCCTGTTGTCGTTGTCGCGGTGGGCGGGAATTGGCTATTTCTCCGAGAAACGTAGCGGCGGCTAGATTCATAGGCCCAGATCAGTGCGACAAACGGTAGGTGGGTGGCCCGGAGCAACACGATGCGCACCCGGCGGATGTGCTCTGCAGGTAAAAAGAGCCTCATGGGGCGGATACAGAGGAGGGGGATGAGATTCTGCCGTGGAGTGACGCCTGCTGTCAGTGACCCAACCCAGTCATGCAGGGTGACTTGGGACGATATACGGACCAGGGGGGGCATGAAGTACGTCAAGCGCCGGGAATTGCTACTTTCCAGGACATAGATAGACAGCCTATTTCCACGCATCAGCGGGCGGCCATAGGGCCGAATGAGGATGGAGCATGCCACGTACTGAAAGAGATATTCTTCGCGGGCATGGGCCATGACCTGAACGAGGACAACGGTTGGGTCGATAGGTTAGCACGGCGGACATACCGGGGACCGGACAGACCCCGCAGCATCATTGGACGTACCCCTTCCAGACTCATGCTCATTAAACTGACCAACGACGAAATCAACAACAAGTTGGTCATGGAAACGAAAATCAACCTGTCGGTCATACCAATCAGCCACCCTCCTGTGCCCCCCGAGACTGTGGTGATGGGACGATCGTCCGAGATGCCACATCTGGCGATAGGTCCCCTGCGCCGCGACCGATTGGCGCCGTGGGGTTTCCGGCGTCAACGGGCCTCCAGCCCTGGGAGCGGGGATGCATCGCCCCCTTCCCCATGCGCAAGAGGAAGAAAGAGGAAAGCATGCCCGGCTCATCAAGTTTCAGGGCAGCTGGGAGCGGCCAACGTGATCGCAAGTGTATGCGACCGACACGTCCCATGGGGCCTGTGGCGCAGTAGAGTACATGGGGGAAAACTCACATCAGTCCGTAGCCAAAGATCGGGGAAATCTAAGAATTAGCGCGTCAGTCAACTTCACACGAGAGCCAACCGATTTTGCAAAATCCCTGGCAATTCGGATTTGGGCTGCATGGCGGCCGCCAGGTGCATTAGACTCACATCGTGAGCGATGTCCTTTGCCAATCATTTCAGCCACCGTCAGTTTGAAGAACACATGCCACCACAACAGGAACAACGCACGAAGCCCAGCACATTCGATCTGCCTCGCCCGGTCAGTCAAGTAGCGGTCGATAATGGGGGGTCTTCACCGCCATACCCAAAGAACACCTTCACCAAAATCCACGACATTTGCCGCAGAGAGAGGCGGTCACGCGCAAGCATGGTGAATGTAGTCAAGAACCCTGCAGGTGCACGTCCACCGCGCGTTGGTACTAAGCCGGGTCGCATGCATCATCGGGGTCACCCACCTAGGTACAGCACTACAACCACCGGGATGAATCGAAAAAACGCTTTGGTCTAGAGCACCTTATCAGGATTTTCGCCACCGGCCACGGTCTGCATGAGCGGAGAACCATACCATCTCCTTGAGCACCGGGATCTGTGCGTCGAATCTGTCAATGTGTTTTCCAGAACCGGGTTCTTCCGCATACACGGCTGCAGGGATGGCCTACCAGACTTCCAAAATAAGAGTTCAGGCTGACAAGGGAGCAGATCCTGTTCAGCTCTCGTGTCAGAATCTGAAACGGGTCTCATAGCAGGGGGGAGGTCTCGCCTTGGAACTAGAAACAGCGCCTCCAAAGATAGGATGTCGAACGACACATCCGTGATGTAATCACTGTGTTTGGCTAGACCGATTGTCCCTGGATGATTGTTGAGTCAACCAAATGATCCATAGCCAGGCTCAGTCGATGATCTCAGCTGCGCAGCAACCTGGTCCAGCTGAAATAGAAAGGCTGAGCAAGGATGAGGCATATTTGCGATAACGCGCAAATGACTCACTGGTAATGACAAAGGCAAGCCCTGTGCCAATAATGCCCATATTCCAAGCACTCCAAAAGTCCATCTGATAGAAGAGCATTCCCGCATCAGCCATCCCGCTAACTTCATCATATGCGAAAGCAGCAATCCAGATGTACATCATGGTCTCAAACAATCCAATTCCAGTAGGCTTCCTCTCCACTAAGACAGCATAATAGAGAAACAGGAATGAGACAAAGAAGGCAGCTTCGAAGGCCTTCCGGTACACTGGTACTCTCAGCCGTGAATATGGATCTGCCGTCCTACACGATGCGTACAGATCAGCATCAAAGTGTGACTTCATCCAAGGTTGGGGCGCTTACCTTTTGTTAAAGAATTGGGGCTTTTTCTTCGAGTGCACGCTCAAAGAGTCCCAGAAGACAATCTCGCCGTTCCAAATATTGTCTATCACTTTCTGAACCACTTTCTGACTGAGGAACCTTTTTGCGTGTGCAATTGTTGCAATCTCCAGTGCGTTAAGTCCAAAAAACCTCGACAATCTCTCAAGCTCATATGCATCGCTTGCAGACGCGTTGGATCCCGGCTCATTGATGTCGAGAGAACTCCCTGTACGTCTGTTGCCGCCGAAGAAATGATAAAGCGAGGAAGATGAGCTTAACAATAAAGGGGTCCTTTCACCCTCTTGCGTGAAGGGTTCGCCAGCCGCCGACGCAAACCCCGAAGTGCCTCTCTCCGCTTGCGTGATATTTATACCACTTTGTATGGGAATCTTGAGTTCCTCAAGGAGATACTCAATGGTTTCACGCTGGTCAATGTGGCAGAGAAACTGCCACGCGACATATTCGCAGGCATATCCTCGGCTTTCATTCAAACCCCAATCGTTCTCCGCCTCGTTGCTGAACTGCCATTTTAAAATCCTAAGGTAGATTTAGACCCAGTTGGGGACGTTTGACCGGGACGAATCACTCACATCAAAGCAGAGATGATACAAGGGTTGTGTGAATTGTCAGCCAAGGAGTACAGGAGCAACCTGAGGTTTTGGCCATGAGGGGAGAACCTCAGCTCTTCAAAGGTGCATGCAACGTCATTTATAGCGACGAGCATATAACTAAGTGACAACGGTTAACGAGGCTAACTATACAGGGTGATATGATCGCGTACTTCTGAAGTTTTCGAACCACGTCAACGAGTGGCTCATTGTCATCAATGATGGGAACCTCAAAAGGAAGCTGTTCAACGGGTGCAATTGATGAAGTAGATGAATCCAGCCTTAAAGAAGCCATGTGGCGAGAGCTGGTCGAGCTGTTTAGGAGCTTAGCGGGACTTCTCGTCGGATGCGACCGTGAGGATAGGTCATGATTAGAATTACCTGGGCTTGCTCCTGACCAACCAGTGGTGGGGTGTTTTCGCTGAAGAGGTGCGAGTGTCGACAATCAGTCGGTGAGGCACGTTCCTCAGATGATGTTAAACTTAGTCAAGAGCTAGTAACGGGTACTACTATTGAACCCGGAAACCAGGGGAGCATGAGGTTATGTGAGGCTCTGGCAGCGGAGATATTGACAAGGAAAATGCAGAACCGGGTAGATCGTCACTCGGTATGCACGCGGCTCACAGTCCAGCAGTAAGGAGCTGGCGACGAATACGAAGTCCGTAGGTTGCTAAATAGTGCTTGGGAATCATCCGCTGTACAGCTATCAGCAAACGGGGCCGATGTTTATGGGGGTTCTGCGCGGTGTGATTGGCTGCAGCCGGGGGTGCCCACCAGCTGGCGAAACAAGCTCCGAGTGTTTAGCACGCCTGTCGATTGCAGTCCCCCGAATCAGATCGAAGCTGGCCAGCTCATCAACGCCTGAGCTCGCTGTGCACTGCGACCCAAGTGAGCGAAACATCGAGAAGGTCACGGTCATTGGCCAACAAAGAACGAGTTCCGTCATCGAGGTGGATCGGCGACACCTGTCATTCGAGGGGCAAATGATCAGTCATGATACGATCCAGCGGGACATTTTGGAGAAAATGCTTTATCATTGTAATCAACCTTCCGCTCAGCGTCCAGCTGTCGCAAAAAAATTCCGGAGCATCTCCCTCCCCATCCATTCCAGATAGTCAGTCTTAGTCGCATCCTCAGGAAGCTGCCGTCAGGCGCGGCGATGCTGCAGCCTCACCGCCTTTGCAGGAATCATGTGACCGATATGCACTATCGGCCCCCTCCAGACGCGTTGAACTTGACGTTGCGACGTCCTACGATCAATCGGCTAAACCCTGTGTGGGGAGAATCTGAGGTTGTAGAACTGTCCGGCAGCCCCTTTCTACAAAAGTTTGATGATCGATGCTCAGGATAACCTCCAAGCTGCAAGCCCTGTGAGATGAAGGCGCCTCTACACCATGGGCCAAGGCTATTCCCTCACGACCCTGTCCGCGGGTTCGGCTGGGATCGATGTTCCCGAGCTCTCGGATCTGGTGTATGAGAAGTCCATGGGTGGTGGCAGATTTATGAAAAGCATCCGAGCTCGGCAGCATAATGGACTGGTTTTTGTGAAGGTCATTATGAAGCCTTATCCCAGCATGAAGTTGGAGCCATATATCAAGGCGATCATCCGTACGTTCTGCGATTCCTCTTCATCCCCTAGATGTATCCTAACACCTAGCATAGGGGAGCGTAAGCTACTGTCCGAGGTCCCGAATGCCTTAAGTTATCAGAGGATCTTGGAAACCAGCACTGGAGGCTATCTCGTTCGCCAATACATACACAGCTCTCTCTATGACCGGATGAGGTAGGTGTCGCATTAGCCTCTATGAGCTGGATCCTGACTTTATGCAGTACCCGGCCTTTTCCTGAAGATATTGAGAAAAAATGGATCGCCTTTCAGCTTCTCTGTGCACTAAGGGATTGTCATTCGATAGATGTCTTCCATGGTGATATCAAGACGGAAAATGTTCTGGTTACCTCGTGGAACTGGCTCTATCTCTCCGACTTCTCGTCCTCTTTCAAGCCGACGTTCCTCCCGGAGGATAACCCGGCGGATTTCTCTTTCTACTTTGATACTTCGGGACGTCGGACCTGCTATCTAGCACCGGAAAGATTCCTTGTGGCCGGTGAAGAACCAGGAAGTAGACATGTCAACTGGGCTATGGATATATTTAGTGCCGGTTGCGTCATCGCAGAGCTTTTCCTAGAGTCGCCGATATTCACTCTCAGCCAGATCTACAAATACCGCAAAGGGGAATACAGTCCGGAACACAGCCAACTTGCCAAGATTGAGGACCCAGAGATTCGCGCCTTGATTCTTCATATGATTCAGCTCGAACCAGAGTCCCGATACTCGGCAGATGAATATCTTAATTTCTGGAAGAACAAGGCGTTCCCGGACTATTTCTACAGCTTTCTGCATCAGTATATGTCACTCATGACTGACCCGTCGTCGGGTAGAGCGCAGGTTGAAGCCGAGTCAGCAAATAGAGGAGAGGCCGACGAGAGAATTGAACGCGTCTTTTATGATTTCGATAAGATATCCTACTTTTTGGGGGCTTCACCTAAGGCCACGAAGGACGGGTCGAGTCGCACGACGTCGAGGCTCACCGGTAATACTTTCCCCGTTCAGCTGGACCTGCCTCAGTATGGACAACCAACACCGAAGTCTCCGTCCCAACCGGACGATGGCGTGTTGATATTCTTAACGCTTGTTGTCTCCAATTTGCGCAATACGTCCAAATCACTTGCCCGGGTCAAAGCTTGCGACATCCTCCTTGCTTTCGCTGAGAGGCTGTCGGATGAAGCCAAATTGGATCGCGTTCTCCCGTACATCATGATACTTCTCAACGACCGCGCAGATTCGGTGAAGGTCGCTGCAATCCGTGCTCTTGCCCAGCTCTTGGAAATGGTCCATGTGGTCTCTCCGGTCAATGCCTATTTGTTTTCCGAATACATCTTCCCGAGACTGCAACCGTTCGTTCCTAGCGCCAATTCAAAGCCAAGCCCGTTGGTCCGGGCTGCATACGCATCTTGCATTGCATCTCTAGCACAATCCTCGCTGAGGTTTCTGGACATGATCCAGGCTCTGCGTTCTGACACTCGTTTACCAGCTCTGATACCGGCTGGGTCCGAACCCAGATGGACGGAGGATGCTACATATCATAATCTCTACGACGTCGCCAGAGTCGACCTGCTTGAGTACTTCGAGAATCATACCAAATCCCTTTTGACCGACAGCGATGCTTCAGTTCGTCGCGCTTTTCTGGGCTCAGTATCCGACCTCTGCGTGTTCTTCGGTAATCTCAAGACCAGTGAGGTCGTACTAAGTCATCTAAACACCTATTTGAATGATAGGAACTGGATCCTGAAGTGCGCTTTTTTTGAGGCCGTCATTGGCGTTGCGACCTATGTCGGAAGTACAAGCCTGGAGCAGTACATTCTGCCGTTGATGGTTCAATCGATGACAGATCCGGAGGAGTTTGTCGTCGAAAGAGTCCTTCGATCGCTGGCCGCGATGGCGGATCTTGGCCTTTTCCAGCGATCGACAACATGGGATCTTCTTCACATCACTGTCCGCTTTTTGGTTCATCCAAACGCTTGGATCCGCGAGGCAGCTGTCCATCTCGTTGTTAATTCAACCAAATTCCTTTCTGTGGCCGATAAATATTCCATCCTCACCCCTCTTGTGCGGCCCTTCGTTATAGCTGAGGTATTCAGTTTCTCAGAAGGAGAAATGCTCGACGCACTCAAGAAGCCACTTTCAAGGAGCGTATACGATCTGGCATTTGTTTGGGTATCAAAGACTGAGAAGGGCATATTTTGGAAAGCAGCAAGCCGTGATGGAATTTTCACGTTGAATGGGACCGACAGTGCTCTCTCCAAAGTGGGACACAAGATTTCGAGTCATCCAAGCCTGCAGCCAAGGAATGAGGAGGATGAGCAGTGGATCACTCGGCTCAGGAATATGGGTATGAGCGCCGATGACGAGCCCAAACTTCTTGCCCTCCGAGAGTACATTTGGAGATTGTCAATGCGTCAATCAAAGGACTCGGAAAATGTAACCTCTCCTTTGAATGACGTTATTGTACTCACGCAGCATGGGGTAACTCCTCAGACTGTTCTCTTTGACAAAACCCAGAACGTCAAACCCCGCAGAAGCTCTTTGGGGAAGCCTGAAACTGACCGCACGGACGAGCGAAAGCCACACACCATCACAGATGCTTTACTCGATGCTTCAACTACCATCGACAATAGACCTGACTCCCGCCGAAGGCATATGCGCTCGAGGAGTCAGAGGGAAACGGGGGCCGGTCTGTCGATTCCACGACCGAGTGCTCTAGACAATCTCCGAGCAGAGAACTCACCTGTATCCTCACCGATAGCATCGTCACCCGGTGCCACCCCAGGATCCCGGCCCTTGTCCCCTCCTAGTTCAGATGCTGGGCGTAGGGGCTCAGGAGGCAGGGAGAGCCCTGGACAGGACAGTTCATCGACGCCTACCGATGCGGAGAATCCTGCCATCAAGAAGCTGACCGACGGTGTACAAAGGAAATCCAGCGCTATGAGTTTACTGAACCGCAAGGATTCCGCCAAGGCATATGCAGAAACCAGCACGAGCTCCACGAACGCCTTTGGCAAAGTCGACGTACCATCGCAGCGGATAGAGATACCACCATCCCCGTCCCCTGCCCCGCATGACAGGAAAGGAGCTGAGCACGAGTCTCCTAAATTCCATGCCAATCACTCATATGCAGGCGACGATCCTGTTGTTCTCAAGCTGCTAGACTCTGTCTTCGCGGAAAACTACCCTACCGACTTCTTTGATCTTGGACCCTATGTCAAAGAGGTAGACACCAAACGACCGATCATGAAAGCCAACGGGCATGAACCTGACAAGGTCTGGAAACCGACGGGGGGGCTTGTTGCTGTTTTCGGGGAGCACAGCGGGCCTGTCAACCGCGTGGTGGTGGCACCAGACCATGCTTTCTTCGTTACTGCCGCGGACGACGGCACCGTTAAGATCTGGGACACCACCCGGCTAGAAAAGAACCTCACTCCGAGATCGCGTCAGACATACCGGCATTCCACGGAAGCGAAAGTGAAGGCCTTGGCCTTCGTTGAGAATACTCACACATTCGTCAGCGGCGCCAATGATGGTAGCATCCATGCAGTGAAAGTGGATTATCACAGCAATAACGGTACTGTTCGATACGGGAAGCTTCAACTTGTGCGCGAATATCAGTTACCAACAGCTGAAGACGGGACCGTCGAGTATCCTGTCTGGATGGAGCATTTCCGTGTGGAAGCCCAATCCACGCTTCTCATTGCAACCAACACCTGCCGTATCCTAGCACTCGACATGAAGACCATGCTTCCGGTCTACTCCCTACAGAACCCAGTCCACCACGGAACCCCAACGACCTTCTGCTGTGACCGAAAGCACAATTGGCTACTGGTCGGCACCACCCACGGCATCCTCGACCTCTGGGATCTCCGCTTCCGGGTGCGGCTCAAAGCCTGGGGCCTTTCAGGGTCCGGTGCTATTCACAGACTCCAAGTTCATCCCACCAAGGGGCGTGGACGATGGGTCTGTGTCTCCAGCAGCGGCACTCACGGCAACGAAATCACCGTCTGGGACATCGAAAAAGTCCGCTGCAGAGAGGTATACCGAGCTGACTCGCCGGGCGTCAACAATCCAACCCCCACCGCCGGACAACCCAGCCCCGGTCCCGACAGCACCAAACCCAGACCCGGGTTCCCAAGCACCCGCGATTACGAAGCCTGGCACGTCGAAGGCAGCCGACCAGAAGGGATGCTCAGCCGCTTCGCAATGGAGGGACTGGCCTCCTCACCGACCGATCACCCATCTGGGCCGTCCCCCACAGGCACGATCTGCACCTTCGCCGTGGGTTTCGACTCACCCGACGACGGTCGCGACAACAGCACACGATGCGGTTTCATAGTGTCCGGTGGCTGCGATCGGAAAATCCGCTTCTGGGACCTGGCGCGACCGGAACTCACCACGATTGTCAGCGGCTTGGACGTCGTATCAGATGGCGGCGCAACCGGCAAGCCGCGATACGAACTCTCTCAGCCCGGCCCATCCCTCCTCATCGCGACGGAGCACATACCGACCTCCTCAGTGCCCGTGACGAACGGCAAGCGGGGCGCCAAAAAGGGCGGAACTGGTCGTCTGCCCCGGAGCACGGTGATCAGTCTACAGCAGCAGCAGTTACTGAAGAGTCACCTCGACTTCATCCAGGATGTGGCGTTGCTTCGAAGCCCCTATGGAATGATAGTGAGTGTTGACCGGGCGGGAATGGTTTATGTTTTCCAGTGATCTCGATAGCATCCATGTACAGGTATCGCGATGGCTATCTGATAGATCTAATTCAAAACGTTGCGTTTACCGGAGTACTCCGTATGGATGTATGTACTGTGGATGACTGACAACTTGACCTGTCGAATTACTGAGACAGGTACAAAGAAACTAGAAAGATACAAGCTCCGCCCAAGCATCCGGAGATACCCCGACACATTAACCAAGTCGATACTAGAGAGATACTAGATAGAAAGTAGCTCGCCCAGACCCCTCCACGTCTAAGTAACGGCCCGGATATACTTTCCAACGGCCGGTCGGCGTGGGAAATAATGAATCGATAGTAGTCCAAATGACGAGTCGAATGTCATCCATATGCACCCCTCTTCTTCCTAGCGAAGCACTAACGATATATAGGTAGGTACGGAGTACTCCGTACCCATGCTCGATGTATCTACTTCGTTGGGCCACACACACGTCCGTCGGTCCTCGTTTCCCACTGGACGAGAAACTCAATCTTTGATTGTGCAAACCCAAGATATGAGTGACCCGACCTCTATCAAAGCCGCTTACATACTACTGAATACTAGTAGTAAGGAAGGCTGGCAGCCCACCGGGCAGTTGAGGTGGAACCCGGGAGTTGGGAGTTTGGAAAGACTAGTGAAACACTAGGCGATGGATACGGAAAGGGATCGACCAAGGGAAATGATTCTCCAACCAACCCGGTTGTTCAGTGTTAACGGCCAAAACCCGTTTTTTTGGCGGCAGATAACTGGACGCGATGGGCGTTTAATATCGGATTAATTTGGTTGATACGGTTGGGGTTTGCTGGGCTTGGCGGTGGTGGTCTTGCTATCTATCTGTGTGCTGGAATTCGGCAGTCCGGATGCTCCTGGGTGGGAAAGCGAGGAAGACTTTTGCGAGGACGGAGGAGGACGGAGTGGACTACTCAACTCGGATGGAGCCCTTCAATGTCTTACCTTCTTGGTATTCCCGACACGATGTCCGAGGCAGTGAAGGACCAAAAGATGAGTGGTGGTGGACTAAGGCAGGCCCTATTCTTGAGCCAATATCCGGGTACACACAGCAATGCTTGGCTGGGTGATAGGTCAACCCTCAGCACTCTCAGAGTTCCGAGGTGAAGCATCCGCTGAAGTCAAAAGCAAAGTGTGTAATCAGAACCCAGCGAGTTACCGACGGCACCGCCAAAACCGTACCTGACGGTAGATACCTCCCACAGGCGCTCAAGGGTTCGGGTGGAGAGGAAAGTCGGACCGGTCAGATCTGGCCCACGAAATGAACTCCCGTTGGCGAACCACGGATGGCGAGATTAACCGCGATTCATGCGGTGACGCTTTTCAGTCCCCATCTGCAGGGCCAGATCGCGGTCCTCGTTACAAGTAGACATTTTTGCCGTGATTTTCGTACTATTACCCCATCGCCCCTTCTTGGCCCCTTCTCGAAGGTGCGGTGTGCTGGATAATTTGCCTTCAGTTTGCCTTGCTGACCTGACCGAGTGCTATTCATATTCGATCGAGACCATCGGACTGGTAGATATCCGAAGCCTCAGGGTCAACGGTCGGTGTTTATTTATGCATAGCATGATGCTCATTGGACCAGTAGAATCCCGATCCCTCAATCACGAACACGCATCGGGGCGGAGATCTAGATCGACATATGCATGCACTGCATCTGATATTCCGGACAGCCGGTGGACGAATGTCAGGAATGGATGAAGGGCGGACTGACTCGATCGGTGGATCGGACCCAGCGGCGGGCGAGCGAGACAAACACGTCGCTTACCGACCGACCGGATGGACCTGATGGGGCCCTCTAAGAGGGATCTGGAGAATGACACCGGAATTACAATCGGCAGCGGTGGAAGGGAGAGTGTCAATGCTCAACAAAGACACACATCGATAGGGGCAAAGGGAAGAGAGAAGAAAAAATCGAAGCTTCCCGAATGATGCCAACAGTGAATGCACACCAAACCAGGATCAGAGATCTCGCTGAGACAATTGTTGGAAGCCTGTAATTTCTCGATTCGACCAGGATAGAGGGCGGAATGTGTGACCTTTTGGTTTCGATGCTTTGATGCCCTTTATCTAAGCCGCTCTAGGAGAATTTTCGGCTGGGGACGTCGTCAGCGACGCAGGTTTCGCTGCGGGTGCGACTCGAGCGAGCCCCTAACCGCCGTCCTACATGAGCCAGTCCACCCTCATGGTGGCCTCTTCCGGACTCCCTTAGTAAATAGTCTTAATCCTTAGGGCCTTAGCGTCTGAGAGCGAACCACTGCGCATCATAAAATGATGATCTTCCTTGCGCAGGCAGGGATGGCCGATCGGGCTTTGACACGAACAGCCAGAGTACGGTGTGGTAGGCCCAAGTCAGCATACGAGCGTCTAGACTGCTAAACGAGGGTCTCTATTTAGGATTTCGGATATCAAACTGTCGATAGAGTTTGGCTCCGAGGAGGAGCGATCACCTGCCACTCATCAATCAATTCATGGGAAATACGGCGGAGGCACTGTAATCTCCCATCCCGGGAACGTTGTCTTAGACCCCTGGTGACCGTGCCCGCTCTCTAGTCCACCGGCGTTAGACCGTTTATCTCCTCCCGGCTATATTTATCGAGCCAGAGATACCATTACGCCCAAAAGGGGCAGAAGCACAAAGACGACAACATAATAGTGCTGTCCAACCTGGCCGCATACCCGGAGGGTCTCCGTACAACATTTGGTGCAGATGGCCCTGCAGTTGAGCACGACTTGGAGACTAGGTTGAAACAAGGTCGGCCGATTTGATACCACGCACAAAGGAAGCGTGTGTGTGTACACATGTGGCCTGTATTAGAGCCGGGATTATGCGACCAAGCCGGGGGTTCTGTCTGACTATCATACTCAAGGATCAGGCTGCCCTGGCCAGGCACAGCACTAGATTGTTTAACTTTCGACTGAACCTTGCCGTGGAGCATTTGTCATTTCGCATCTTACCAAAAGCGACAAGAGTGTCCTTGCCTTGGCTTGCCTTTCGGTCATAGTATTAGGGGTGGGATCCTCTTTTTCTCTTTTCTTTGCTTTTCTTTGCTTTTTCTTGCCCTCTTCACTCTGCTTTTCGATCGTCAATTATTTTGGCAAGGCTCCTGAAAGATCCATTCTCGCGTGGTAGAGAGACTTTCGGGCCGTCCGTTTACTCTAGCGATGGATAATAGTATTGAGTGTTATAATATGTCTAAAACCGGGATAGTTGATAACTTGGTGTTAGCCTGTCGCATGGTCAGACTATTAGCTTACTGCGTAGGTAGGTAGGTAGGTACACAGATAGAAAGAGATAGAGTAGTGGTGGTAGGGGATAGGAGGATGCTTTTGGCCCGGATTGCGTTCTTACCTACAGCTCGCGATAACTCTGTTGAAGCTTCTTCACCCCGCACGGGCGCAAGGACTGTCGCAGGAGTGCAGTTACTCGAGGGAATGAATAGTACTAAGAACTAAGAGTGACCGCACGAGGCCGACCCGTGGCGGGAGCGACTAAGAGCGAAGTGTCCCTGACTAGCCACTAGCCAGCCATCATCAGGCGGTTTTGCCTCCCCCCACCGGCGCAGGAACGACGACCGAACAACCCGTACGGTAACTTAACTCCCAGGAAAGAAGATAGGTACCTTCATCTGCATACCCGGTGCATGCCCCAACGAGGTATTCCGATTCTCTCCTCTCGATACAGTACTTAAGTACAGTGAGACCACGCAGAAGATACACCCCCATTCCAGTTCCTCGCATTAGATGATCCGTCCGTGGTAGGGGAAAATACCACAGACTGACTGCTGAGGACAATAACTTAATAAGAACTACTAAGCTACCCACTTCTTGCCTTCCATCCGTCCCTCCCACCCCCTTTACGGAGTAGTGGTTAACGAACTACTAACCGCTTCCAACTTTACTCTTCATGGTCAAGATTGTCTCCCTGCCTTTCCTTCCTTGTCCCCTTCCTCCTCTTCCCTCCGGCTCCAATTAATCTAACCTCTCCTCTCGCGCTTTTTTCTTCCTTCCTCTTCCCCTCTCCTTCTCCTCCCTTTCCCTCTTCTTCCCCTCCCCTTCCCTTCCTTTCCCTTATCCAGATCCTCCCCCAGAGGACCAGGTCAATCCCGTATCAATACGACCGCCACTCAAGGGCGTCGTCTTCCTCGCTTCCACACGTCGTTGGATTTTCCGATCTGGGATGTGCTGTATAGCGTGAGAGATGCTCATCAATTGAGTTCGCGGGAGTAGTGATCGATCCGTCCGATTCCATCGCCGCCGTGTTCCCTTCTTTAGACCCAAGCCCCTATTTGGATAACTGTCCTTCTTTTCGCCTCACGCCTTTTTCAACATCTAGCAGGGCTATCATTCTGTCAGTCTGCGACTTGTCTCCCGGGCAAGCAGAAGGGAATTACAAAAAGAAAGGCAAAAAAGCCACTCCAGTTCACTATCACTCGACCCATCCATCGGAACCAGGGTTCGGAGACCGCCTGTGTCCCGAAAAGAAAAAAGAAACAATTACGCAATCCGTCCGCTCTTGTACATATAATCCCGTCGATCCTTGGGAAACAAGACAACCATCACCATGGGCCCTTCTCTGAGAGACCACGCATCTTTTGTCCGTCCGTCCACACGCGACCGGCCCTCAACTCGCGATCAAGGGGAAAACTCGCTGGTCGTTCCTAGTCGCACCTCCTCGCTTCACTCCCGCATTACGCAACCCATCCCTTCACAAGCCAATCCGAAAGCTGCTCAACGGACCCCCAAGACCCTCACGCATGCCTACATGGTTTGCGGCGTGGGCCGGGAACCCTCCCAATGGGTCCGAGCCCCCGCGCCAGCGCAGGGAAAGATCGGTCACATGAAAGGGGCCGTGGGCCAATTTTGGTTGCCCGAGATCCTGGGAAGCAGTCCCCGATTGGAACAGGACAATGAAATCGCCAAATCCCTGCATTCGGCCATGAGGGTGCGTATTCTTAACCCCCCGCAACCCAGCGGGATGTCCACTAAAGCTGACCGTCATAGGCTTGTTTCCCCCACGATGTAGAGATTTGCACCGGCAAGAGCCAGCCTCACTGCGTTCACCATGCTTTCGTCCTGCAGCAGGATTCTTCCCACACTTTATACGGTATCGCTCTGCGAGTCTGGTCCCGGGCGGATGACAAGCGTGCGGAAACAATTCGCGAACTGCGCAAGAAAACGGAGCCGGATTTCTACGATAACCCGGAGGAGACGTACTGGATCCCATACTGTCTGAGCTTCCTTTCCCGCTATCCCCTCTACGACCTATTGGGCGACTATCTTCGTGGCATGTGGATTCATTGGAACAAAGCGACCAACCTCTTTCACGCGGAAGAAGTGTCAAGGATTCTGAGCTTCCCTGCCCCTCGCCTCAATGACCTGGTTCGCATCGATATGAAGGATTATGCCCTTTGCTATCAGTTCCCTTCGTCCCCGACGGGATTCCAAAACTTTTCCATGTGGCCCCTATTCGCCTGCCTGTCGATTCCCAACGTTGTGGGTGTCGTCGAAGCCGCCGTATCACCAACGCGCCGCATAATCTTCGTCAGTCATTACCCTGCCATGCTCACTATGGCCGCCGAAACCATCCGTTACTGCGTTCGCATCTACGAATGGAGCGGTCTCTACGTTCCTGTTGTACACGCTCGTCATATCAAGGACTTGGTTCAGGAGCCCGGTCCGTACATTCTCGGTGTCACAGCTGAGTGTCGAACCCTGTTCAACGCTCCGTCAGATGCTCTGGTCGTCGATCTGGACCGCAACTTCGTTCTGACATCGAGCCCGCCCGACGTCCTCAGCCCTGGTCAACGCACCAAGTTCATCAACAGGCTAACCCAGGCGTTGAACGGTGATGTATCGCCCTCTGGTGTTCCGAACCACCTTCGCTCCGCTTACGCCGGTGGCAAGCTCATCCCAGCTGGGCAAATTATTGTGATGCGGGGTGAAGTCGAGAGCGTTCAGGATCCATCTTGGTGGAACCAGGATGCCGTGATGAATGTCATGGACCATGTGTGCGAGAAATTGGTTAGTAAACTTCGAAGCGCATATTCAGCATGAATTTGTTGTTGACTTGGATGTTTTTTAGGGACGCAATACTGGCATGAAGGCCATCTTTGGTGGCTCTGTCAAGAAGCCCCTTATGACCAAGGTGTCTATGCGCCATCTGAATGAGATCGTGCGTGAGAGGAACCAATACTCCCGCGATGCGATGGAAGCTTGGCAAGATTTCATCAACCTCAAGGGTCGTATGGACACAGAGTTGAGCAAGGTCACCAAGCGCAACAACTTCCTGGTTGAGGAACTGGAGACCTGGAAGCAGCAGGTTTGTCTCACTCTATGCGTGTATCTTGTCAGACTCCCCAGGCTAACCGTTCCATGTAGTTCCTCAAGTTCCAGGCTTTCGCAGAGCAGCTCACCAAGGAAACCTCTGAGCTTAAGGTCAAGATTGAAAACCACAAGCGCGAGAATCGTCGTCTCACTGGTCTCATTGATCAACAGAAGGATGATGTGGCTCGTCTCTCACTCCGCTTGTCCGGCACGGAGAAGCAGCGTGATGATGCTCTGGAGGCATTGGTTCTTCAGCAGGAGATTGCAGAAGAACTTGAGCGCGAACGGAAGCGCAACCAAAAGGAACTTGCTTCCTTGCAGCACACCAACGTGTCCCTCGCACGGCAGCGTGACGAGGCTCAACGCGTGGTCCTGGGTCTCCGGAGCCTTATCAACGGCCAGACACATCACATGGAACACATCGTCCGCTCAATTGGTAGCTCCGCGGATCTGACTGAGCTGGCCGAGCACGAGGCAGCTGTGGAGACCAAGAATGTTGATTACGAGGCAGCGACCCCACGGGGGTCTGCTGCGTCATCGCGACGCTCAAGTGCCAACGTGTCTGCGAAGGGCATTGCCAACAATGTGAGCCCTGATTTGGAGCAACATCTCGTGAACATTGGTAAAGGGCACAACCGTCTTGCGCGTCTAAGCATAACTGATGTTGCAGATCGCTACCTGCGTGACAAGACGGATGCGATTTCGGACATCATCCGCAGCATCAGCGAGCAGTGCGCCGCCGCTGTGGAGGGCTTGCAACTGGCTCAGGATGCGGAGGAGGATGATTCAGATGTCACCGGCAAAGCTACCCCAAGCGGGAGCCGCCTGGCCCCTGAGGGTGGCCGTGGGCACCTGACACCAGCTGGTAGTGAGATGGGCGACAGCGACAACCACTCGCTGCATCCCGACTACCGGCGTTCCAGTGTTCCGCCCACTCCAGACCTGGTGCACAACCGGTCCAGCACTTCGATGTCGATGGTCAGCAGCTCGACGTTCCCGGAAAGGTCGAGTCAACAGTATGGGCCTGGTGAGTTCCCGACCCGGATAGTCGAGGACGATGATGAGCGTGCCCACGAGACCGATGGTCTTGATGACCACACTGAGACCGGCACTCTCTCCAAGCAGGCCAGCGAGGATCTGATGCGGTCCGGCTCTTCTCGACTGGTTGCGTGATTGTCACATTCGAACGATGATGCAACGCTTGATTTCGACGACTTTTGACACGACGTCTGCTCCCATCCTGTCCGATTTAGAGCGAGTTGTGGCCCCTCTATGGTATTGATTTTGGGCTTCGAGTTTTCATCAGTTACCGTTACTTTCTACTTTTTGGTTGCCTTTTTGTTTGTCCTTTTGGAGATTCCCACTATTGCCCTCTCCGAGCTTCTACCCAGGTGTTCATTTCTTTTTCTATTCTCCGGGCGCACCATATGAGCCCAGTTGACGTTTAATGGGATGGCTACATTGATTGCTTTGGTTCTTCTCACCCGCCAGCCCGTCGTTCTACCGCTTTTCTTTCTTGAAGGTCCGTAGCGACCTTTCGCGCTTTGTAGTAGATCATTTGGCATCCATTCGTTGGGCCGACCCCTCATTCACCGGAATTTCCTATCCTGTCATCCTCCTGTTTCCTTGTGTCTATAATTTTACCTGTTCGCCAGGGCGGCTTTGAAAGCTGCCGTCTGGAGTCTTGAGATATACTGGATTGGCGCCCGCCAATTTCTATGTGAACCATAGCGGTCACTTGAATCTAATCCGTTGGTTTACCCACTTCATCTGGTTCTGTTCATTTTAGTCGATAAGTACTTTAGTAACTTGCTGCCTACGCCAATTTACCTGGCACGAAAGGGTGTCCAGCACTCAGTCCGCCACAGACGGCCCATGCCTGTCCGTTGACATAGCTACTCTCATCGCTTCCCAGGAACAGGGCTACCCGGGCGACCTCGTCGGCTACTGCTCCCCGCTGCAATGGATTCAGCTGGCCGACCTTCCGCTCCGTGCCACGAGCACGAGCAGCATCGAATAAAGGCTGGGTCATGCCGGTCTCAATGAGGCCCGGGCAGATGGCATTGATGCGAACGCCGGTGCCAGCTAACTGATACGCACATGTCTGAGCGATGGAGACCACCGCTGCCTTGGAGGCCGAATAGTCTGTCGAGCCGCCATTGGAGCGCAGGCCGGCGATGGACGCTGTGCAGATGATCGAGCCGGCGGGGTAGGGCTTGGAAGCCGAGGTCTGTTTCATCGCAATGGAGGCATACTTGGCGGCCAGGAAAACGCTGCGTGGCATGAGCTATCTGCAACCCGCCGAGAAGACGATGATGGGATCTTTCTCACCCAATGGTGTTTGTATTCAGAGTTTTCATGAAATCGGCCCCAGATATATCAGTAAAGATCTTGGGTTGGCCTACAATTCCAGCGTTAGCGAAGAAGATGTCCAACCGGCCATACTTCTGCACCGCATCGTCCACGACTGCCTTGACAGCTTCCTCGTCTCCAGTGTCAAATTGGCGAATGTGGATGTCGACCCCGGGATAAAGGGATTCTATCTCGCGCTTGTGGGTAGCGAGGTGGGAGTCGTTGTAGTCGCAAATGTAGATGGCTTTGGCGCCGTTATGCGCGTACTGGTGGACGGTGGCTCGACCGATGCCGGCTGGGGAATTGGCACCTGAGCCGTATCAGCATCCACCGATCCCAGGGTCTGTAGTGATTCTCTATCTTTCGGAAAACTCGAGTCTGGGGAGCGGCTCACCAGTCACAATCGCGACCTTGTCTTTCACTCGGCTGTAGCAAGGTCCTATGTTAGCTTCGGAAATAGCTATAGAAGTACAGTTTCGCAGGAGATTCTGTTACTTACGGTCCCACTGAGTCTGGTGCGACCTGGCGGATTCGCGGGATATTCTCGAAGGTGCCTGCATCTGGAATGCCTTCCACCAATTGCTGGCTCAGAGCTTCGAGACGACGTTTGGCCACCGAGGACATGGTCGAACTAGTAAACCACGGACTGAGGGGTGGGGGGGGAATATATAGCCGGGAAGTACAAGATCACGTAGTGGAGGTGGTGGTTATGGTAGTGGTGGTGAGGAGTTGCTTGGGTGAAGAATTGCTGTTAAGAAGCCAGATTCTCCGACCGCACATCTACAGAGGGTGTTGCGATGACGGGGGCAGGGGCCCTGGGTCTCCGGAGGGCGATCCCCCATGGCAGCCCCGAGGCTGGGCTGCTGCGGAGAACCGAGGCTGATGGTCAGGTGATATGCGTGAGGTAGTTAGTTAACTAGTTAAACCGAGGAGGGCCGCGGTGGCTGAGTCAGCTGGCCGGAGTTATCCCGGTGATAACCAAGCTTTAAGGCACCCAAAAGCTCTTACATAAGCGGGGCCGCAGGCGGGCCCAAGTCACATGGCTGCAGCCACACGTCATGGTCCGTTCGTTCGGTTCCAAACCCAAGACGCATTCCAGACCCTGTGCTCTTTTTCCTCCCTCAATTTTTCCCCCTACGCTCCAGTCATTCCTTGCCTCCGTCCTGTTGCTGCTGCCATTATCGCATTTATCCTCCATTGTGATCAGTTTCTCACGGTTCAGCGTGCCGGTGTTGTCCTCTTCCATCCCTGGTTGCTCAGTACGACTTCTGCCGCACAAACAAACAGAGTCGCAAACGGCGGAGACAAGACTCAGGTAGCACGAAACATCCTCCACGCTGTAGGATATAAAGACACGCTTCTCCGTCCCTTCCAACCTCCGTTCGGATTCAACACGCAACGACGAAGCATACATGAAGGCCGCAGTTCAGGTTTCCTGCTTTGTTCACCGCCCCTCGAGCCATGGCGGAGTGCGATATCCCTCAACTACCCCGTCGTTCCTCGTCTCGGACCTCCTCCTCTTCCCGGCACAGTCAGAGGGCTAAGACCATCCGTGCCCGCTCCCAGAAACGTCATTCGGCCTCCTCCAATGCCACCACCACCGATCTCACCTCCTTCCCCTCGCTCTCTCCGGACCGTGCCCCCGACGGCTTCATAGGCCAACCGGCCCTGAATCGTGCGCTGACGAACGCCCTATTGGAAGGCGAAGGTGGTGATAGTATGGGCGATGTTACTAGGGATCGGAGGGCTACCCTGGCTAAGCTGACCGGGGGCTCTACGCCGAGCCCTGGTCGTGCGGCTTTGTTTGGAGATTCGGTGCCGATTCGTGATTTTCCAGGGGCCCTACATCTGGCGGATGATTCTCATATTGAGCGCCTGGTTGCGAGTACTGGTGCAGTCAAACTCGTGAGACAGTTTGCCCGGGATTTAGCCCAGCGTGACGCGGAGATCTCGGCGCTGCGGCAGCGGGCTGACGCGAGGGAGAGAGAGCTGAAGAGGATGCTGAGGGAGGTTTCTGTCTCGAACCAGGACATTGAGCGTCGACTGTACCAGCTGGAGAATGCGCCACTGAGCGATGAGCCAAGTCAGGATGCTGGGGGTAATGCAGAGCAGCCGGGGAGTTCTTCCTCCAGTATGCACGGCCTGATGCAGCAGGCGATGATTGATGGGCTTGGATCTCGTACTCGTGAGGATGGGGCCGGGACAGTTAATCATGTACAAGCTACTGTTCGAGGCCCTCAGCGTCTCGATAGTGATGCGCGCTCTGGTACTTCTAGCGTTGATTCGGGAACGAATCGGAAGAGGCACAGCTCTATCCGAAGCTGGCAGGATTTCATCTTCGGTAACGCTACGGGTAGCCGGAAAACGAGCCGGGCGAGCAGCCTCATGGGTGAGGTCGAAGAAGAAGAAACCCAGCGTCAGCGGAATCTCGGCAACCCTTCCACTCGCCGGAAGGCGCTAGACGATCAATTATTCCTACCCCCAGAAGGACCAAATGGCCCGAGTGCGGGTGAAATCGCCGGAAAACGTCTCGGTGCCTCTGCCGGCGACGACGATGCCAGCACCCATTCCCGCAAATCATCCAAGTCGCTATCCTCATGGACGGTCAAGTTGTTTGCCGGGAACGCGCAGTCGACCAAGGATGAAACCAGCAGCGATGACACACGTGGCAGAGCATCTTCCGCTAATAGAAGCACTAGCAAAGGGGTTTCTCCCGCGCTCCCCTCTAATGCTCGAGGGGCTGTTTCGGCCGTGGCGGCTTTAACGCGAATCAATAGCAATACTAGCATCCACAGTGCTTCGGGGCGGACCAATGGACCAGGCGGCATGGCCAAGTCCGGTCAAATCAGCCGTAGGCAAGCATCGGCGAGTGTCTCGCAAGGAGCGAACTCGGAGTCTACGGTCAAAAACGCGACCAACCTGGGGCCTGTTGAGATGGATGCCATCCTACCCCTCGAATCGAGACCCCCTACACTTTTAAACATGTACAACAACTACCAGCCGGGCGAGCTGCTGACCGACCGGTTCGGATTTATTTACGACCAGCGTCGAAAGAGGAGACAAAGGGAGGCAAACGCTTTCAAGACGCCCGGAGGCAGCAACCGGCTCAGTATCGCGGAGACCCTTAGTAGCTTACGGAGCGAAGCTTCCGATGGCGATGATGCCTCTAACTCCTTAAGGCAATTGCAGTCTGCCGCCGACTCTCAGTCTTCGCCTGCATCGGCGTCTCCGGAGAACCCAGAGGCTGGGACGGTTGCACTTCGGAGATGGCAGGATTATTTGAGGGTGCCCACTGGACCGACGGAATTGCTGTCGCACACGCCGTCGGCTGGTCCCATTGTGTCCCTCACCACGGCCGGCGATAATTCACCTCGTAATTCTGCCGTGGCGGTTGACAAACGTGGCTCGGTTTCCGTCAACCCCAATGCTCAACCATCGGCGTCCACATCGACGGTGGTTGCAGATCGGCCGGAGTTTTCTGGCATATCCTCCGAGGAGCCAGCCACATTGAGCCTGGCCGCCAACGAAAACGAGCCCGTTAGATTGCTACTCGAGCAACTGACCGAGTTACACGACTTTCTCCAACGGGAACGGACTGTGCGATGGAACGAATTTCTGCGCAAAGTGCGTGCCGAACGCCGGAAAGATGGCGAAGCCGCAGCTGCGGCTGCGGCCGCCTCAGATCGTCCGCTGCAGGCCGTGGATATGCCTGAGGCATCGTTGGCTGATGGCGAAGTGGTGGGGATCTCTGGCTTAGGCAACAAGGGCAAAGTCGGCCGGGCCAAATGGCGCGAGTTTCGGACTCTCGTGCTCGGTGGCATCCCCGTTGCTCTTCGGGCCAAGGTCTGGTCCGAATGCAGTGGCGCCTCTTCGATGCGAGTGCCCGGTTACTACGAGGATCTGGTCAAGGGCACCGGTGGCTGCGAACCCGACCCGTCGGTTGTGGCACAAATCGACATGGACATCAACCGGACTCTTACCGACAATGTGTTCTTCCGCCGGGGCCCAGGCGTAACCAAGCTTAAGGAGGTGCTGCTTGCCTACTCCCGTCGCAACCCGGAGGTGGGCTACTGCCAGGGGATGAACCTCATTGCGGCGTCTCTGCTTCTCATCACGCCGACCGCAGAAGATGCCTTCTGGCTTCTCACGTCCATGATCGAGGTCATCCTGCCTGAGCATTACTACGACCATGGCTTGCTCGCCTCCCGCGCCGACCAGGTGGTCCTGCGCCAGTACATCGCCCAAGTGCTGCCCAAGCTCTCCGCCCACCTCGAGAGTCTCGGCGTTGAGCTCGAAGCCCTAACTTTTCAATGGTTCCTCTCCGTCTTCACCGACTGTCTTTCCGCGGAAGCCCTGTACCGCGTCTGGGACGTAGTCCTCTGTCTCAACGTAACCAGCGCGGGCAACAACCCTCCCGCGGCCGGCACCAGCAATGGCACCTCGTCCACCACGACCGACTCCAGTGATGCGGATCCCAGCGTCAGCGGCAACGGGGGCGGTAGCACCTTCCTCTTCCAAGTGGCTCTGGCCCTTCTCAAACTGAACGAACAACAATTGCTCACCACCTGCACCACCCCCGCCGAACTCTACACCTACATCAACCACCAGATGACCAACCACGCCATCAGCATCGACGGCCTCATCCAGGCCAGTGAAGCCCTCCGGAACGTCATCCGACGCGAAGATGTGGTCGCTCGTCGTGCCGAAGCCCTCCGCGAGATGCAAGAATTCTCCCAAGGCCGTCCAACTTCATCAGGTGACCCTTAGGCCTCCCCACCTCTATCCTTTCTCAACTGTATTGTCCAATCTTACTTTATAACGTTGCTAAAAGAGAAAAGAGAGAAAAAGCGTGACCTCGATTCTATTCACCATCTGATTTCATTTCAGGATCATCATCATCCTTGTCCATTAACATTGTCAACGATACCATTGTGTCTTTCCTCTCCTTTTTTCCACTTTCAGCTATAGACGGCCGGGCCTTTCATTTTAGCATGATGACTTGTACTAGCGTTGGATTTTGACCTGTTTTCATAGAATTTGTTAATGATGCTTGTTTGCTTGCTAACCACCTCTTCATCTATCCATCCCTCTCGCTCACTGACTCCTTCCATCGCATACCTCATGACCCTTGCATTAACACATACAAACGTACACGGCGGACCCCTCCCTCCCTCCCTTCCTTCCTTCCTTCCTTCCTTCTTCGCTCACTTCCAACATTGACCATGCCCCTCACCTCATATCACCTCAGATACCACGGACCCATACCATTCATTCCTTTCATGACATACCATACATACCTACATACATACATACATACATACGCATGCATACATACCCGGTGCCATTATATTTGCATTATCTATCTATCTGCCAGCCAGTCCTTCAGCCTTGCATAACTACCGAAATACTGCTTTTACTTTCCTTATTTAGTCAGCGATCTGAGATACCCAGGTTGATTGGAATGTATCCATCTATCTATCGATTCATTTAGTTATCTGGTCATCTACCCATTGATCTGTAGAAATTGCCAACGAATACTTAGTAGCTTGGGAAGACATGAGGTACTTGGAAAAGACCGATCAGGTGATCTGTCGGTAGTAGTGGTCACTGGTAGCCAATAGGGCTGTCTAATAATCATATGAATTACGAGGACTATATCTCGACATATCACTCTGTATATAACCGGTACGATTCAATTCCAAGCCTGGCACCTAAATCACAAAGCAGTCATCGACAATCGGCCTCGCTATGGCCGCGGTACATTTCTTTTTCCCCATGACATTACGTTCCGCATCCTTGCGGATATCTGCTGCAGGTTCTTTCGTGGTCATCAAAAAAAAAAAATGAAGAGTGCAGGTGGTAGGTAGATCAGCATCATTGGTTAGATGGTTTATAAGATTGCTCGTATTTTCCAAGCCCCCCTGAGAGCATGGGATCCCCAGCGGAACAATGAAATCAACTCGTTGGCATCATCTCGGTGTCATTTCGACAAGTAATCATCATCAATCTTGGAGGGGTATCATTCGCGATGTTAAATGAATATCGACAGGGAAGAGAAGGGGGCTGTGACGTGCGAACAATAGCTCACGCGTGAGGAGCATAGCTCCTTCACCTGACCATCGGGTACGGTTCGGTCAGCCAGAATCGGCTGCTGTCGAGGACGGTGTTCAGATCGATCTCGCCCACAACAGGCCGAAGACCCAGGTCCATCACATCACGCGCCACCGCCTTGATTTGTCGCATAATGGTCTGCGAGATGGCCCATGTCCGGGCCAGAGTCTTGAAAACACCGATCGTGAGGGTAAGTCGATCACGACTAGGGTCCGGCATCTGCCCCGCTTTGACGGAACACGCCGCCAGCTGCACCATGGAGCTGAGGACCAGCGCACAGATGAAGAAGGGCGTGTGCTTCACGACCGGCATGCGAATCGACGCCAGTGTGGAGATCTCGCTGGCTGCTTTCACCGCCTTCATGGCATGGGCGTGATGTGAGAAGGCCGGGAGGCTCAGCGGCCCGTGATGGCCACAAATGACTTCCGACGCCAGGGTTGGGGATGACAGCAGGTCGGACCGCGGGAAATGAAGGTAAATGGCAGAGCCATTCACAATCATTGTCGCCTGGAACATCATTTCATCCACAGTCCCATCCGGACGCATCAATTCGGCCTTGGATTCGGGAAGGTGGTGGAACCAACTGGTGATCCGGGCGTCAATGGCCTCGACCTGGTCTTGCTGGCCCTCGATCATCTCTTGGGTGGCTACTACCCGCCCAAGGATTCGAACCGCCTCGATGCGATAGGTGAAAGAGGAGAAATCTCGCTCCTCATCGGCGAAGACACGCTCATCGAACTGCGCAATGGTTGGCGCAGGTGGTGGCGGCAGCCCATCCTGATAGATGCGCTCTTCGCACGGCAGAGGGACCTCGAGCGGGACTGAATTGCAACGGAATGTCTGCTGAACGCCCAAGGCGGTCAACATGCCCTCAATGATAAACAGCTCCCACCAGGTACGCCTTAAGCTTTCTTCACGCACCGGGTCCCCCTTGCTCATCATAGGCGCAAATCCCCGAGTATGCAATCCCAAATCGAAAGCCAGATTCACCGCCGTCGCGACGCATTCGCCCGCTTCAGTCCGCTCATTCCGGGAATGAAGGACAATTGCCAGGAGCACCAGCGCCTGCAGTTTCTCAATGGTTCCTTCTTGCGCCATAACCGACGACATCACCGATGGCCGGTACACGTCGCTGGAAGCGGCCGGGGTAAAGTGGGTCCCAATAAATTTGATGACATGCTCCAAGAACGGAGGCGGGGCCTGGGAGGAGTACAGGACACGGAGGGGAGGCAGAATCGGGTGGGACGGATGGAAATATGTATAGAAAATGTCGATAAGATAGCCATCGCCAGCAATGGAGGAGATCGACTCTGGGGTGAGGGGGCTATTAACACGGAGCGGCTGCGAGGAGCCAGAATTGTCCGTCAGATCGGGACTCCCGGAGGGGGCCGACGAGGAGGGAAGGGACGGCGGCAGAGGGGTGGCTGCCGGTAAATTGTAGGGCATGCCACTTTGAAGGGCCCAGTCAGAAGGGACATTGAAATATTGGGGCTCGTATGGGGCCGACAGATCTGCGGCCACTTGTTCGGGGGATGATGGATTGGCGCGGCGCTTCTTCGAAGGGCCCTTGTACCCACGACGCGAGGGGGTGTATTGACATTCTGCCCCCGTGGTCTCGCAGCGACCGCAGACCGGAGTTTTCCCATCACACTTGAGGTGCTTGTGTCGACATAGCAGACAGGCGAGCAGCGACGGGCCCGAGTTTCTGGGAGGGACGGGGTTCTGAGTGGAAACGAAAGGATCCTGGATTGCTTGGTCCATATTGACAACAAACTATCACCGGTGGTCAATGAGCCGATGGTGTCATCTGCAGGTCTAGAACCACCAGGAGAGTTGGAGGGCAAGGTGGTTGATGCGGGCGGAGTGGGAAACCAGTAGAGGAAGGTGGGGAGAGTCGGAGAGAGAAGGAGAAGGCAACGGGAGGATGGTAGACGCGGGGCGGAAGGATTTAAGGGAGAGCAAGACGAGAGAGAGAGTCTGAAAGAAAGGAGGGGAAGCCGAAGGGGGGAAGCCGAAGGGGGGGGGGTGGATGGGGATGCGAAGAAAAAGAAGTGATGGGTCGAGGAGGAGGGCAAGAGTGGTACTTGGGATTAATTAAGCCCAACGGCGGCACGAATCATGCATGGCCAAGCACCGCAGACAGAAGCGCCAGAGGTACCTTTTTCTGACAGGCTCGCCGGCGTTCTTTATTTGACCGACAAGACGAAGTACTTAGCAGTTGCCCCCACCCATTGGCACACCAGTCACCGTTCACGATCGGACAGGCCGGCGCGGTGGAGCTGTGGTGCTGGGGGTGACACGGCGCCAGACAACAAAGGAAAGGAAACGGGCCGGTCGAGAGTTGGATAGATCGCTAGAGGGAGGGCTGGATAAATTGGTAGAGTGGAGAGTGATGGGGGGTTGCAGGGGCAGGGAAGAAAGCAAGAGAGCGAGAGAAGAGCCAGATGGAAGGACGTTGGATTGTTTGCTTCAGTGGTGTTGTTAGTTGTTACTGCTCTGCTGCTGCTGCTGCTGCTGCTGCTGCTGACTGAGCCCGCCGGTACGGTGACTGCGTTACGTATACTCCGTAACGATAGTTGTTCACTTCAAAAGAGTCCTCCCCTTCTCAGCCATTCCCCCCTCATCCAGACCTGCTCTGTCTCCTCCCGAATCTTGTTTCCAGCCAGGTAAGTCCCTCTGGAACCCATTCCTTTGAGTTTTGTCCATCATCCGGTTCTCGCGCCCCCTCCCTGTCCAGCTTTGGTTCCGGCGTCCCAATTGGCGCCGACCATCAACGTGGCTTCCCGGCTTAGAATCCCACCCTCCGTCATTGCGCCGTCGTGCTCACTCATTCTCTCTCCCTCTTGCAGTCCAATCTAGCAGCGTTTCTTCCCCCTCGGCGCAATCAATTTCATTCTCCGACCAAGCGCCCCCCCGTCACCATGATCACCGACGAAGAACTCCACCGGCTCGCCGTCTTCCTCGGCTCCTGCGCTATGATGATGATCGTTCTCTACCACTTCCTCGAAGTGAACGCTAAAGATCATGGGGAGGATCTTAAGGACACGAACAAGCAAGCTACGGGCGCGTCGGCCGGTTCGACTCCCGCGGCGGTGACGGCGGGGACGTCGTCGGCGACGGGAGGGGGGAAAGATCGGTAGTTTTGGGATCTATCTATTGCCCGCGATGGATGCATGGGGTTGATCGGTGTTCTGTTTGCTATACTATGTATGTTTATTGTTCCTGAGCGCTCGGGGGAGACATGAGGGAGACACTCGACAAAGGGAAAGAAAAGAGGCGATGAAAGGATACCCGGGTGGTCGCCGTCAATACATGATCTTCGAAGAAAAATCCTTTGATTGTATGATACATGATGGATGCTCCCACTGCTGCTCCATGCTATTGATTTACAAGGTACCTCTGAAAACCTGCTGGTCCAGGAGGGAAAGAAAGTCCCGTGAAAACAACACTCGCCAAACACCAATTCCTGCTACCGCCGCGGTCAAATGCCCTGTCGGCGAAACCACGGAAAAGACACATGTCCTCCACGCAAAAGGGGGTATCATAGATCATGGTTCTTCTAATATGCGGGCACCACCTCGTAGACCTCTTCTTCGTTGCTCACTCGCTCATTCCGTGCGGATGTCGCGAGCTCACATCCTCCGGGGTCCAACCCCACGCCAATCTGCTCCTTCAATCGCTGCACCGCCTTGAAGATCTCCCGTGTTTTCTCCTGCGGCGTATTATTCCCATGGACTTTGTTGAATGCGCGGATAGAGCTGGCGCTAGCAGGGAAGATGAGGGAGTCTTCGCTGCCCGGTCGCACCGTGTCCGGAATACCCAATGGCCCAAGGCTCCCGCCGGCATCGTTTCCCACTATATGGCACAAGTTAAGTTAAACATTAATCACTGGTCCGCACAAGCAAAGTAGACGCAGGCTGAAAAGGCAATCATCCAGCAGATGCTTTCTCACCAGTTCCAGGCACCGAGGGCCCATCGCCCAGTCTCCACGCGACCGGGTCCAGATGGTCTTTCTTCACGTGCTTGAACAAGAGGGCAGCAGGTAAAGTCTCCGGAAACGAGCACCCTTTCCACCCGCACGTGAGTTGCTGCGACACGTGCACCTTTAAGACATGCTTTTTCAACCCCTCCAGGTTATGCAGCTCCGCCTGGCAGTTCGCCCATCCGCACGCAAACACCGGATATGAAGCCTGCGGCAATGCGACGGGCTGCTGCTGCACCTTCGAGCTGCCAGGGGGTCGTCCCGGTCTTCTGCCCGTCATTGCCACTTGCGCCTTTGGCGTGGGTGTGTTGAGCTGAGACGGGGGCTGTGAAGATGGCAGCGGGGGCGGCCGGGCTTGTGGCAGCGGTGCTTGCGAGGCGGGTGGGAGATGCCGCACCGGAGGGCGCGAGTGGAAGAAGCCGGTTGGCGGTCCCGACTGGGGTCCTTGCGGTACGGGCACGGGGGGCTGCTGCGTCGGCTGCTGCGTCGGCTGTGGTGGACGAGCTGGTGGCTGCGCTCTCGGCTGGGGTCCGGGGCGTTGCGGTGGTAGGGGAGGTTGTGATGGAAGGGGCCGGAAGGTGTTGTTCTGTTGAACAGGCAATGACGGACCCGACTGCGGCGCGGGACGCGGCGGCGCAGGCGCGGCGGGGGCCCGTGGCTGAGGGACAGACGGTCCCGTGTCACGTGCACCCAGAGGATCGACCAGATCCCAGCGAAAAGTGGACAAGTCCGACGAGCTATCAACATGGATGAAGACATCGCGCAAGCGAAGCAGATGGTGGTTCAATGGCTCCTCGGTTGGATGACGGCCTGCCGCAATCAAGACGTCTCTGGCGATCGTCTTCGGGTCATAGGACAGTTTTACCGCAGCGTCTTCCTCATGTAACGGCATCACAATATCTCCCCGAGACTTCAGATGATTTCTGCCCGTAGAAGGGTCGGTTGCCTGAGGCGTAAAGTTGTAAGCCGCAAGCCCTCCAGCTGGAAGACTGCCAGGGGGTGCCTTTGCGGAGGGCATTGCAGGCCTCCCAGATTTCCGTCCGGGTGTACCTGCAGGCCCTATGCGACGTCTCTTGGCGTCATGGCCCGGTTCGCTTCCACCCTTGGCGGTATTGGTTTGTTGTATCGTAGGCTGCGAAGCCGAATTCGTTGTTTGCGCAGGTTGATTAGGCGGAGGGGCTGAGTTTGACGCTTGTGTAGTCGGGATGTTCGGTCGAGGAAAGGCAGGCGACTGAGTCGGTAGCGCCGATGTGGCACGCGCATTCGATATCTGCGGGGCTACCATTTGCGCGGGACGTGTATTCGATGCCTGAACGGGCGGTATGGGTGACGGACGGGAATTAGGAGTCTGAGCCGGCGCAGGTGGTAGTGTTGACGGAGCTGAAATTGGCGTCTTCATAAGATCCATTGGCGACACAACCGAGTGTGACACTTGCGCAGGCGGTAGGGTTGAAGATACTGGCGTCGGTGTGGGGGCCGCTGTATGCGGTTGTGAAGGAATCGACTGGACCGCAGGAGACGAGGCTGGTTGGTACCCTGGAGGGGGCCCCGGCGTGGACGCCTGAGCAGGGACCGGTCGAGGCAATCGAGGGTGACCGGATTTATACCCTTGTGGGGGACCAGTCTGGTGTGAGGGCACTGGCTTGGGCAGTTGAGGAGCATTCGCTTTGTATCCTTTGGAAGGGGGCGGCTTCGGCGATTGAGATGGGAACGACTTCGGACCTTGCGAGGGGGCAGATCGATGAAACCCTTCGGTATGCGACCCCGACGGTGGCGCCATGGTAGAGGCTGGCTGATGATGCGGTTGCGCTTGGTGGGAACGAGAGTATGGGGGCTGGTGAGAGGTTTCTGAGGACGAACTGGGTCCAGGTGGCCTCACACTTCTTTCATTTGAGTACTGGAATGAATGAGAGCCGGGGGGGCCATTGTGGGCAGCTGTGAATGACGAGGAGGGGGGCAAGGCAAAGTAAGGGTTCGATTGGAAGAAAGATGTGGACTCGTCGGCTCCCTGAGCTTCCGGATCAAATCCATGGCGTAGGTAACTTTCGAGCCACTGCAAATCTTCACTTGACATCTTGCGTGGGAAGATATCAAGAATTCAGGTGCCAATTGTTTGCCGCGATCAGCATGGTGAACATGCAGAGAGGGGGCAGTACGGGATGAGCCAGTAACAATCTTCCGAGCATTCGCTGTGATGTTACCAATATGCTCAGCACCTCAGAGTCATTTTCAATGCAGGATGGTCAGCGTGACGCGACCACAATATAGATGGCGCGCATGAAGAGAAGCTCTGGGACAATTGACGATCTGGACCGCCTCACGCGGGCGGTGGACCGCAGACTTGCCTGTTTGGGAGGTGCCACGCGCTGGCCAATCATCGAGCTGGCCTGGCCTAAGCGGGATGTCATGTGACGCACATTCAAGCCTATTTATTCTTTCTCTCGTGTCCATTCTTCTCACTTTCCATACTGCTGCGTGAGCGACACGATGCTCTCGGGTTTGATGAGACCACGATAGCAGGAGCATTTCTCTGACGGTGCTACTAATATTCAGCACTGCTCCCTCACCATCCCAAGGATGACGAGGTCGGCAAGCTCTGGTGTTCCAACACGGACAGACACCAACATCTACCATTTAAAGTCGATGGCATACACAACGTCTCGTCCTTGTTGCACATCTAGCGATAACTTCCTCGTACACGAGAACAACCCCTTCACGACAACCCTCCCATACCCTCACTTCTACCTCCCCCCAACACCACGCGCCAGATTTATCTCCTCATCAATCCCCTCCCTTAGGACGGACCCTATGGTTGAAGAGGTATACGGCTGGCGCAGAAGGAATCGCAAACACGTACCGTCTCTGGACACGATCCAGTGGTCGTTTTGCCTCGCTTGCAGACTCGCACTGATGCTTCGGCAAGGACGCTGTGGGTTTGAGAGTGAGATACATGCTTTCGTAGCTCGTTGTAGATTGATAGATGACGCTGGGACTGCGGTCTTGGCTTGGTTTAGATTCATTTCAATACAATGGTTATTTTTGGATGTTTGTGTATGACTTTTGGTGTTGCGTTGAGTAGATTGTGGTTGGCTGGATAGGCCTGCATGTAGATAGGCGCCTCGAGTACGGTGTACGGTGAATACTTAGGCCAAGTGCCGCTTGAGGTGTCAGGTAGATCTCATTAAGCCATTAAACATATTGGAGATGTTCACATTGAAGATACCTAGGTAGTAACAGATAGAGAAAGACCAGCAGTCATAATATCATACATTCGAAGTTCACAACCCCGCTCAATTGGCTGAAATCAACTGGTCGTAAACGATATCAGTAGCCACATAACCGCCCATGACGAGAAAATAATTGACATACACACATCAGATCTCCTCTCCCCCTTTTAAGCCTCCCAGCATTCTTCCCTTTTTTGGGGGGAAATCCACCTACTCACTTTGCCCAACACATTTCCCCCAAGCCGGCAATCCACACCCCATGCCTACAAACAGATAGATCAAGAACACCACCACAACCGCCAGCAGCACCATCAGCTTGATATTCTTCCACCACATCCGTCTCCTGAGCCCGCGACTCCTGATGCGGAAATCATGCGCACTGCCACCCAACCGATCCGTCTTATCGACCAACAGATCAATCCGCTCTCCTCTTTCTAGCACCCGCTCAATGTTCTCCGTCATGATGTTCCGCACACTATCGATCTCCCGCCGTGCCGAAGCCAGCGAATCTGCTGGCGGGGCCGTGTTGTACGTTTGAAGCAGCGAGCGGAGCTCATTGTTGAACGCGGCGCAGCCGTAGGCCGGGAGGGCAGAGAAATCCGTGCTGGAGGGCGGGTATGTCGAAAGGAACTTGCGCTTGATTTCGAGAAGGAAGGCGAAGGGGATGCGGCGGCCTTGTTCGGCGGTCGCGACAACAATGTAGCTGAGTGGGGCGTAGGAGTTGGGTTCTTGGCGCGTGCTGTCGTCCGTGGTGTTCGTGCCGGTGGGGGAGTCGGCAATATAGTGCACAAAGAGACGCTCGTGTGTGTAGGTCAGCTTTTGGGGTTGGTCGTGGCTGATCTTGGGAAGGATGATAGAGGCCAGAGAGGAGGCGGCCGTGGAGGAGGTGCCTGGGGAGGAATGCTCGGCCAGGATGGTCGTGCGGTGGGCGATGCAAGAGCTGTGAAAGTGGTCAGTACAAAGATACTCACGAGGGGAGTAAGGCTGTAGAGCGATTTGGGAGCGGCGGTGCTGTTCAGTTGCTGCTGTGTGATGGAGATAGGCAACGTACTAGAGCAGGAAGCTCGCTGGCTTCGATGAGGAGGCGGCCATGATGGTTGAGTGTTGTAGTCGTGTAAAAGACCGATTCCCAGAACTGAGCAGAGAATGAGATTGATCTGCGCCAACGTGTCAGACCCGACACCGTGGCTTGGCTTGGGCTCTGAGGGAGGGAAGAATGCGAGGGATTTGGAGATAAGATTCCCGCTCCGTGACGTCGCCGCCGAGGCGCCCCCGGATTCTGTCACGTGCCGTGGTCTTTCTTGGGTCTTCCCTGCATCAAGTCTACGAAGTACACCAGTGCGCGATGTCATCTTTTATTAAGCAACGTCAAGTATTCTGGTCCTGGTGCTATAACCAAGGACGAGCATGCTCTCAATCTCAGGATCATTCTGGGAAAGCTTCTACCCCTAGACCCATGTACTCCAGCCTCTCCGAGGTCTTCTCAACAGAGCTATCCATTATGACTGTGTTGTTGTCTTCGCTGTCGGTTTCAAAGCAGTCATCGAGGTCATCATCCGACACCTCCAAGGTAAGAGAATAAATGTCCGTATCTGCTTGTGCTTCAGACGAGGTTGCCGCGTGCTTTTCATCTGCTATGAAGTACCCCTCCGAGTTGATGGACATGATGTCCGTCCAATAACCTCCCGTGGCTCGGTGAGAAGCCCCCTGGACCGTGCTTTCAAAGCCACTGGTAGTTATGTCTGAGAAAGAAGTGACCGAGGGAACAGTACTCCCCGTGTGAATCGCAGGACCCGGTGTAGAGAATCCGCCTGTCTCAAGATTAGGTATTCCTTGATCCGTGAAAACACCGCCGGACCCATCATCATTTCCCCCCGCCCAGAGTGGGAGAAACTTCATCTCACTCTCGGTGAGACAGGTGAGCGTGTCAGTAACTAGGAAGTTGGCTCCGTGCCTGCTGCCGTTGCCCAGAACTTCTCCCATGTCAGTTATATATGAGCGCACGTCTTGGAAAAAGTGGGCCGGGTTGAAGATATCTGTCGTGGGGGTCTTCGGAATGGGGCCTAAGGTTTCTCTCTTAGCTGCGTGGTCAAAGCAAAGAACCTGATAGATCATACCTCGAGGTTCGAACAACGTCGCACCCGCGATCTTACGAAATCCGAACCTTGAGCTAGCCCCATCTGCGTGGCTATTGTACTGGTTTATCTCGAACAACAAATCGTTAAACTCAATATGTTCGATTTTCGCATCTGTTTGGGCCTGGAAAGGATATAGGTGTCTCCCCAAGTCCGCGACGGTGGTGTTACAAATTTCCTGGTCAGGGAATGCGAAACGGTCATTGTGGTTCTCGAACTTGAGCGTCTGCCAGAAGGTTTTGCTGATTATACGCTCAGAGAAACGCATCTCATCGTAAGAATTTAAAAACGTCCGCGAGGGATAGTCGTCGAAGTCAATGTATCGAGTTGTTCTTGCGGCCCAAGTTATGGCGGGTTTTGCTAGGGTCGACACGATGTGCCCCCGTACGTATGATTTCAGCTTGGAAGTAAGACTCGTAGCAAACGTGCAGCCTTCGCAGTTATCTGTGGTGTGACGGAGAATATTCTGGAACGCCGGTAGTTGCAAGATCCAGTGCATTTCAGTGCCCGCTAACTGGATGAATTGGTCAATAACATATTCCATGAAGCTCTGGCTTGCATATTCGACCCGCTGACGATCTTCATCGTCCAAAGGCTCACGAACACGGCCATGGAATGTTCTCTCTGGCCACTGAAGTCTGGGTCCTTTATCTGCGCTGGACAGGCGGAGCAGCGCCTCCTCTCCAACAAGGACACAGAAGGAGTCCTGGCACAGGTAATCACACTGGATTCCACAAGCTATTCTGTAGGTAATCTCTGGATAAATTTCAATGAGCCTAGAATTGGTTGACTCATAGATCCAGGTGAGAATTTCAACCTTGATCGACCCTTGCCTGGCCACGCCAAATACCTTAGCCAATGCGAAAAAGGTCCAGAGCTTGCAGGCTGTGTCTAAGAGTGGACTGACACCTCCTAATGCTTGGAGTACGTGCACGATGCCCATGCGGTGACGAGATTCTGAGTACTCAGAGGGAAGGTTATGGTCATCTTCGTCGCGGCCGCCAACACATCGTGAAGGCAGTCCCCAACGCTGGATTGCGCGGGCCCAGGACCGTATACCCAGGGGACAGGACAACTCTGTGGTGAAAGCTACCGCCTCGTCGTCCGTTGAGGGAGGAGTGAGGTCAATAGCGTATCTGATACCGTCAGGCAGCTTTCCCTCCAGGTCGCGGCGCTTGATAATGCGAGCTTGCTTTTTCGGCTCGAATAGCTTCGTAAAGTAGGGGGACTCTGTGCTCAAAAGGCTCTTGCTCTGGATACGATGGGGAATAGACGTGGCAGAGTGTGGTTGCATTGACCAGGTTGGTTTATACGATGGAGGATCGATAAACACTAGCGTGTCGGCGCCGTCCATAACCAGTATGTCGATGCCAGAAGCACCCATCTTGGCTGGGATAGAGGGCCTGGCGGTCATGTTGGGATCGGCTTTTTGGGCGGGATTCTCCATCTTGTAGATGAATGGCACCTAGATGAGATTAATGTCACGCCCTCATGCCTCCCTACCTTGAAGAGATAGCACGATGACACACCTTATGGTGCTGGGTAAAAGAGACAACAAGATGATGACAAGGAGGTTTCAGGGTTTCAGAGAATGAGGGGCGACAGGTAATTATCACAAGGAATTCACCTGTGTCTTGCAGTCCCAGCGGTTAGTTTGGGTTGGGTTGACAATAATAATGACGATGAGGGCCCTTCACAGCCTCCGTCAGCCTTACCGTTTCACCGGTGCCTGCTGGAAGGCCAGGCTGAGCCCCCGAGACGGACCAGGGAAGCCCCACACACTTCAGTTGGGCCTGAGTGGCGTGGAAAGGATGAAGTGAGTCATGGCACGTTAGTTGTCAGAAGTTAGGAAGTAGTTAGCAAGGAGCAATCTAGAGTCACTCGGCGACAACCGAGTTAGCGGCTGGCTGCAAAACGAGCAAACCCAGCAAACCCTTGTATACCGAGTACGTAACCATACCTGCCGACGGAAGTATATCGCGGGGATTTCTTCCCCAGAAAAACAATTACGCACAGTGGCCCTCCACGAGGGAGAGCTCCCCCGGGCATTCGACTACACGCAATATACATCGTAGGCCAATAAACAATGGACGCGAATAACGACATAGCGAAGTAGCTAAACCGGGCTTCAGACAGACATCCCCGTGACCACGAGGGACTATAAGGGTATCATAAACAGCAGAAAGCTATGAGACAGCCACCCCACATATTCTATACAGATACAGCAAATGAAGCAAGATTTTCCATCCATCAGCATCAACCACCTACGTGGTCTTCTCCCTAGGCTGGGTCGGGGGTACATCCGACCATTGCCCTTCGCTGCTCGTCTTGCTCTTCCGAGACCCTTGAGCATCCTTCTTCGGCTCCTTTTTCTCTGCACGTCGCTTTTTCTTCTCGCGTTGGGCGCTCCATTGCTCATCAATTCGACTTTCGCTCCGGCTGGTCCCTCCGCGCCGGAGGTCCTTGACTTCTTTGATCACCTCACGGAAGCCTTCCTCGATATTGTTCATACGAGCTAGCACAAGCTTGCTGAGCATATCCTGGCTGCTGCCCGGGCTTTCAGGACGGCGGATATTGCCTGTGGCGTAGGCAATCTGAGTCGTTAGGCTCGACGGAACGCCGCCCAGAAAGCCATGCGTAATCGCTTTATTATCTCCCAAATCAGAGCCTAGGCCATCCAGAATGGACGCTTGGTGACGCCTCTGGAAGTGTGAATCGGGCACGGAAAACCCACCCTGACCGGGTACAGACATTGGATCAGACCGGGTCATAGTCACGTTTCGAAGTCGGCCACCCTCTGTACTATGTCTCCTCAGCGTCCACTGGTCAGCAGATGTGGAGACTCTAACGCCACCTGCACGATCAGGCGTCTCAGCTCTCGGCCGGATAGGTCTCGGTGAAGCTGGAGCTTCCTCATGATTGCTATCCGACGAAATTGGGTTGTACAGCATAGTAGCGCCTGAGTAGTTCCGCGTGTGGTACTTGATCCGCCGAGCGGGGCTGGTCTTGCGAGACTTGAGTCGAGCCGTTGACGGTCGAGAGCTGAAAAATTTGGGCGGAGTATTGATTGGGCTTTGTTTGGTTTTCCTGAGAGTATCGTCTTCCGGATGCATTGGAACCAACGGCTGTTCTTCAGCCCATCCGCCATTATCATCACTCGTTAGCTCATCGTCGCCTTCCATGCCCGTGTGTCGCGAAAGCTGCCTTGTCCTCATTGGGGTTAGGAAGGCTCTGCCATTACGTGGCGTCGCGGGTGAGGATGCCACTTGATGAGTATGATCAATATCGGAGTTAGCGGAGCGATTTGATTCTGTTAGATCGCGTAAGCTCCTGGTAAGCCTCCGGTTGAAGCCCAATCGACCTCTTGGTGATCTTTCCAGACGCTCAACTTCTTCCGAGTCCTGCTCATCAGGAGGGTTCACAGGGCCCAATCCCATGGTCTGCATCCATTTGTTGACAGCACTATGGTTTTCTCTTGGATTGAGGTTTCCGCCGGGCCCTCGAGACGTTGCATCGTGGAATGGCCGTCGGAACACCTCGTCCAAAGCACGATCCTTTTGGTATGTTGCCACCGATGGTTCTCGAACGAAGCGATGAGCTTGGGAGCTGAAAGCCCTAAATCGGCCAGTACGGGCCTGATGGCGACCCGCTGATTGAGATGGAGATGCTGAATCCACCAAATCGGTAGAATCGATCACCTGAGGGCTCAGGACTGCCTTCTCATAGAAACAGATCGTAAACAAGATTGGCAAGTGGGTGATCTTGATGATCGTCCGGTTGATCCGAACGAACTTTCGAAAGGACATGAAATAACGAAGTGGAGTGATCAGCCAAGCAAAGATATTAGTTGGCGCGACATAAGAGAAGAGGGCGTCTGATTTGACCATGGAGATTGTGTTGACGGCGAAGAGGAACTGGTGTTCCTGGTTGGCATTTTGCACGATTTTCATGAAGGAGTTGGTTAAGACCGTGATCAGGATTGTGACGACAACAAAGTGACAGATAAACAAAAACACTGTCAGAATCACCCTGCCCAGTGTGTTGTAGTCATCCCAGAGACCCCATGCTGTTGGGGTGAATCCCATCAGCATCTGGAACAAGGCATAAGCAACGGCACCAGGCGAATGGTCTTCATCGCTGCCAAAGGCCTGCGTGAACGCGACGAAAAAACCGCTGCAGGCAATGATGATCAATAGAAATACCGCGATCAGATCGGAAGCCATGATTCTGAAAGCAATAAGCAACTGGGAGAAATATTTGTAGTGGTCAAGGACCGAGAAAAGTCGCGGAAAGAGAAGGACTGCATTTGCGGCCAAGATGTCGTATGCTTGGTCTGCCACCACCTGATTGCGGGTGTAGGGCAAAATAGCGCCATAAAGCCTCATGCAATAATAACAGAAAAGGAGGAACAAGATACCGAGATCAAACAGGTTCCAGAAGCTCATGAGATACAGACTGAATCCTTGTTCGTTGAAACCGACAATCTCATCAAGCATAAAGCCAGCGCTCCAAAGCCAGAAAATGATTTCCAACGGAGTGATCTCGAGACTACGCTGATTCAAGACGGCGAGGAACAGCCCCAGCAGAACTGCGAATGACAAGGTTGACAAGAACTGTCTGTATCGAGGCACCCGTAGCCGGGAAAGTTTGAACAGAGAGGCATCTCTTGGATCATAAATGGTGACCGAGCGTCGATTTCCAGATACATTGGACTGCGACTGATGTGACACGCCAGCGGGAGATGGGTTGAGAGTCGTACCGTATTGCGGTCTCCCGTTACTCTGGGTTTGGGCCGGCGAGCGATGGAGATTGTCAGCCGCAGAATGAAAGACGATCGTGCCAGCCCATATCGCTTCAAGTTGTTGTACCACAAGGGGATGCGACAAGAATCTCTTCGCCTGGGCGCGGATGGCCACCTCCAGGCAGGAGATACGAGCGATAGCCGGCCGCTTGCTTCCCTGGGCCGAATACCAGCCAGGGGCCCGCTCGGAGCTTGCAGTCACGGTTGGCGTTTGGCCGTTGAGCGGATAGAATTCATAGGATAGCGCGTCAATCAATTCTCGCGTCGTATATTCTCTCAGCAACTTGATGGCAAGAAGCTCGCTCACCATGGCCCTGGTCTGGCTCACGCCGCTATTCCCTGGATTCAGATGAACCTCCTTCGTGAATTGGAGGCAATTCGTGATCAGCGCGTACAATGTAGCCCGGGAGAAGTGCAAGGCTCGTATCTTCTGCTGAATAGGCTTGACTAGGAATTGAGAGATCTGCGGAGACCTCAATTGGTCCCAAGTCAGGGTGGTTTCGCAGCGAGAAACGATTAGAGGACGTATGGCATGCGTGATATCATAAACCGGCAAAGTATCTAAGTAGTCAGTGTGTAAGTATACATTTGGGGCTTTTCACTCGGTACCAAGTATAGTGTCCGTACCTAGATGCGAGGCAGAGAAAATCGGAAGCAAAGGTGTGGACTCCATCGGGCCATCGTCGTCCTCATTACTTTCATCCTGTCCAGGCATTGCGTCAGGCCCCTCCTCGTGAATCTCTCCGTAGCCCGGCCCAGGATGCCCTTGGGACGGATGGTCCTGGAAAAAAGGCCATGGCGAATCCCGAGTGGTGTACGGTGATGAGAATGGCGATCGGTCTGCATAGACTCGCCGTTTCTTGGGACGCAGAAGGGAGGCGAGCATGTTTGAGATCGTCCCCAGAAGTCTCAGAGTCAACCGACGAGGAGGGGAGAAGATTGCCGTCAGAGCATTTCGGGGGGGCGTGCCAAGATAGAAGCAGGAAAGAACAATGCGCCGCTCGGAGTTAGGCGAGGAAAGTTTACTTAAAAGGGGAGTTAAGATTTCTGGAAGCCTGGCAAGGTTCGCGTGATCCAAAGAGATATTTTCATGAGCGAGATAAGCAGGGAGCGCTGCCGAACCGTTGAAACGATTTGCTCCCAAAATTAACGCAGCCCACATGCGCCTGCAGTCATTGCAGGAGTGGAGGCGACGATCGCAGGGAAACAGGCCATCTCACGATGCTTCCCGAGTCGGGGCGGCGATTAGCGCCAGATAAGTCCAGTCACCCTGCCAGCCTTCGCGACGTCGATTGGCCTTGGGTAAGTGGCCAGACCCCCGTCCGACCGGGGAGCTCAGGCAAGTGCTAAAGTACGGCGTAATCTTGATCGGATTGCTCGCCACCTTCTTGATCTCAGCGACTTGGAATGGGGAGGACCAACCACTACGCAAATACTACGCGCAACTTCCTACGTACTATGGTAACACAAAAGAATTCCTCTGGAGATCAAAACAAATCACATGCATTTATGCCATGCAGGCCGAAGCCAAGAGGGGGGGAGAAGTGAGAGGGCCGTGAAAGAAAAGGGCCCGAACCGGAGACCTCGCCGAATTCATTTCCGAGTACATGCAAGGAATCCCGCACGGCGAATCATACCACCAGCTCATTCGGGCCTTTGGATACAGCTATGATGCAATGATGCATGATGTAACTGAAATAGGTAAGGAAGAAAAGGAGGGAAAACAAATGGGTACGTTGGGGGGAGTCTGTGACCTCTATAAGAATGATCATCGTCTGTGAGTGTGACAGCTGCGGCGTCGGTATCGTGACATTCGTATTCTCTTTCGCAGGGTGTGCCTCCGCAGGTTTGACGGTCAAAACAGCAACCTCGAGACCTTGAGCTATTTAAGTTGAGCTTGGGAAATATTCAGGCGGGACATTGCTAGGAGATTGAGATGATTCTGACACCCCTGTAGGTATGTGACGCTAATGTGTCAGGTAAGGCCGAGCACTTTAGCATCTAGGCGTAATGTACTCAACAAATCCACAGAGTGCGGAGTTGTTCGTAGACCCCAGGGCTCTTGGATGGCCCCTTCAATTGCTGCTGTCCATCCTGAGAGAATGAATGACCTCCCTCTGAGGTATTTCGACGATCAGGTCAGGAGCTCTTGGAAGCTGCGAGGGATCGTCTGAAGAAGTGGAACGGCGTCCTTCCGATGAAGGAGAACCTCTCGTATTTGATGTCGCTCTATGTTGCATATACACTATAAGACAGGAACATGCGATCCGAAAGCAGAAACATAATACCACACTACCTGGGCCACTGTTAGCAATACAGTCCTAGATGTAGTAGGAGGAAAGGGGAAGAGATCACCCTTCCCGCTAGGCCTGACGGGAGCATCCTAGCAAATAGCATATCTACCTCCATGGGATGAAAATCAGTGGCATGGATATCAGTAGATCTAGGAGCAACATATTACTCCGGTAGATAGATGTGGGCAGACGGGTTCTTGTGTATTTGTTTGAAAGCAAGCCGATGACCTCATGTCCCTCTTAGAATGACATTATACGGAGGACCGGTCTATTCATTCGACCACACTAACAGTATTACTAAAGGGGTGACTGTTAACTAGTAAGCCGTGTTCTCTGTCTTCTTACTACTAAGTTCGTACTAACTGATGCGTTTCTACACTAATGCGACAAGTAAATCCTCATATATGCCAACTACCATGTGCGGATATATACTCTGGCCAGAGGGTATCCAGCAGCGACTCCAGGGAAGAACATGGAGGAGGACTAACGAACACACGTTTAACTGAGATGCCATTGTAGTAATCTATATGGAGTACATAGGTAAATCGAAGCCGACCGCAACGCTAATGATATTTTATATAAAAGTCAGAGCTGTCCATTTAGTAGATATGCTATTCGTCTCGGCTAGTTACGTCCCTAAATCATGTCGTTAACGATTCCATGTGTGGGCTCCACAATCCCTTACAGAATGGCAATCAATCAAGCATCTAAATCTACCGTGTAACTCTTGTTTTCTGCACCCAGGACTGTCGAGTGTAGCTCAGGGAAGGCAGCTGTCAGGCCCCTCGGAAACCAATTGCGACCGTAGCAGCAGGCCTGCAAAGTGCAACGGCCTTGCAGATTCCATTCCGACTTGCATGCCTCGCCCTGACTACCAATTGGAAAAACAACATGGAGCTGATATCCATAGTGAACACCGGACAAACGACTTGTTCTCATCCCCAATCAGGCTGGAACCGTGGTTGACACAGAATAAAGGGTGAAGCCAGGCGGGAGCGATAAAGCCAAATCACCCGTACAATCTTCGCCTATTTGGGTATTCTTTTCCTGTCTTACAGATAATGCGTAGTATCTATCTTACTTGATAAGACGACGTCCTGGAATATTTGATATCGATCACTGACCAGTTAATTGAATAGCGATACTATGTATAACCTGGACGTGCTGCGGGTGTTACTGGTACACAATTCAACCGGTTTCGGAGAATGTTGAGAACAGCGGAGGCGTCCAAGCTCCCACATCGGAAGCTCGAAAGGTAGATGATCTACAGAGTGAACGCTCACACAAGACTCCTGTCGATAGGTAACCCTGGGACCCCCCTGTGTCATCGGCTCATCAAAAGTACGATGGTAGGCCGTACCAATGCCGATAACGGGTGAGCTCAACCGCAATTCGGGACGCTTATTGGAGTGAGCTTGCCCATGCACCGGACCGGATCCAGACACCATCCAAGGCAGAGAAACCGGCTAAGGCTCACCGCCTGCGGTGGCACACCTGCAAGCGTGGGCGATCCGTGTGGCGAACCCCTCCACGGGACCAATGGCCTGTGACGGAGACGGGGGACGTCGGCAAATTGGGGCTGGTGGCACCAAGGTAGGTCTGTGTGCGCGGCAGAACTGCTCTGCAACCCCTCCACCGAACTGAAATACGAACTACTAGAAAGCCAAGCTCCAGCTTCCAATGACCTCATCTGCTTTAAACAGTTGGGTTTGCCCCCTTATTCATCTCAGATGTGAGGGACAACGACAAGAAAAGTGAGGATCACGGCGTGGTATGAATTGCGCCCCTCATACCCTGCCTCTGGAAGTGCCACATTCCCCCATCATGGTGACTGCTGGGTCTGTTCTCTGGGGATTTCGGGGAAGGGGATGGAACTGGTTCCGGACTCCGGATAATATTCCTTAGACTCCATAATTAGCAATGGAAAGAAGGCAAACGAAGGCTGAACCTCCAAATGCCCCTCACCCCAAGCCCAAAAAAGGTCGAAAATTTTTTTCCTGGGGCGGTCACAAGTAGCAGAATGGCACAGGATCCCCGGATCGGTGAAACGGACAGTCCAATGAGAGAGCTCCATCAGCCCGCCGTACACAAAATTTTATTCTGAGAATTCTGCTCGCTCCTTTCTTTTCTTCCTATATTCCTCCTCCCGTGCAGAAGCAGCAGAAACACATCCCTCCCTCCCTCTTGCATCTCTCTCAAAAGGGTCTTGGAGGCTGCTGATGCTACGGTAGAGTGAATACCACCTGTCATACAGTCCCCGAGAGGACCTTTCCCCCTCACCCCCCCACCCACACAGTCACCACCACAATGCCGCAGTCCGCTGGTCACGAGGAGGTTGCCCTCCCCTCCAGCCCTCTATCTGGAGGCGCAGTGGCCTACAACCAGATCAACAAGGAGCTGCAGCCGCTCCCCCCAATGGAAACTCACAATGGCGCCGTGATCGCTCCTGCCTCGTCTCCGTATAGGGGCAGCAATGGGAGAATGGTCTCCCTCGAGCTCGAGGATGGCACCGTCTACCAAGGCTACAGCTTTGGTGCCGAGAAGAGCGTGGCCGGTGAATTGGTCTTCCAGACCGGCATGGTGGGATACCCAGAGTCGGTCACGGATCCTTCCTACCGGGGCCAAATCCTCGTCATTACGTTCCCTCTGGTGGGCAACTATGGTGTCCCCTCCCGGGAGGCCATGGATGAGTTGTTGAAGACTCTGCCCAAGCACTTCGAGTCCACCGAGATTCACATCGCGGGCTTGGTCGTTGCAACCTATGCTGGGGAAGAGTATTCTCACTTCCTGGCTGAATCATCCCTTGGCCAGTGGCTGAAGGAACAAGGTGTCCCTGCCGTGCATGGCGTGGACACCCGTGCTCTTACCAAGCGCATCCGTGAGAAGGGTAGCATGCTGGGTCGTGTGCTGCTTCAGAAGTCAGAGACCGTCAATGACACCACCGTGATCCCGACGGAGAAGGATAGCTGGAGGCCATTCTTCGAACAAATTGAATGGGTTGACCCCAACAAGAAGAACCTGGTTGCTGAAGGTAAGCGTCTTTTATACCCTTTTCTAGGGAGAGAATCATTCTAACCAATTTCGCGAATAGTTTCCATTCGGGAACCCAAGCTCTTCTCTCCCCCCGAGGACATTGCCCTTAAACACCCCTCGGGCCGTCCAGTTCGTGTCCTCTGCTTGGATGTGGGCTTGAAGTTCAACCAGCTGCGCTGTCTGCTCGCCCGCGGTGTCGAAGTCCTGGTGGTTCCCTGGGATTATGACTTCCCTACTCTTGCTGGAAAAGACTATGATGGTCTGTTCGTCTCGAACGGTCCCGGTGACCCGGCTACGCTTTCGACCACCGTCAACAACCTGTCCAAGACTCTCAAGGAGGGAAGAACCCCCGTGTTCGGTATTTGCTTGGGTCACCAACTGATCGCACGTTCCGTCGGTGCCCAGACGATGAAGATGAAGTTCGGTAACCGTGGTCACAACATTCCCTGCACCAGCATGGTCACTGGAAAGTGTCACATCACCTCCCAAAACCACGGTTACGCTGTGGATTCCAGCAGTCTCCCCGAGGGCTGGGAGGAACTCTTCGTTAACGCCAACG